TCGAAGGTTCCGAGACAACGAGGGGAATGCGAGGAAGGACCTTTCAACTGTACGCGACATTGATGCACTCTATTTATTGATTACTGAAAATAAAGAAAATTATTCTGTCGAAGCATCGTATTTGTATTTGTTAGCTTTATGTTAATTAAAGAGGAATGTGTACGATTAGAAAATGTGTTAGCAACTAATTGTACAGTGAGCCAAAATTGTTGTCACGCCGTTCTCAGAGAATAATTAAAGTTCATGGTCAGCGTTAAAGAAGTGGAGTGGAATTTCATCCCATGCGAATTTTGTCTCGTTCTTATTAAATGTGTGAGATTATCCGCTCCGCGGACAATAACTCTTCTACTTTTCATCTAATATTCAATGATGATAAATAACACGTAGTTGCATTCGTTTGGCTTTTTTTATTTCGAAAATAAAAAAATATATACCAGGGTGAGATTTCATCCATGACAACATCAACATGATTTTCCTTGATGCTTTATTGAAAAGTTCAGATATTTCGTCGACTCGCGGGATATTTATAATCGGAGTCTCGTCGCGTTAATTAACACGTGCTTCTCCGAGCGGATCGAATGCTCACCGACGGCCACCGACTGTCAAAGTGCCACGAACGAATGTCCGGAGCGAACGGGATGCCGAATTGCGAAGCAGGACGAAGGGAACGATACATCATGCGTCTCCAGACGTCTCCAAATCGTTTACTATACAGGAGACTTTGATACGGCAACATGTATTCGAAGATTTAATTTATTTAATACGTACTTTTATTTTTCCTACTCCCCCCCCTCTCCCTAACCTCCGCCGCTCTTTTTAAACCTCTGGGCATAGTCTCTGGCATAGAGATGGCAACTGTAGTTACAGCACGGACATAAACCGCCTGAGAGTGGACTTCCATCACATGCCATGATTTTACCACCGAGACCTGAAAGTGGATGTAGAGCATCGTAGTTCCCCTCTGAAAATGGATGCAGATGGCGCCCTTAGCCCAGTGCGGGAAGTCGGTGTCGCAGAAAATGCCGCGTTGGCCGCTCTCAGGTTTCTCTCTATGGTTGGCGCCATCCAACGGTATCGCGTGAAAAATTTCACGAGTCTCTCAAATTTGGTTCCTTCATATGCTAAGGGAAGAGATCGTTTTATGTTTGACTTAAAGAAAAAGTCGCAGACGTACTTTTCTCCATAGACGTACTGCAGCCTTCAGTCTCAGCCCTTCCGGTGCCATTTCTGCAAGGCCTATTCTACTCTCGGTGAGTGAATGTTTTTATCTACACTAGGTTTTCTATTCTACGCAGCTAATAATAATGGCAGAATAAATGGCCGACAGTCGACCGATCGTCGACGAACTTCTTTCTGCCAACTTTTTCAATATCCTTTCTACGAAGTTTTTCGTAGATAATCACAAACGAATAATGTGTCGAATCGAAAGTGTCAAAGACTCTGTTGATCAAAGTTTTTCGAATATAATTGAAAAGGTTAGGAGGCTATAATACAGTGTTGATTCGGCGACATAATATATAATTATTATTCGGCGATTGAATAATAATTGTTCAAGCGCGGTTCAAGCAAATAAGTATACCCATTAATAGAACAGTAATGTCACATGTTTCCGTGATCGAAAACCGTTTTTCCAATCAACATTCGCTCTAAATTAGGTTTTCCATCCCCGCGCCCTCCGCATCATCCAAGTCATTCGCGCACAAACGGCCCAACGGACACATCGCATTTATCATTCGCTCAGGGCGCATTCCTCCTCTTTGATACACTTCATTGGCCTAATAGACCCGAATTGTTGGTGTAAATCGCGCAAAAGCACGGCGGATCTGGACTAGTTCCGTGTAGACGATCCCTGGCCGAAAAGCTTTCATTCCACAATTGCCTCGCATGTAAAATAAATCGGCCGGCGCGGCGGGACGACCGTCGCCCACGGATCTGGTCGCGTTGCATAACCGAGTCGAGTTTTTTCCTCGCAATTAGCATACCAATAACTCGTCTGTTGTACTCTCTCTCTGTTGTATTAAGCCGAATTTCAAAGAGAAAGAGAAAATCTTATTTCTAGCGGGAGTATCATAAATCGTAATGTGCCGCATACGTTTAACATGTGAATCTATTTCTGTTTTTTTTTCTCTTTCTCTAAACAGTCCATGACAGTTGATTTTATCGAGCTATCACTAGTAGTAGCCGAAACTGTCAAAACATCTCTCATCGTAAAACTTGTTCTCCTCTTCTATTATTCCCAAGACGTTCGTAAAAATCTAGAGACTCTAGCGCGACACCGAAAATTAATCTCGGCATGAGGATCTTTCTTGGATTAGCTGGTCAAAAGTGCGTCAAAAGACTGCATACGTTGATGAATGAGGTCGTTTTGATTTGAATTTCAAAGAATCTCGGAAGAATGGAGAATGGAGTATCTTCATGGTATAGAATTAAAATCCTCCACGGAGGATATCACGGAGTTCAGTCACGATACTACGAATCTTGTCTAGTGGAAGAGTAACTCGAGCCAACTTGGTCGCGAACGACCGAGAGTCTAAGCAAACCGTCGGCAACGGTCGCCTGGGCTCGAGCGATCGCGTTGGAAAGGTCGGAGAATCCACGAGAGAGAGAGAGAGAGAGAGAGAGAGAGAGACGGATCGGGAACGGAGATCGGCGAATTAAGCGTTTCGGGGGCGCGACGCACGCACAGGCGAATCGAGAGCGCGCGGACACACGTTATGAAACGATAGCGATCCGTGGTATGCCCAGTTAGAACCTCAATGGCGGTTACAGGTTACCTAGGGCTTCCTGCGGAAATGGCCAATATACACCTCCGACCTCCAACTCGCTCCGCCGCTCGCGAGCGAGCGAGCGCGCGCGCGCGCGCGCGAACGCTCGCGAGCGCGCACTCGGATCGCTCCTCTCGATTTATGTTCGTAGCGTACCCCATATGTCCGTACGCGATCGCCCTGTCGACAGGCTCGACACGCTCGACGCTCGTTACGGCTCATCATCGTGATCTATGCGCCTACAACAAACGCCACATCCTTAATCCGTCCTAGTTGCACGATCGTGTGCGCGCACGGAAAAAAAGAGAGAGCCCCAACATCCTTATCACGCGCGCCGCCTAGCCGCCTGTTGTAGACTTCGCCACGTCTCTCTCTCTCTCTCTCTCTCTCTCTCTCTCTCTTCTCTCTCTCTTCACGGAGGAACTTTCTTCCGCGGATTCGCGCGGCGCGTGCGTCTACGCAACCGATGGATCAGCAGAACTCATTCGCCCAATTGATATTTTCGCTCCCCGTCGCCGCGCCGGGGCAAGTAGCACCGCGTGTTTCTGTCTGCACGCTGGATAGATACGTGACGTAGCCAGACGAAGAATGTTCGTGCATATTTCGTCTGTGCCGCGAGGCTCAGCAGTGACTGAGACATTAACGCGTTAGGACGTTCATGCAGATGTAAGTGGGAATTTCGTGTGCCAAACGCGCATAGTTTTCTTCATCGCCATCGTTGGTCGGCTGGGTTCTAAATTTGACATTTTCCGTCTTGCTTCGTACTCATGCATGGAAACTAATTCGAGAAATGTAATATATACGTATATAATGTATATATATATATTAATATATTAATAATTATTATTGTTATATATTAATTAACATTCCACACACACACACACACACACACACATATGTATAATTTTAATAATTTCGTTAGTAAAAATTTCAATTAATATATATGAAATTCTTATACACACATTTTGCGAGAGACGTACGAAAAGATGTAAAGAAATAAGCAGCTAATAGTCAACGCGCACAGGATACGACGTATTTCAAGTGTGTGGTTTAGAGCCAGTCGGATTCAATTTTCATGGAGTTTCTGCGAAGAGGAAGAAAACTCAAGGTCCACATTGGTGTCGATCGAGCAGATATGCGTTCCCGAGGAAGAATGGCCGTTACAGGTCATCGCGAAGAAAGGAACAAAGCGTAACTGACAATGACACCACAAACATCGGTTGACCCCCGCAGATTTAATCTGTCGAATCAGCATTTTAACGAGTTTACAGCTAACACAAATGTGTTTGCGAGAATAAAAAAGTCAACGAAGGGCCAAGGAATTGACAAAAGCGATTCGAACTTTCGAGCGCGACTCGTAATACACGTCTCGCTTTTCGAGCGCGCCTCAGATGAGCGCGCGATAAATTCCAAATTGTCAATATTAACGAAATCATCAATGCAGGATACTAATAATAATAAAAATCACCGTTACTTAATCATATGGAAAAAAGGAAGAGGAAAGATTGGGGCGTGGGGGATGAATCCGGATCGACGATAAAATTTGATAGAAAAAGCCCGCGAGAGTTCGCAGAGTTTCAAGTAGAAGAAGCGAGCTGGAATTGTCCAATGGATGCCTTTGGAGGCAAATCCACGATGAGCGTGGTAGCAAGCCGGTTCAAGCGAATTCAATTAAGAAAGAATTATAATCTTTCCTCGATTTGAGATGGACACATCAATTTCGAAGCGTAGCGTGAAATCGGATCGATCGAATCGTGCGTGAATGCGACCGTCCGCACGAAGCGACCCGGGGCCTTCGCGTCTTGCGTCTTGCGTGTCACGCAAGAAGCGGCACGTGCGAACGAATGAATGAAAGTTTGCAGGGATAGTAAGAAGAACGGGTCAATCTACCAATTGACCAGCCAGTCGGCAACCGGTAGCGCACAAACGAAGAACACCCGTTCCACCCTCGCGCGGCCGTTTGTGCGGCATACGCGCCATCACGCATCACGCGGTGCGCTCCCGCTCCGAGTGGAGTGGAGTACTTTCGCCGAGGCGAATTGGTCGTGGAACGGAGTGCAGCGCACGAGATAAGGGTGCTCGTGCTCGTGCTCGTGCTCGTGCTCGTGCTCGTGCTCGTGCTCGTGGTAGTGGGGGATGGTTGACTCTAGTGGCCACACAGTCAGTTGCTCTTATGCTCGCCAGCAACGAACAACGAGAGAGCGCGCCGCGCCGCGCCGTTTCGATTCGACACTGACCGTGCGGGCGCGAGCGCGAGCGCGAGCGCGAGCGCGGGCGCGCGCGCAACGAGAACGAGAACGAGTTGAGGATTGTGTGCCTTCGAGGGTAGCAGATTTCAGTCAGCAGTCAGAAAAAGAAGCGAGAGAAAGAAGCAAAAGGAAGGGAGATCCTTTCGACGGACGATCGCTCCAAGAGCTGGCAAGATCGACCGCGCCGATCGTCGATCGTGGCCAAACCGACTTTGGACTTTGCGCTTGGTGTCGCACAATTTGCCCCTGAAGATCATCGTTCCGTTTCTTATCGCTCGTACGGCCACTCGGACAAGTTAAAAAACAAACCACGAAGGAGGACCACGCGCGGATCTGGCGCGCGCGCGCGCGCGCGCGTATCGCGAGGCCTTCCATGCGACTGGATGTGTACGCGCATATCGGCAACTCACGTCCCGGTCAGCGAGAAAAACAGTGCGAGATTATACATTTGTATATCGCGGTGTTGCAGTTGATCGCCGCAATAGTGAGAAAAATCGAAACGGAGATCGGATCGAACCGCTTGCGAAAGCGCGCGCGCGCGCGCGCGTGCGTGCGTGCGTGCGTGCGTGCGGCCCAGCGCGAGGGAGCGCCTGAGAGCGCGCGTTCACCGTTCAAAATTCAAAGCGCTCGCTCGCTCGAACGAGGCGGATGATTTTTGCTTTCGTGCGCGTCGCGCGTCACGCGTCGCTTTCCCGACGCGAAATGCATCGTTACTGACGACGAGCTGACGCGGCGACGGCGACGCGACGTGACGTGACGACAAGTACGACGAGTGACCGACCCGTTGTATAACCCCGGGGACAACCCGTCGGGGATTTCGCGGCGACCTGCCGAGTCGAGTTTTCTCTCCCCGGATATTCGACGGAAGTGTCCAATCCGTTGTCCTGTCCGTTGCACTTGTTGATGCGCGGCGCACGGACTGCGCGCGGCACGTCTGCGTTTCGAAGGCATCAGCCAAGGCCGATGAGGAAGCATCGGCTCGCTTAGCGAGCGGCGCACAAATCGCGCTCACGGAAGGTCAAGAGGAACATCGAGGAGCGATGATTAGCGCACCTCGGGGTCGAGGTTCGCGCGGAAGCTGATTCTCGCCGGTCGCGGTCCACGTCGGCAAGCCGGTTATTATGTTAGGAACAGGATTATGCGCCTTGCTGAAGGTGTTGGTGCTGGCGGGGGTGGTCGCCGCGTTCCTGCCGGACGATGACGAGAACATCGTGCTGGACAGCCTCGAGGAGGAATGCGCCTCCAAATGTCCGGACCTCACTCAGGTAAGACGGAAGCGGTCACTGCGCCGCGCCGGAGATCAGGCAATCGGCAGTGAACAATTCCTAAACACGGGAAGGGAACTTTCCTACCAGATGTTGACGTTCGAGCAAGTGCTATACTACCGAGTGCCCTCCGGCTAGGATGTTATCCGCAGCATTTCAAGGCAGTCTCATAGCCATGTATCTTACAGTTATCTTATAGTTATGTAGATATATCATCTTGCAATACGGTATACAGATTTTCATATTATAAAGTCAGATTTACGCCGCACGCCATGTATACGTATATTATATTCCTTCGTTCAAATTCGCGCGTCAATTGGTGCGCGAGAAAATTCGCTATCGCGGCAATTTCGCCGCTTCGGACGGAGAAACGCTTTTCTCACCTTCTCGTTTCGGACGCGTATGTAACGTAAAGTTACACCCTTTGTATTTGGAGTTCCTACATGAGCGCCGCGTAAATAACATCGCCTCGGCTGTCCGCGCGGAGGCGCGGAAAGGCACGCATTTAGCCAAGTTCAAAGCAGGTCCCCTGTTCGCTGTGACTCCGCGCTTTTTTTTCCTCCCGTTGCGCCAAAAGTCACGAGGAAAAACTATCGCATCGAGCGCATTGCGGCACTTGCATATTCCAATGCGGGATATCTACCTTCGCAGATAAGAGACGTCGAAGTACGCGCGCTTCCTACGTTCGCGGGCGAAATGAGAATCGCGCGCGCCCGCGGCGCAGGGGAAATCGCGAACTTGCGACGATTCGATTATAACAAGGCGGCCATTTATTTATTTGCACTCCGCTCCGTATCGTACAGCGAGATCGTCGCCAATGGCGGCCGGCCCGTATAGAGACCGATAAGACGCGCAGCGTCGCGCGCGCGCGCGCGCGCGATTACGACGTTTCTACGACTCTATCGTCTCGCTTATCGACATTATTTATGTCTATCTTTCATCGTATCTCATTGTCGTATCTCATTGCAAGACTACTGTATGCGTTACGCTCGTTTATTGTCCGCGAGGCATGGTTATGCTGATGCGAACGAGCGTAAAATTAATCGCTAGGACACGCGACAAAAATAGCCGGTCGGATTCACGCTAAACGTAACTCACGTCGCTTATTTATCGCGCTCGCTCACGCGATTACGCCAACGACTTCGATCACTTCTTCGCTTTTCATATCTTACGAAGAGTGTCACGTAAAATACCGAGTTTATCGACTCCGCTCACTCTGCGACGTCGCAGAGCGCGAAAAATGTGCGCCTCGCTTCCTCCCCACCAAACCATACATGTTGGATTTCTTCTCGATAGAAGAATTTTCGTGCGCGAATTTATTATATAGTTGCCCCGCTTGCGCCTTGCGAGTATCTACGAGTAACGTCCGCGCTGTCCGCCGTTTCCGAATTAAATCGCCGCGCCGTCTGGCGAATCAGTTTTTGGGGAGAGGAGTGCGCGCGCGTCGATGCGCTAATTAATAGGAGATATGCGAGAAGAACGCAATTGGCGCAATTAGCGTGACCTGCGCGCGGGATCCTCGAAATTTACATCAGCGCGTCGATTTATCGTCTCGCCGACCTACTTACATTTCTTTCGCGACTCGGCACACGCGTGCGACCGCGGGGGACCGTAATACGCGAGGACTTTTCGCTTGGCACTGCCAATTTATCGAAGGCTCGCGCGATCTACTCGCGAGATCGACGCGCTTGGTTCTCCGCCATTAGAGAATCTCGTCGCTTCGGCGACCTTCCGCCGACGCGGGGATCCAAGGCGGAATCCCGAACGAAGTGTCATCAACGAAGTTGCGAAGACGTTGCGCTTTCACGGTTAATTTTTCCAACGCTCTCGTCCCGCAACTGCAAAACTGCAAAACTGCAAAACTGCAAAACTGCAACTTCGAAAGAGGGTAGCGCGATGTCGAACCGCTGTGTTCGATTTTGCCTCGAAAATCCTCGCGGGCACAATTCGTATCGACACTCGCAGCCGGGGCTGCGAGGTGTATCCCCTCTGCGAGTCGAGTTTAGCTAGTGACGGCACGAAAATGGCTGCGCGCGAGCGGCGAAGGACGTATCAATTTAAGTCCACTCTCCATCTCGACTGTACCATTCATTAATTAACTTAACTACACGACGGCGCATCATGGCAGTCCATAAGCATAGCGTCGAGGATGAAAGACGAGCATGTAATGGATACGGGGCCATCTAATCCCTTTCCTCCAGGGAAGGACGAAAATGTCGTTTTCCTCGCAGGCGAGCAGCCTTCGTCCACTTGACGAACGGCGAACGGCTAACAGCGCACTCGCAGTCGCACCGCATCTTTCGCAAAAATGTCGCTCTTTCAGCTGATAGTATCTATAATACGAGACCTGAGGTGGATAGAACGTGGCGGAGCGAACAGTTTGAAGTCATTTTCCGTTATTGCACTTATTGCACTGAGAGCTTCTTTCCGACCCGAGTAACGACGCGAATAACGCCCGCGCGCTGTTTTCCGTTCTCTCGCGATGCAGAACATGCAGACTCGCGCGCGACTAGAAAGAAGAATTAATTTTTCCTCCAATTAGTTTTATGACAGTTGCCTGATATTATAAGTCATCGAACTCTCGCAACCCTTCCTCGTCCGCGTTGGCGTTTCAATTATCCCGTTGCCGCCTCCGCCTCCGCCGCCACCATCGTCGATAGATAAAAGGAGCGTGCTTTGGAAATCACTTGTTCGATCCCTTATCTCGAGTGCATAATTCATTTTCTTACTCCCGTTCTCTCTAATCTGCACCTCCCTCTTCTTCAACCTTCGAACGAACGAGGGAGACTTCCCGAGGAGGCGCGATAACAGCTTCCACGCGATCGAGTATCTTCGGGCACCTCGATGAGAGGGGAGCCCGAAATAATTTATGGATTCAGCAGATCGAAATCCATGTGCCTTCCGACCTCCAAACGCTTCGTCATATTTACACCGTGACCTTTAAGATATTAGTGTTGTAGTCGAAGAACCGACAGTCGAGGCAAGCCGATTCTTATTGTTATCGTGTGCGCATTATCGCTCGTAGCCTTGCTTTCAAAACGGTCTTGACGCTTTCTTCTCGCTGATGCAATTTGGAACGAGAGAGTTCGATAATCGGCCGGGTGGGACTTGTGTCTGATTAATTGTCGGAGGAGTCATGTGCGTCGAGAAGAAAGCGTCGAAACCGTTTGGAAACCAAGAGTACAGTTGAACCGCATCTTCTTTTCCTATCTTTTCGCTTTCTTTTCTGTTTTTCTTTTCTTTTCTTTCTGTATACTTTTTGTACCTTGCAATCTTTCGGTCTCAGCGGAGTTAACTTAAGTTGCGCGTTGAAAGCGAACAAACTCAACGTCCTGTCACTTTTTCACTTTTTCGTATTATATTGCCATTCTTATTTTTGCTCATGGGTGAAATTGCGCGCGCATGTTTGAATGTACTTGCCGAGTCTGGAGAGAAATGCTTACACACACGTGACGCTCGTGTCGCTCTCTTTGGAATAGTATATTGACGTATTAATCTCTCGAGGCAGCGTCGCGAGTAAGCATCGGCTAAAAATAATCCGAAAGGCGCCCGCGTTATTTACTACACACGAATTTAACACACATACACACATGTTATTTAAACACACGAATATCAGTAATATGCTTCTTATCACGTTTCAGGGTGATGCTTAGAGAATGACCTTAGGCTTGCATAACAGCGAGACACATTTCCCGAGCTCTTCGTCTCTCTCTCTCTCTCTCTCTCCCCCCCCCCCTCTCGCCGGCCCTAACCTTCTAATCTCCTCAGCTGTTGTGATAACTTTTACTTTGCGCAATAATTCGTCGTCCTTTGACGTGGCGACGATCTTACCACTCTACCTAATATTCTAATTCCATCTGACACGTTCGTGAGCGAATCGCGAGCGTAATTCCGTCGACTTCGTTTCGACAGCGTCGTCGTAAAGCGCGGTCTAAACTTATCGATCTTAGATAGAATCATACGGACTAAAGAACGGAGAACGATTCTCTATTCGCTCTAGACGCCGACGGAAAAATTAACACGCTACATTTTCAGCAGCGCACGTTTGCATCGACGCACACGTGAGAATTTGTTGAAAAGGCAAGTTGGATATTTTGAATAGTACGTCATACATGCGTGACGTCGCGTTTCGAGTGAAAGACCGATATGTCACACGCGTGTCATGGCGAGCATGTTAATTGGCACGGTTGCAAGTGTATGCTCTGGCAAATGGAAAGTAAATAGACCCGTAAAGATGGCTTCTTCGGATCAACTCGAAGGGAAAAGAGCGCTTTCGTTGATAATCGGGCAAATATCGTAGCATGAGTAAACAGCGACCGTAGCGTAGTAACGTTCGCATCGATGACAGTCAATTTCCCAGTCAGCCGTTACGCGCGACCTACGTATGTACGCACACATCGCGCACTTGCATCATCGAGTGGGAAATTCTGACATCGATATAATGTTACTGCGAGTTGGCCATCTTTACCGGCCGGTAGTTTTCCCAGAATCTTCATAGCGCATCAAGTATTAGACGCGACATACCGGATTCGCGGATTCGCGGATTCTGATGTTACGTGGAATCTGCGCAGGATCGTCCGGCATGCAACATTATATGTGTAGCCATACACACAATGAACTTCCTGTCGACCACATCCTCCTCGACTACAACGTGACGCGGCAGGGAATCGCGCGCGCCTCACGCGGCGCATCGATCGTGCGAATTTTCATCGCGGCGCAAATCCGGCGAGCTTGTGCGATAGGCGACTTTCCGAATGATTGAGAACTCGTACACGCGCGACTCGCGTCGGTTAGGTCCAGATGTCGCTCGTTCCGACCAAGTTTCGCGAAGACGTCCCTCCGCGGAGCGGAGACAGTTTCGCGCGAGTGACGTTTCCGTGAAACTCGTTACTCGTTCGAGTCGAAAGAGTCGATGTGGGATGTCTCTTCAATTTTACTAATTAGTCCACGCGCGGCGGAGTTCAACTAAAAACTGCCGCATCAAATAATTAGCCGGCCGAAACTCGGTCCGCGCGACTTGATGTACTCGCATGTATCCGTTTTAATTGGCATGACGTCAGCCGAAACCGCCGGCCAGCCGTCGCGTTTCCCAGGATTTGTTTGCGTTGAAAAATTCAACGAGCGACTCGTACCGCGTGACACGATCCGCATATGTATGCGCATTCGAATGCACACGTTTACGCAACTTTAGCTCTTGATTGCGGCAAGAGAGAGAGAGAGAGAGAGAGAGAGAGAGAGAGAGAGAGAAAGAGAGGGAGCACTTGGTAATAAATAAATAAAAGCAAAAGAAAAGAACATTTTCAGTCGCGAAGAAAATTCGCATTCGAAATGAACGAATCGGTGATTCATTGTTTGCGAATCGTATCGATTATATCGATGCGACGAGGGAAATCCGTATCGATCAAAATATCTCTTGATATTTTCTTAACGACGTTTTTCTTCTCAGGACGACAATGCACCGTTGACGCTACATTTCATGGGGGTTTCCTTCTGTGCTCGCTCCCTGAGAAAAACTAATGTCCCAAGTTTAATGAGATAGATGCGGGTGGACCCGTATACGCAGTACAACTGCAGTCTCTCTCTCTCTCTCTCTCTCTCTCTCTCTCTCTCTCGGCTGCGTTAGCACGAGCGAGCGCAAGACCTGAGAGAGATTTATTTCTCTCATAATACGAAACGTCACTCTTTCTTTCCCGGAGATCTCCGTGTCGATATATATTTTTTTCAAAGAGTGTCTTCGGGGTCGCGTTTTTGCGCGAAGCTACGACGGATGTGCAGCGCGAACGCGTTAAGGGTTAATTTACCTTCTTGTCTAGAACTGTCGACAAAGTTGGCCCATTTTGCGCTGACTTGCCGAGATTTTTCGCGTGCTCCCTCCGTGCGAAACCCCCCCATGTTCTCTCGTATTTCATATTTTCTTCGCTTTAGGATCGTCACAGAATTTGTTGAAGTTGAGAAGGATCGTTGAGAATTGTCGAGAGAGCCCGCGTGTCTATCGGCTTTCTCCTCGATATCGACGCGATTCGATCGTGCTGAAGGCAAATTTTCAATCTTGGGCCGCTGTTCCAGCCGAGTGAACACCAGCCGGTATACACCCAACACCGTGCGACCGTGCACGTTGGAGACCGCAGAAAAAACCCGACACCCTTTTCCTTAAACTTGAAACAGCGCGCCGCGAGCGCGCGCGCGCGCGCGCACGCAAAATAATAACGTTCATGCAGTATTATCTTGCCGCTTTATTTCGACGAATATCAAGTTCTACGCGCGCTCATATCCTTTGCTCATCCAACGTGGTAATATTTTATCACATTGTTATCAGTGAAGAAGAGGTAGTAGCCCTTTCGAGCGCTCACTTCTCAGTAAGTTGAAAGTATTGGAGACGAGAAGAAAAAATAATGAGAGAGAGAGACGGAATTGCGTAATAATAATTTACGAATATCTCGGATGCCCCACGAGGAAACAAACAACAACGGCGAATAACAAACGATTGTATTTCCGTATAGTCGGTCTTTGCGCGACACCCGCTATTATTTCCGTCTTTGAGATTACGGCTAGGCGGGAAGAAGCAACAGTTGGCCGGCGCCGCCGAGCGTGACGGAAGGACGTGCGGAAGGACGGGCACGTCTATGCATCAGGCAATTACCTTAGATCGAGTAAAGCTGCTCTTTAGCTGCCAATTTCCCCTCGCTTCTTTCCCGCATACAACGAAGCACTAACGAGTAGTAGCCTAAAGACGTTGATTGAGAGCTCAAGGAGAGACTAATCGCCGAAATAGTCGAATCGTTCGGCCAAATTGATCGAAGAGCGGGAAGGACGAGGGGCAGAGAGAGAGAGAGAGAGAGAGAGAGAGAGAGAGAGAGAGAGAGAGAGAGAGAGAGAGAGAAAAGGACGAGAAAACTCAAAGATTGCAAATCTTTACTTATTATTTATTTATATATTATTTAGTGATATATATTTATAACGTATAGTACTGACGAGCAAAATGTGGCCGAACGTCCCGATATTTAAGTACTTGGTATCTGTGAATATATCTGTCAGTTAAATTTGCAATTTGGCTCTTACCGTCCTTTGATTGCAATGAAGGAGCCTTGTATTCATTTATCTGATGAGAGATAATTTCCGAAAGACTACGACACGTATACTACGGAGTGTGAGAGAGTGCGCGCTTGCAACGAGTGTGCAAAATAAATTTTAAAGCAGAGATTCGACAGAACGGTAACAAAGTTTCGGAATGTGAAGAAAGATTGCCGCTCATCGCGAATATAAAGTGCAACGAGTATCGCGTCGCGAGTGAGATATTTCCACGAGACGCGAAAAATGAGAAGGGGAAAGAAAAAGATTTTAAAATTGGTACTACGCAAGGGGCGAGATAATGCGCGAAAACACCGTACGCGATCTCCCCCTCTCGCTTACTTCTTATCATTGAACTCGCCGTCGCTGGCAGCTACGCACGAGGAAAATATATGACGACGATGGCGTGCCTCTAGCTGCTATTGTCGTTTCCGCGGAAATTTTCGTCCGTGCTACGGGGCAATTTGCGTCCGTGCCGCGCGTATTATCTAATTACAGAAATTTCAAGTTAAACGCACCGCCGTCAAACATCGCGCGGCTGCTACGAGCGTACAGACCTGGCTGGGATACGCGCATTCGGCGGCATTAATTTGTGTATCAAGTACAATAAAACATAATTCAATAAAACATGTCGAAATATATATAGTATTAACCCAATAAAACTATATTTCCATATATAAATATGGCTACAACATAGCTATATATATATATATATATATATATATATGATATATTACAATTATATTATACAACTATAATATAATTGTGCGTGTTGCTATTGCGAAGAGCGATCCCCAAAGATGCAGGTAAAACGGGAAACAGAAATACGATAGATTTCCGATCTGCCGTATCGGCGATCGTGTTCGGCAAAATTCGCAACGCGACGGCGACGGCTCGTTCTCACAGCGGTCTCACAGCGAGCGGTTGCGGCTCGACCGCGGCGCGTCAAGTCGATTTGCATTCCGCACGGCAGCTGAAGCCCGGCGTCGAAATGAAACTTCAACGTTATGGTAATCAGGCGACGGTCCCCAACGCATCGACTTCCAAAATTCCCATGTGGAGCCAAGCACCGACTATGCTTGACTTCACACCCCTGGCAACCCCCGGCGCGCACCCCCTCCGCACCGCCACGTGTATCTCTGCACGCCGGGCCGGGCCTCTTCCAATCGCTCTCCCATTTCCACCGAGAACCGGACGTACACCTGTGTCCCGGAAGTCCGTAACGTACAGGTGCAGCCGCTGTAACGAGCGCGTTAATGTTAATCCGCTAACGTTATGCATGCCGCACAGCCAGGGACGATTATATTCGGCGATTCATTCGCGCGCGCGCGCGCGCGCGCGCACGGCGCACCAGATACACGCCAGATACACGGGGGTGTCAATTGAACCGGATGCAGCAGTTTAACGTCTTTTAAAGACGGCAAGCGATTCAATTTATTTTCCGCCGTCCCTGCGCGTAACACGATCGCGGCTACCGCTACGTTCGCCATGCTAGCGTGCTCTCGACGTCTCTCTTTTTATTACGCGTTTCATCGACGCGTCCTCTAGGCGCGCGCGATATGAGCACGTTGCGAGCCAATTTCGAGCATCTCTCGACCGTTTTAAACCGTTTTAAATCGTGTCCCTCCCTCTCTCTCCCTCTCCCTCTCTCTCTCTCTCTCTCTCTCTCTCTGTCGAAGCCCCGTATTTGCCCCGCTTGTTTTTAACGTTCAAACGCTCGAACGCGAGTGCCGGAGGAAATAAGCAATACATCTTAAGACGAGGTGTACGTTTCTCTGCTTGCAGAATCGAACGGACGACGCGAGCTCGGAGGTCGAATGTGGAGTGAGGTGCAAGATCGAACAGGTAAGATGAACCATCGTGCTGCCGAAGCGTGTGCAAACGATTCCTCCTCGAAAGCCGCGTTATCTCACCGCTATACCGTATACGCTACAGAATCCGTACAACCGTCAGCAGGCATTCTCGTTCGAGCTCATGTGTCGTCATGTGCCGCCTTACAATAATCAGCCCTTTGGCTCCTCAAAGGGCTAATTAGCTCTCCGAGGCTAGTGCGATCTATGACTACACTCCGGCCGATTCTACCTCGAACTTGGCGACCATGATCGGCGATCCCGGCGCGCGATACGCGCGGATGACCGGCGCGGACGTCGGAGACGAAAATGAAGGGACGACGGTCCCTCGTTACAATGAAAGTACTTCCGCTGCTGGGTCCCAGGGGGCCCAGTCGCTCCTAACTCGGAGCGGCGGAGACGGCAAACGGCAAATAAAAACAACGCGCGGCCGATGAATGGGACGAACGCGCGCGGATACGCGCGCGTACGAATGAAAGAATGGCGAGTCTCTCTGTCTCTCTTTCATCCTCTCTTTCTCTCTCTCTCTCTCTCTCTCTCTCTCTCTCTCTTTCGTACGGCTTCGTGCCTTTAAATTGGATCGCGTACAAGTGCGGCCGATGGCGGATGTCACCAAATTGCCGTGCGACTGCGGATTCACTCTCTCGCGCCTCGTTCTTCTCTCTCTCTCTCTCTCTCTCTCTCTCTGCTTCGTTTGTTTCCCTCTTCCTTCTCGTCTCTCGAGACGGACTTCCGCTGCGAGTATGCGAGGAAAAGCGAGGAAATTGCGTGGCGCCTCCGGCCGAACCATCACGTTTGCCGGACGTCTCGTCGCTCCTGCAGCCGGGGAAAAAGAATTTTGACACAGAGAGAGGTCGAAATGAGGACGAAAGAGGAAAACGCACGCGCACGATAGGCATCATCCACGAGAGCTGGAATCGCGAAATGGCGCGCGAATTGCGCTTAACGATTTCCTCCTTCGGCTCGTTTCACGGTTCGTAAGTCTGCTAGTAACGCGCGTACGAGTAACGGACAGCGAGCGACGTAGGTGGAGGAAGACGCTCCGCGATTCTAGCTCTCTGGGTATTTACGCGCCTCGGTGCGTGACCCACTTCCAACTTTGATCTTGTCGCGTTCTTTTGTGTCTTGAGAGACGAAAAAGATCTCCACTCTCTCTTGCTTCTCGCTTGCGCCTGGTCTTTGAGAAAAATTCAAGAGAGGCACGACGGTGAAATCAATTTGTAATAAATTGTGTAAACTGAACTACGGCGGAAGAGTTCTCTCGCACAAAAAGTCGAGTGCGTGCCACCGTCATAAGGGGCGTGTTTTGTCACAATGTTCATGATGTTGGTTGCATTCTGCGGACACCGGATAACGGATTGACTTGACACTCCTTCCGGTGATTTCACAGCTCGATAACGACGAATTAATACCGCTGGAATTTCTTTTGTTCGGGCCCCCCTCCCCCCCCGTTATTTTTTGGTTCGCTCTCGAAAATTAATGTAGCCTCGCATCCTCTCTCTCTGTCTCTCTGCTCGCCTCCGGAAGTAATAACTTCCGTGGATTGTTGCGGTGCCACCGTAATTAGTAAGATACACTGGCTACTCGAACTAAGAGACAAAAATTATTTTTCGATTACGAGATGATACGAGAACAAGAAGAATAAATACGTATTTGCATGCGTTACCGATCACGACGGACTGAACGGGATATAGAAAAAAAGTACGCTCTGCTTCGAGATTATACGTAAAGCGCACGCACACATAGTACATAAGCATCTAAACAAAATGTAAAACTTCACGAGAGCTGTCTTCACGAGAGACTTTCGATAAGCGAGAGGAAAATACAACGTCCCGTTTCGCGAACGATTATTATCGTGTCAGGAAAGAACCAAATTATCATTCGTCGAGTTTAGAAAATCACAAGGCTCACACGAAAGCTGAAAATTCCGAGATACGCGTACATTACGATAAGTCTATCGTTTCTGATTCGAAGCGACAACCGCGGGGAACGCGTCGACTCGGGCGAGCGAACGATAAACACTCTCTTCCATGTATCGCGCGTCTGGTAAGATCCAAGAGTCCGGGCGGTTAAGAATGTTTGTCAACGAGGTAAAGTGGAGAGGACCACCGACCGCGAGATATCCATACAAATGTCTACGCGGCAGCAGCTATCGTCCCGTGCCGGAAGCCACTTTGCCTCTTTACTACTTTACGTAAATTGTCCATCGTGGATGCGATAAAGATTATTAAAGCTATCGCAAAGTGATGTATAAACTCTTGCAAACCGAGATTCTCAATCGTTTCGCTGCACATTGGATTGCGATCTGCACCTTATTCAGACAAACTTGCAGGACAGATTCTATGTTGACAAAAATAAGCACGTATTTACGTATATTTATCGAGACTTTTTTATTCATTTACTTATTTTGTTATGTAAAATCTATCCTGTGAGAGTTTGTCGATGGAGTTCCGGGATACACCCTGCATTTTGGCAGAAACTTTATGTGGAAGTTAAGCGCGCGCAAATTGGCAGTTTGTCGTAAAGCTATCGCGAGAACGATTCGAGCTACCGTCTCACTCGTTACTCGTATTTTTTTCCTGTTGTTTTACCGCGTGGATCCGGGCTAAAAGCAATAAACGGGGTTAAAGTAAAACGAGGAGAGGACAGATAGACGCTCATCTGCGGTACGATGAAGATCTACGATCCACGGGGAGCAGCGTGCACAGCGAGGGCCTAGCTGGGGACATAATACACGCTGAGGGATTTAATGAGGAAGTGAGAAATTAGCGACCGCTGCGCAGAGAGAAAGAGAGAGAGAGAGAGAGAGAGAGAGAGAGAGAGAGAGAGAGAGAGAGAGAGAGAGAGTGTGTGTGTGTGTCTTGATTTAACCATTTCCCATTGTCTAATAGTTTTGTCAACCTTCATTGGGTGGCTGGGCCGTTAAAAAAATCATGTTTGACGAGACGCGACGAATTAAAGAACCCAGACGCTCGTTGAGGCGAATTAAACCAGGGGATCCGTTCAATGCGTTTTTTTTTCGCGACAGACAAATATCTATATCTTATAAAAAATGAAATGCTAAGATGAAAGTATAAAATCGCTGATAACACGCTTCGTGCACTTTTCGATAAAGGAAAGGAAAAAGAAATATGAATTGCAAGGTTAAAGCGAAAAAAGATATCCTGCAGGATTTAAAGCGCAACGCGACGATCGAATCGATGATTTGCTGGGACCCATCGTGTAGCTCCAGCGTGAAACGATTATTAATAATGTTTATCTGCCGCTGGAGATCCTTCTCCTTTAACAGACTTTTCAAACGAGTTGACCTATGCGATACCCTCGTACACCGCTATGCGCTGCGCGTTATTGCGAGCGACGACGCGGTTGCGCGTCTCGAAAGATCGGATCACACGCTCTCAACAAGCTTGCTCTTTGCTCTTCAAATATGATCCCCGAGGATTTTTTAATGGAGAAAGAGCGAGAGATAGAGCAGCTTCGTCGTGTGGATTTGCAAACACTCGCTTTTTATCCGAATCTTTATCTTAGATGGGGGATCATGTAAGATCATGTAACGAGCAGAATCGGTGGATTGTTTGTTCACAGTCGCGCGTCGCTCGATCTCTTAAACGAAAAAAAAAAAAAAAGAAAAAATTGCGAAGCCCGTCGGAATATTCGAATTCGAGCAAGTAACCACCACCATGATCGGTAATGTCGGCCGGGGAAAACAGGCGGCGGTTTCCCGCGCGATGCGATTTCATTATTATTCCGTAATACCGAGTGCCGCTCTATTATTTATGCATGGCGCCTCTCAAACTAAGCGGAGTGTCGACCAGCCCGTCAATTGCTAAATAACACCTCTCTCGTATCACTCCGGACGTTAAAATAGACCTTCCACTATGCGCTACTGCGAGACAATCGCTCTTATTTACGATTAAGATCGATGAAATTGCGTCAGCGAGGCGAGACGTGGAAATGAAGAGACTTTGCGTTTTGTCGTGCGTTGCTGTCGTGTGTGTAACGAAGTCTGTATCAAGAATCCATGACGTGTGTGTGTGTGAAACTTTGTAAAAAAAAGATGAGAATAATAATCTTGCCGAGTCGCGCGAGTCGCGGAGCGCTTGAGACGGGCTGCGACGGGTAGCAACGTCTCAGCCGTTTAAAGATTCATTAAAGTACGCACTCGAGGCACTCGAGCTGTATATTTATACTTCCAGCTGTATCCGAATGCACTTCTTTCCCCTCTCGTTTTCTCGGTGAATCCAACGGCATGCTCCGGCATACGCATCGCACACACACACACACACACACACACACACATCGTTGCGCTGCGAAAGAAAAGTTTACAAGTTTACAAGAATGAATCACCGACTGCGAGATGATTGAGTAATCGGCCTGCGCGATTAACAACCATTCGCTTTCGTCTTTAATCATTCATCTCGCTCGTTTGATCGCAAACTTTTGCACTTGTAATACTTTCGACTGACTCATGTGACTCGTACCTTTGAACACCACACTCTTTTCGCGCTCTTTTCGAGCATTTAACTTCGAGCAAGTTTGCATCCGAAGAAAGCGCCGTTCAAGAATGCAAATTCAAGATGCCATATCTCGAGTCCCGAGATATGATTTTTGGGAAAAATCCGTGATCGAAGGAATTGCGTGGTAAACAAATGTGTGCAACGGCGCGATGGAAAACTGTGTCGCAGAGAGGAAGAGAGAGAGAGAGAGAGAGAGAGAGAAAAAAAGGCGTGCTCTCTCGAGGTCGCTGTCGACGTGTTGCCCGCGACAAATGCCCACATCCTCTCGCGTGGAAAGTTAATGCGTTAAACTTCTCTGTTCGCAAATCCATGCCCGACACGCCGCGCAACGGGCTTATGGTTCTTATGAACGTAGGCGTTACTTGAGGCACGTGCCGTGCACGTCGCGACCAGAGACGCGACCACGAAAAATGACAGTTTTGCCTCGCCCCTCGCCTCGCGTCTCGCCTCGCCTCGCCTCGCCTCGCCTCGACTCGACTCGCGCCATGCCTCTCGCGCGGCGGGATACATCGAGTTATGTCACGTCGTTCCAGATAACGTGACCCATTGTTCGCCCACTTCCTGAATTGTATTTTAACGAATTGTGAAATTCGCCCGGTGACCTTCGGCGGAAGGATGCATCGGCGACAGAGACAGAGACGCGTTTCTCGCGAGTCCGACTTGCGCGAAGCGAGAAAGCTTCTCTTCGAACGCACGGCGTTCGCGCACTGCGTAGAAGTAGCCGCGACATTTTGCATGCATCCGCGTAAACAAGACAGATTTTGCTTATTTCAAGCAACAATGTACAGAAACGTCTACGAGAAGTTTACAGTTTCCTTTGCTCGGTGAGACATGGAGCGACATGGGTCTTAGATGGGATTTCAAGGCCGCGAGAGTGCGGAACTGCTCAATCGTGCACCATGTAAACGTATAAAATGGACTCGTGAACAAAACTCATGACTCATTGAAATCGATCATGAGAGGAGCGCTTAATTAATGCGAGGAGATTAGTGGGTTGCTCTTTTTCGTCGGGTTGCGATGTGGTCTGACGACTGCATGCTTGTACCATCATCTTTACTCTGTACTCGGAAAAGTTTCTGATAAAATACCGCCGTAGTTACGGCCTCTCTCTCTCTCTCTCTCTTTCTCTCTCTCTCTCAGGCCAGAATTTTCGTTTCCGAGCTGAGTCGAATTTTCCGGCTGATTTTACGAAGGAACGAAGGAATTAAATGTGTAACGTCGCTTCTGTTTCAGTGTATGAAAGGCTGCGATGCGTGGCAACAAGCGCTCGACACAAGCTGCCAAGCTGTTTGCGTTAGTATCGCCGCCATATTTACTTTTACAAGGTTTATCGGTAGTGAGCTTACGTAAGAAAAGCTCGTAATGCTCGTAACGCGCATTTTTCTCCGCATGACCTCTTTTACATACAATACTTTATTATTTCGCAAATTCCGAAAAGATAAAAAAGCGTAATATTTTACTTTGCTGTTCTGTCGACAGAATGGAACTCAGGAACGGCTGCCGCCGAAGGAATTGTACTGTGTTCTAGGCTGCAACGATGCGCTAAATCGTTACTTCCAGCAGCTCAGAGGTAAAGAGCATCCTGATCTCTAACTTTTATATATTAATTCAGCCGAGCGCAACAGAATTAAAGAATCGGGAGGACTGTCGCGTGGGAGGGACAGTACATTTGTCGTCGCTCGCTTCTCTTCGATAAATCTAAGCAAAGTCGCAAAGTTAACATGAAACAACGCAGTCTCGTTAAAGTTCCGAGACTCAAGGTTCCTCTTGCGCGCACGCAGCCACGTCTGACCCACCAAAGCTTCAGCCGTCAGAAGTGCCATACGACATTAAAAGTTGAATGAATCCTGAATCGCACTATCCATCTGTCCGTCTCCATTTCTTCCTTCACTCCGCGTTGTATTTCTGCTCGTGTTGGGCTCCGACTCCGTATGCGATATTTCTCTGTCCCGGTAATGTAACCAGTAATCAGCCAGTACAATCCAGCGTCCACATCGGGAAACCTGCCGCTTCATCCGGCGGACAAGCAGCCGTGTGTGGCCTCGGTGTGGCTTTGAAGCGTCTCTCTCTCTCTCTCTCTAGAAGTCGGCAAACTCCTTGCCGTAATAATCGGAGGAGTCAATCTGGAGCGGCTCTTCGTCGTAATGGTCGAAGTTGCTGGTGTCGCTGAGACTGTCGCAGCGAGGGAGGTAGCTCGGCTGCACTTTCTGCTGGTAGATCTGGACCCAGTCGATCGACTGGAACCAACGATGCCGCTTAATATCCATGCTGCCCTCTTTGAGATTGCCGTACCTTCTGGTCAGGTCCACCTGAAGGACGTTCTTCAGGATGTCCCTCAACTCCTCGCCAAAGTGATGCGCGAACTTGTACTTGCCCGCGACGATCTTCTCGTAGATCTTCATGGGGTCCTGCGAGTAGAACGGCGGGTACCCCGCGTTCATTTCGTAGACCAGCACGCCGAAGCTCCACCAATCGACGGACTTGCCGTAACCCTTGGACAGAATCACTTCCGGCGCCAGGTATTCCGGCGTGCCGCACAGCGTCCAAGTGCGGCCCTCCACCATCTTGCAGAAGCCAAAGTCGGTGACCCTGATGTAGCCTGAGCTCTGTATGAGGATGTTCTCCGGCTTGAGGTCGCGATAGATCAGGCTGCAGTGGTGCAGGTATTCCAGCGCCAAGGCCACTTGCGCAGCGTAGAATCTCGCCAGCGACTCGTCGAACTTGCCCAATCGCCTCAGATGGGTGAACATCTCGCCGCCGTGCACGAACGGCAGCACCATGTACACGTAGGAGTTATCCTTGAAGCACAGATCGACACCCGGAACGTTTACGTTTACGTTTACGTTTACGTTTACGTTTACGTTTACGTTTACGTTTACGTTTACGCGTCTGTATTACTTAGACATGCCTGAGAGATCGAGCTTGCGCGAGCGCGCAAGCGGAAAGGTTGTCGCAACACCTAGGAAGTCGCGACACTAAGAGTCTAAGAAGCGACGAGTTCTTTCGAGTTACAAAGGCTACCGCCTCACTTTGCCCCTTTTGACTTTTGGTGCCTTGCCTTGAAGAAGTATTCCATGAAGACCGTGAAGGGGAAGCTGACGCTTTGCAGGATTCGCTTCTCGCTGCGCGTATGGTCCACCTGCTTCATTTTTACGAGTTTCCGCTTGTCAAGGATCTTCATGGCGTAGTACGTGGACGTGGGCTTGTACTTGACGAGAATCACACGGCCGAAGGCGCCGGCTCCGAGGGTGCGGAAGCGCTCAAAGTCGTCCAGCGACGTGACCTCGCTCTTCTTCGCGTTCCACCTCTCCGAGAACGTTTTCTTCAGGCTGTCCAGAATCTCGTCGTATTCTTTGAACATCCGTTCTCTCTCGACATCGGCCATGTCGCCTGTCGAGAAGCGTTCACCGCAGGCCGCTTCGCCCTGTGCGAAGCTCGAGGCTTTGAGATGATGATGTGAGAGAGAGAGAGAGAGAGAGAGAGAGAGAGAGAAACGACGTTTCGTACGTACTCGTCGCATGCGACGCTGCTTTGTTTTGCGCGTTATCGTTATGCAAAGATCGTGACACTCGTGTCACTTGTGTCACGAGCGATCTCAAAGGTGGCAGCATGGATCAAGCGGACACCCACCGTTGATAGACCGGACCGACGCCGACGCGAGGAGAGAGTTCCTTGCAACCTTTGCCGCCCCGGCGCCGATTCCTCTCGCTGCGATAAACAACCGCTCGAGGTTGACTGTGATCTCTTGCTGAGAGAATGAATTACGGCAATTTTTAGAATCTCATTCACCGCATCGACCTAACGTCCCGTAATAATAATTGTTTCACGGACAGCGGAGATCGGCACTCCACCGGCACCGGCGTTGGTCGCGGACTCATTGACCGCGACGTCCCTCAGCCTCGAATGGAAGGGCGTGGATATAAAAAGACGCGCCGAAGGGATCTCATACTTGGTGCAATGGAGATACGAGGAGCTGGCCGAGACGTGGCAGTACTGCAGGAATCAAACGTGGGGCGAAGGTGACCAGATACTGGTCGAGAACCTGCAGCCGTATACCAACTACAGGGTGAGTGGAGACGAGCGAGAGAGAGAGAGAGAGATATATATATATATATATATACTCGGTAAATATACTCTCGTGCTCTCTGTAGAAAGCAGAAAGTGAGAACGAAAATCAGTCGGACGACTGATCGCAATTTTATTCCTTCAACTCTTTGCGCGACAGTAATAAAGGTATACCATTTATCACTTACTTTGGTATACATTTACCACCTCTGTCATTTTCAATATCAAATGTCCGATATCAATGTCAATATCAAAAGAAGAAATTGAAAAAAGGAGAATGAAAAAAAAAAGAGTTAGAACATTCCCGCCGCGTTCACGTCGTTGGCTCTGGGAAGAGAGGTAGTTGTCGCGAAAGAGTTTCGGGAGATGTAATTTCGGAATTTTTGTAGATCGTGTTTTTCACCGTTTTGAATTTTAGAAATCTGAAATCTTTGGATTTCAGTCAGATCAACGAGCCAGAAAACATAAAAATGCAAGATTTCACAGAAATTCACCAGGTCGAGAAAAATGTGCTGCGCAAAGGATTAGGTTCTTCTAGCCCCCCTTCTAACTTGTGTAGTAACGTGAAGGGCCAACAAAGTATCGACTGTCAGAACGAACGAACAAACCTGCGCGCGGAACATTCGTCCTGCCAGGCGTGTTTTCCGCCACCGTAAAACCTCCGTTGGCCTTTGCAGTTTCGCGTGGCGATGTTCCTCAAGTCGTCGCAGCATAATCCGGAGCTGATCGTCTCAGCGCCAAGCGTGGTAATATTGACGCGTGCGGAGGGCCTGCCGACTTCAGCACCGGTAATTGTAAGAGCCGCTGCGGTAGACAGCTACCGCGTCTCTGTATCTTGGGAACCAGGCCCATTCCCGAACGGGCCACTTTTGTCGTATGTCCTGCGTCTGCAAGGGGCTGACCACTCCCAGCTTAAGGTACACGCCACGCCAGAATTACATAGATACCGTATCTGTGAACGTGTGCATTCTAAGTGTGCACCGACTCTTCTCGGCCGCTCTTGCACCACTCTCTCTCTCTCTCCCTCTCTCTCTCTCTCTCTCTCTCTCTCTCTCTCTCTCTCTCTCTCTCTCTCTCTCTCTCTCTCTCTCTCTCTCTCTCTCTCTCTCTCTCTTCCTTTCTCCTATCCTTCTCAATTCCGCTCTCACAGCATTGTCTTGGACATTCTCGCGACGTGTGTATTCGCAAGGCGTGTTTCGCCGCCGCCACGTTTTCCGCTGCCGCACCGTCCAATTGTCGTTTACAGAAACAAGCAAGATACGCAACTGGTTCTGCAAGGTAGACTCGGTTGTCCCGCTTGAAGGAGATTCATCGACGAATCGCATCAACGACGGCACGGCCTTAGTTAGCAATTTCGCTCGAATGTCGCATTACCGTCGACATTCTTTCGCCACTTGCCGTCTTGCGTTCCGTTCTCCGCTCCGTTCATCATTGCGTGAGAATGAAGAACAGAGAAAGAGAGAGAGAGAGAGAGAGAGAGAGTGAGTCGATGAGTCTCTTTTTCCGCCTCTCTTTCGAGCCTCTCCGCTTTTCTGTCTAGATCAGCGCGATCTCAGCGCAGAGAATGCTCGCTTCGGGATTGCACGCTCGCTGCTTTGACGACACGTCCCACTGAAATTAACCGCCGCTAACATTAGTCGAACGACTTGCACGAACCAGAGATTATTCGCCGTGAGTGAGTTTCTGGCATGGCGTCTCTTCTCTCTAATCGCACATCTACTAAGGCACAACGAAATTCGAGGGATTCGACGGGATGGCACGTGCCGCAGCTGTACGATATACGTTATCTTTTACCCGCAGGATATTCCAGCGTCCGAGAACACAACGAGAGATCACTACATGTTTCGCAACCTCAAGTCCAAGCAGAATTACACCGTCAGCGTGACCATGAGAAATGGGGTCGGCGAGGGTCCACCCGCGATTATTTGTATATCCACTACGCCAGAGCCTACTGGTACGTCGCTAGCAAACGCGTAACACGTAGCACATTGAACCTGACGACGAGTTCGCTCCCAATGATTCGCTTGTTGTTAGTATAGTGTATAAACTCGGGCAAGATGGCAAGATGGTTTTCGACGAACGAAAATACGATGAACATACTTTTTTTGTTTTTGTTATTTTTTAACAGCGCTTGGCGTATTTTGCTGCGGAGCTTAATGAAGCTCCGTTTTGTTGTTACGTACATTCTGGCCCTCTTCACGTTATCACTTCGTTTCCTGTATTATTAAATCGTCGTTACTTCCGCAGGTCCGCCCGAACCTTTTTCCTCTGTTCCTATTTCCAAATTTTACATCGCTTTGTCCGCAAGGGAGGATTTATTCCCCGAAGAGGGATGTTAATTTCCCGTTGACAAACCGAGTAAAATAATTATCCTCTCGAGGAAGTATCCTCCCGGGGAACCGGAATATTCTTGCGTGCGGACCTTGAGACTTTGCGGCGATCCGAAAGAATTCTTTAATTCTGGGAATTTCAGTCAAGGACACGCAAAAGCCGATTCTCATTCTCGGCGGCAAGCACATGGTCATGAAGCAGGATGCCGAAATGATGGACGAGCCCAGTATCATTTACCAGACCGCCGCCGAGATCCGCGGTGTGGCGATACACATAGCGTCCTCTCAGCTATTCGTGTCCACCTCAACGAGCTACGTATATCGAACTTCGATCACCGAGCTGTCCGAGCCCGGGGTCATCCTGAGTCCTGACCAAGTGAACTTTGAGCCGTTGAGCCTCTCCGTCGACTGGCTGAATCACCACCTGTACGTTTTGGGACAGGTAAATCACAGCAAGACGGTGTGGCAGATAGCCAGGTGTAATCTGGACGGGAGGGGATTAACGGTAGCCGTGGCTGGATTTGTGAACCGACCGTCGCACATCGAGGTCGATCCCTACAACGGATATCTTTTCTGGATCATCGAGGGAAAGATGTATCGACTGGATCTGGCGGATATTAGCAACGGCGTGAAGCACGAGGTATTGTCAGGTTCACTCCCGCGTGTGATGACCTTCGCGGGTGATGAGGCAAAAATTCGGTCCCTGAGCAAAACCCGCGCGGAGAACGCGCGGAACCTAACGCACGCAAGGAAGAACCTAACCCCGACGACACTTTTTTCCCCCCTTTCTCTTCTCCAGGTTAAGCCATCCTTCATCTACGGAGACTCGAATATGAACGTTTTCACCGTGGATCACATGAACTTTCGGCTGTTAGTGCCGAACCACACCCTCAACACCGTCATGTCCATGTCGCTGGATGGTCGTGAGAGCGTCGATATTCGCGCGAATATCCAAAAGCCGCTGTTCAACCACGTTGTCTCCCTAGCTGTGGCGAATAAGTTGTTTTATTGGACTAACGGCCAAGAAGTGCTCACCGAAGTGTACCATTCCGGTCAGAATAGATACTTTCACAACTCTTACAAGAGGTATAAACAGCCTTGCGTATCTCTCTTCCGCGAAAACTTGGGTCTGTTCTTCGCAGCTGCGCTCAGTCACATTGCTTGCACGTAAAATAAAGTGAATGCGTACTTGATTCTTTGACGGGAGAGAGAGAGAGAGAGAGAGAGAGAGAGCGAGAGGTAGTCTAGAAGGTGCAGCTACAAAGAGCAAACCTCTGCTCTCCTCTTGAGAGCACACTCGAGCTGAGCTTGAACTTTGATGTCATTTAGGTCGGACATCATCAGCGTGAACGTATTGATGAACGCGAGTCAGCCCGTCCCCATTCCCGTGAATCCTCCCACGGGAGTGCAGGCCGTCCTAGGAGCGGAAAGGGCCAAGGTTTCTTGGCAAGCGCCTCACCTGCTGGGCGGCCAGGGGAAAGGCGCCTGGCAGAATTGGTCCTACGAGCTTGAGATTAGGGAGGAAACGTCCAATTACTCGTCCAGTCAAATCATACGTCAAAGAGACATCGTCGGCTCATCTCACACCGTCCACAATCTGCGGGAGAGCTCGCAGTACTACATCAGAGTGGCGGCCTATACCAGCGCCGGTAGGGGGCCGTGGTCGACAGAGTTCCGTGGACGAACCCTGAGGTAACCATGTGTCATGAATGATCACGCGGTTAATGAACCGCGCGTAATCGCGCATCTCGCCCGGTACTACGACGTCCGGCAAACATCGTCGTATCATCGTAGCGTTTACAACGAAATCTCTTGATCCTCAGGAATGGGTCGCGCACGAGCATCCTGTGGTCGTCGAACGAAGGGTTGTTGAAGAGTGACGTAACCGGCGAGAATATCGACACGCTGATCGACAAGACGAGCCTGAAGGAATCCGGCAGCGAGTTTCACATAGTCGACGTTAGTTGGTACAAGGACGTGTTGTACTTTGTGGGAAATAATACCGCGCTCTACCGTTATAACGTCAGCAGCCACCAGAGAACGAAGCTGATGAACTCGGTGGCCGGTATCGCCGTGGATTGGATCTCGAAGAAGCTGTACTGGGCGTATCCGAAGAATCAAATTGTAATAAATGTCGCAAATATCAGTGTCTTGAAACGCTGCAAGCCTACGCTCGCCACTTGCATGTCCACTCGCGGTGTCGCGGTGTCGCGAAATATTCGTTGTCCCAAAGAATAGAACGTGTTGAAACTTACGGAAAAAGTGGGTTCTCGTGATCGTAATCGTGTAATCGGGAGGGGTCTTTCCGAGTCGAAGTCGAAGAGTTCCTCGTTTCCTTGATCTCTCTCTCTCTCTCTCTCTCTCTCTCTCTCTCTCTCTCGGGACAACGCGTGTCCACCGCAGCGTGCTGGCTGCTCATCCGCGAGGACAGAGACTCGGCGCCGAAACATTGTCACATTGTGCAATTTTGCAGATCGTAAAAGCGAACCTGGACGGGACCCATCAAGATCCGATGTCTATTATTACGACCGCGAAAGAGCTCACGATCGACTCACTGGAGGCCTACCTGTATTGGTCCACCGGCCATGACGTGCAGGTGGTGCGGCTGAATGAGCAGGATAAGAGATACTATCACTCGGACGAAATTTTCAACGGCAAACAAGTGATGGGATTAACGCTCGACTTCGAGAATAGATATGTCTATTGGATTGTTCGCAGCTACGTAAGCGGATCTATCGTCTATCGAGCACCCACGTCCGAACAAATTCCGATGAGTCAAAAGATCGTCCCGGAAAAGGTTACTTTTCTCACTAATATTTCACTAATTTCCTCTTTTGTTTTTCTTTGTTAACAAGCAAAGTACTCGCGAGTATGCACTCGCGAGCGAGCACGATAATACGCGCGCACACACACACACACACATACACGCACGTCAGGCGAGCGCGGTGAAGCTGCAAACTCCGTCCCGTCGGGACGGCTGTGATGGCTGTCGATCCGCGCGAGAATGATGTATTATTATCTGATACGACGAGGCATACGCAGCCTGCAGCATATGTAATGCAGCATATAATGACATAAATGATCAATTCGATTCAAGGTATCCGCTTTACATGTTCCAAACTTGCAAGGACCTCTGTGCTATTTCTCCGAACATTTGCTGTGGCTGCAGGACGAGGTAAACGCGGTGATCGGTGATCTGTCGGGTCAGAATACCGCCGTGATCAACGGCATCACTTTGTCCGGCCTGCACATGGTGGCTGTGATGGACCCGGCGTTTCATCGATACCCGAGAAATTTGACTTCGGAGAATATAGTGGTGTCGCCGGACCCCGTCGACTTTGATAGTATAAGAGTGGAAGGGACCTGGAGAAACTTCAGCGTATCCTGGGATCCCGTGAAGAACGTCAATTACGGCACGGTCTTTTACGAGGTCAAGTTCACGGATCTCGCCAACATGCAATCGAGCCCGGAGATCACGATCGATACGACGATACCCTACAACAATTCGGACCGCATCGTGCCTTATTCCCTGCTGGAGGTCATCATCAAACCGTTCACTTATTGGGAAACGTCGTACCAATCCCGAAAAATCTTGAGGTCTCCTCAGAGCTGGCCGAGCGAGCCAACGTATCCCAGGACGTACGTGGAATTTTGCAAGAGAGTCCTCAGCGAGAACGTCGATATTTTTGCGACATTCAGGTGAGGAATTCAGTCGACGGGACGGCACCCGTGGAAACTCGGAGAAACTCGGCGAGAAAGCGGCGAGAAGTGAACGAGAGTAAGCGGAATTAATTGAACACAGTCGGGAATATTCGTCGGCTATTCGTGGATCTTGAGGGAGAACGCTGTGGAATCGACACTGTGGTCGATCAAATCGCTTACTTCTTACCGCTTTCTTACTATCTTTGTATGTCGCACTGATCCTCACGTGTTTCCGTTTCCGGGGGGGGGGGGAGAGGCGGGAGGCTTTCTTTCTCTTTGAGATACTGAGAGACTTGCCTGTACTCGCCCTTCGTCTCCATCTTCTGGGATCAAGAACCGCTCTAAATATACGTGCAATGTACGATTTTCCTTCCATCCCTAGGTGGAGCAAGCCACAATTTACAAACGGACTGATACAAGGCTACACGGTCCAAAGTTGCTGGGAGGAGATCGGAAACTGCAAGAACCACAGCGTAGCAGGCACAACATTGGAGTTTACGGCGCATGGACTGTTGCCCAATACGACGTATTACTTCCAAGTGCGAGCGCACACCGAGATCGGTGCCGGTCCTTGGACGAACTTCACCAGCGTGTTGATCGCGAGCGAAAACCCGGTGCCTCAGATACTGGTCGCCACAATGGACGCCGTGAAGCTCGCAGATTTGGATCAGAAGATCAACTACACGATCACCCGGCACATCGCGATCGAGGTGAGTTACTCGGTGCTGGAGAACAAGATGTATTGGATCAACGACATGCAGGAGCTGGTGACGTCGGAGATGAACGGAGCCAACGCCACAAAGATACTCGCCCTGAACAATACCGCGCAGAGCCTCTGCATCGATTGGGTCGCGAAAAACCTATACTGGTCCGAATCTAGCGCCGAAAACGGCGGCCGCATCATGAAGCTCGACCTGACAATGTGGCAAGTTGGCGTAGTCAAGTACGAGAACATCGTGAGAAGAGGGAGAAACATTCTCAATCTGGATATACTGCCGTCTCGAGGGTACGCAAAAGCTCACGAGTATATATCAACTCAAACTCGTCGTCCGCTTCCTTCGTAAGAACATCGTGTGTCGTCTCTCTTTCTCTAAAGAGTCCCTCCCCTTCCCGTGTCCGGAAAAAAAAAAAAAAAAAAAAAAAAAGAAAACGACAAAGCTTCGATAATAAATTCAATCAACGCGTATACGCATACGTTCTGACGTTCCGAGAGATAAAGTATCTCAAAGTATCTCCACTCCTCTCTATCTTGTAATGTTATCTCGTAATCTCGTTTCGTGCGATGCATTGCACTAACAACGAAAACAGCTCGGAAACGCTTTGACACGTTGACACGCATCTTGCAGATCGCTGTACTGGGTCGAGTCAACGAAAAGTAGTCGGGGTACGATAATGCAGTCGGACCTCGACGGGAACAACGTGATGCTCTTCTTCAGGAACACGGAGAGCGCCCTCGCGAAGGAGTGCTCCTGCCAGTACAGCCCGTCGGTGAAGCCCGTGATGACGATCGACAAGACCAGCCAGAAACCGATGATGTATTGGATGTCGTCGGAGGGATACCTGAACGTGGCCGACATTTACGGTTGTATGTGCGACACGGTGCTGAACGCGAACTCGAGCAGCGGGACATCCCTCACGGTCGACAAGATGAATGTTTACTGGTCCGACGCAGAGAACGAGCAGATCTACTTATTGAGCAAGAGCTACTTCTCGTCGGCGGCGAACAACAAGGCAAACGCGTCCGGAGGCGAGGAGCCGGGGGTGAAGAGCTTCCACCTGTCCAGCATGCGCAGCATCAAAGCCTTCGGCAAGTCCTTGCAGCCCTATCCTGCCGCGAATTGCCTGACACCGCGTCGAGTAGCCTACAGAATCGAGAAGCTGGCGGAAACAGCGAGCAGCATCTTCGTCAGGCTGCCGGAACCGATCCCTGACCACGGCTGCGAGAGCTACAGTCTGCCTACCACGTTGTACACCATCCACGTGTCCCAGTGCTTAGACAACGACTCCGACGACGACGACGGCGGCGGCGGCGGCGGCGGCGGCTGCGAGAGGCACGAGGTGCAGACGCACGAGCGGCAGTGCGAGATCCGAGACTTGAAGCCGTTCACCGAATATAGACTGAAGTTGGCTCTGAGCAATTACTACGGCAACCTTACGTCCGCTAACCTGGAGTTCGACTCGGGGGTGGTGTTCAGGACCGGGCCGGGGAAGCCCAGCGTGCCGGAGCACGTGACGGTCGAGGCGCTGACGCCGACCTTGGCGGCGGTATATTGGATGCCGCCTAGGATACTGAACTCCGCGGAGGTGAATTACGAGGTGCACTGGAGATCGGCCGACTTGGTGAACGGCTTGCGGCAAAAGGGCGAGCAGCTGATCAAGGAGCTGAAGCGCACCGCGGACGGTAGGTTCTACGCGATGCTGCGGTCATTGCTGCCGGGCCGGGAGTACGCGGTGTACGTGCGCGTGTACTCCGTCCACTCCAACGAGTTCTACAATCAGAGCGTGAAGAAGAACGTGCAGATGTACCCGGAGCCTAGCAATCTCACGCTCAGCGGGGTCAGCGTCAACAACCTGAACGTCTCTTGGATCCCGAGCGTCAATCTGACGGTCGGTTATCTGCTGGAGTACAGAGACATCGGGACGAAGCTCTGGCAAACCGCGAATAACGCCGAGATGGGGAACGATATGGTGACGTATCACATAGAAAACTTGCAGCCGCACACCTCGTATAAGTTTCGCTTGGTGCTGAGGTATCCCGTGTACAAGGAAGACTTTATATGGCCGCCCGGTGCCGACGGAGGATTCACGTTCGAGACTCTCGGTAAATGTGACTCGAGACCTCTTGTCGTACGTCACACTTATGCGATACACTTGTCACAAATATACGGATATTACTATCTACTCGGTTGTTCGGTAACAAACGAGGATGAAGAAAAGAGAAGGAGAGATACTAACGCTCTAAAGCGTTCATATTCTTACGTAATATAAATATATTGCTGTACTCTTTCTATATAGATGAGAAATGTAAATGTGTGTGAGAGAGAGAGAGAGAGAGAGAGAGAGAGAGAGAGAGGGAGAGATGATCATCAATCTATCGTTATATTCTATCTATTCACATTTTGACATTTTCTCGTGTGTGCTTTCGTGTATAGGTGATGTCCCGAGTGCTCCTGGAACACCAACGGTAGTGATGCTTCGCAATTCGCTGTATCAATTGAACTGGGAGCCTGCGCAAGCTCATGGCTCGCCGGTCACTCTGTATGTAGCGGAAGGTATGATCGTGGACGATAGTTACAAGCAAGACAACAAGACCGACATGAACGAACACTGGACTTTGTATCACAACGGCACGGACAGTTATTGGATTATTACCGGGAACATGGATCACAAGTATCGATTTCGCGTGCGAGCCCAAAATGCCTACGGGTTCGGTGATTGGAGCCGGCCGAGCGCAGTTGTGGACCTGACGGAATCTGCCGGTGGGATTTTGGCCGCTAAGCAGCATTTAGGTTTGGCCTTGGGTCTCAGCGTGGTCGTCATTACTTTAATGCTGCTGTGCCTCTGCTACTTCATCTGCCGTAAGTGCAAGTTTAGATTATCCATATTGCTATTGAGCTTGCAGGATCAGTTCACACACACACACACACACACACACACACATGCAAATGATGCAACGGCTTCAAGATTTAAGGGCTCTGAAATGTGAAGATACAATGAGAGCTAAAATTAATTTTTGCAATTTGGCCGTCGTTACATCTTCGTATCTCTGGAGCAAAATAAGCTTGCTCTTAAGCAAGCAAGCTTAAACTCGTCGTGACATTGGACAAAAGTGTCGTAACATTATCCAGCAGTGTTTAAGCAACGCAAGGAAGACAAAAAAGCAGTTCTACCTCCGATAGTGTCCGACGTGGAGTTAGCGACCCTTCGCGAAATCCCACGCGGCAATTTCGTCCAGTCCAACGCGCTCTACGCTTCTACGCTGCAGAACGACCCGGACGATTCCGCGCTGCCGAAAATCAGACGGGAGCAGATCACGCTGGCAAAGTTCCTAGGGAGCGGCGCGTTCGGGAAGGTAAGCAGCGCCATCACTCGCCATTTCTTCCAGGAAGGACAATTCCTCGCTTCTAACGACTAATTTCTTCCACGAACTCGCGTCTCCCAATCTCGGGGAGGGAGGGAGGGGGGGATGGGAAGAGACGCGGACGTGCTAATATTCATCGCACGCTATTGCTATTTGCTATCACACTCGCCTGAAATGTTTCTTCACAGGTGTATCAAGGAAAAGCCAAGGATTTGGAGGGATCGGGCGTTACGCCCGTCGCCATTAAGACCTTACGAGAGGGCGCCTCGTCGCAAGAGAAAACGGAATTCTTGCAGGAGGCCAGGTTGATGAGCCACTTCCGACACAAGCACGTGCTGAGGCTACTGGGAGTTTGCCTGGACACGGACCCGCCGCTGCTCGTGCTGGAATTGATGGAGGCCGGTGACCTGCTGAGCTACTTGAGAGACAGCCGGTCCCTGCAACCCACAGACACGCACGCCCTACGTCTGCAAGACCTGCTCGCCATGTGCGAGGACGTCGCGCGAGGCTGCCGCTACCTGGAAGAGCTGCATTTCGTGCACAGAGACCTCGCGTGTCGCAATTGCTTGGTGTCCGCGAGGGATCGCGAGAACCGCGTCGTAAAGATCGGCGACTTTGGGCTAGCCAGGGATATTTACAAGAATGACTATTATCGCAAGGTATATGTCGGATTGCGGAAGTAATCGGAGATAATCGAATGCTCGAATGCATGTCCGCCACCGTATGTTTTATTCTGCAAGAGAGTACAGGGAGAAATTACGTTGCAGGAAGGAGAAGGCTTACTTCCTGTTCGTTGGATGCCTCCGGAATCCCTCGTGGACGGAGTGTTCACCTCGCAGAGCGACGTTTGGGCGTTCGGGGTGTTGATGTGGGAGATCACGACGTTGGGTCAGCAGCCGTATCCTGCCATGACCAACTTCGAGGTGTTGCATCACGTGAGCGCGGGTAACAGATTGCCGAGACCGCTCAACTGTCCACCGGCCTTGCACCAGCTGATGCTGCGCTGCTGGAGTGTAGCGGACGCCAGGCCGAGTTTCAAAGTTTGCCTCGACAATATCGTCGCTCTGCGAAGAGACACGGAAGACGCGGTGCTGAGCCCGGTTCACGCTGGACACGTGGCTCGCAGAGGTACGAGAGAGAGAGAGAGAGAGAGAGAGAGAGAGAGAGAGAGAGAGAGAGAGAGAGAGAGAGAGAGAGAGATCCATCTTTTATACTTACCAGCAGCTCATAGCATGGAGCCGGCGCTGAGGGTCTTTGCAATGTTTCATCTTGGCTCGCACACAAATCTCGCGGTGACGCCAGCAATGAGTCGCGTCGTAATGCGTGCGTGATAAAGTAACCGTTCTCCTTCAACCGACACACGCGTCCGGCTCGTTCATCGTCGCGTTGAGATTCAACTCTCCGATCTTTTGATCCTCATGTGCGTACTCAGCAGGAACTCGAACTCGAACTCGAACTCGAACTCGAACTCGAACACTCGCTGTTAATCGTCCGCTACGTCGAACATCAAATTGCATGCGTCTCCTCGTCTTCCATCTTCATATAACCCGGCATTTCGCAAATCATACGTAACGAAACGCTCGTACTCGGCAAGACTCGTCTCGTCTCGTCTCGTCCATTTCATCCATTTCTTCTCCCCCTTCCTCTTACGTACTGGAATTTTACGATTACTGGAATAATAATGTATATCGGAGGATGTGTCCGCTTGAATACATATTTATCATTGCATGGCTCGTGCTTGCAGGCGTGTCTAACATGGCTTACTTTGCTGACAAGAATCAGAATCATAACAATTCAGGTAGGTCTTAATAATCGTCATTTCGCCTTTTACTTACTACCTCTCTTCAACAAAGCAGTCGTACTAGAATCACCCAGATCTCTGATATCACACCCTGGATATTTATATTCGTGCAATAAGCTCGCAATCGGGACTTTTGCGCAGGAAACTCCTGGAGGTCCAGCAGTTCCGACGGCAGCAGGGACATGCAGCCCTTCCTCCAGAACGCCAACAACGCCACGCAACTCAGCCCGCATTCCGGCGATATTCCCAAGTACCTCGAGGTATTGGCGGACAACGAAGCGGACATCATCCTGAGGAAGAGCCCCACGAGCGGCTACGAAGTGCCCCGCTCGATTCACATCTCGGATCAGAACCTGGCGAATATAAGCAAATTCAATTGCGCGAGCCAGGATCGCAAGTGTAGCCTGCCGTCGGAGATCCCGCGAGAGCGCAAGCAACGCTCGATGGAGGAACGGAAGCGGTCGGACGGGACGTTGTACGACAAGAGATCGTCGATCGCGAGCCTCAACTCCTCGTCCGATCGAAGAGGAGCATCATCAGCCCTGTCGGAGAAGTCCGACACGCTGGACAGCGGCAGATTGGCAAACTACCTCACCAGAACGACACTCAAGAGGGACTCCTTCTCGTCGCTGAACGAACAACGGAAATACATAACCAGCCTGAGCGAGCGAAGGGACTCTGAGGCGACGAGCCTCGACGGCAGGAGCTGCAGCTCGCTCAGCCTAGCGCCCTCCACCCGTCCCAGCTCGTCCTTGATCAATTCGCAAGCGACGGTGCTCCCCACGAAGAACAACGTCGGCGCGAACGGAGAAGTGCCGGCTTCGAACGCGGAGAACGCGGTGACGAAGAACGCGTTGCCGAGCATCCAAAGGACTCCTCACTCGAACTTGCAAACCAGCAAGGCGAACATACCCCTCGTGATAAATAGCGCGTTGTTGAATCTGCTGAGGCAGAAGCCAGTGGTCGACGACAGCAACAACATTGTCACGTACACGAATATCAATGCGGCGGACGCCGTCCGGGTGAACGGATCGTGATGACTGTTTCTTCCAAGTCGCGACCGGATCGGAGTCGTTTCATCCTTTCTGTTCGGGTGAACCATTCTTTATCCTGGTTCTTTATCCACGGTGTGTGAAGCGGTGAGACCGCTAGCTGGGCAGTTGATAATCAGTTCGCAGGATCTGTTCGCCTGCAACAAGGACTACCGGAGTGAAGGACCCCGCGCGCGTTGCATCCTGCGAAGCAAGCCTCGTACGCGTCGGGGAAAGCAAGCGGGGAAAGGAGCGGAGTCGGAATAGCTTTAAACTGCCATTGTAATGTATATATATACATTTTTATACTCAACAATTTGTCTGAAACACGCTCATTATACGCAGGCCATTTCACGAAAAGTGCAGATTTTACGGACTCTATGTATACAATAGCATATAGAGGCAAATTGTTATTCCATGTAGAATTGATATGTTGATGACATGAGTGGTAGGCGTGAGGTATATAGTCTTACTTTGTAACCTTCTTGTTTTAAATTTAAACATATTTATTGTATATAACTCTTATGTGTAGGTGCAGGTTTCCCTCTGCCACCGCGACGAGGTGCTATTAAAGATGAAAGAACAGCATTGAAGCGCATCGTGTGCATCTTTATATCACACGTATATTAATTTTCTGCAATTTAAACATCATTTCTACGCAAAGTTTTAGACTTTGCGTAGAATTAATATCGCGAGCCAGAGGAGCGAATATGTTCGGATGTTTATGTCGAGTAATTGCATATATAAGCCAGCCATAATGATATTACGTTGCGATAACGATAATGCTTATCAAATATTCATTTCATTTAATAGTTGCGAAACTCTGCTCTGCGGCGGGTCTCTGATAATATCTCGTCGCTGTGTGTGTGTGTGCGTGTGTGTGTGTGTGTGTGTGTGTGTGTGTGTGTGTGTGTGTGTGTGTGTTGTACAAAACGCCACATTTGGTGAAAATTAGCGATTAATATTTCGAATATTCGAAAATTCGAACGAAATAACATGAGAAATTGTTAAGTTTTCGGAATTTTAACGTAACGCAAAAGGTAGTTTTGCAACGGAATACGAAATGTGTACGTGTACGTACGATACCGTCGAGGAAGTGAGTTCTTGAGAACGTACGGAATCTTGATTCTCTCTCATAAAATTTCTACGTCGGCTGATTCATCGGCTGAGGCATCGTATCCGGAATGGTCTCAGGATACAAATTAATTGGTGAAATCTGTATCACACTTAGACTAAACTCACAAAGGACCATATTGTACTTTTCAAGATTACATCTCCGCGAGTGCATTATTCCAATATTTCTCACGCAATATTTCTACGTTGCATCATTTTATCCTTTCATAATTATAAACTTCTCACGCGTAAGACGCGCGCATAAAGTACACTCTTGTATACACAATCGCGAAATTCTGTCGATCGATCGATCGATCCTGTGTAAAGCGTCGCGTCGCGTCGCGACGCTTTGCGCCATTATCTGCTGAAAGTTGAAGACGCGTGTCCTTCGGACGAGAATACATTGGACACGAGAGATGAGAGATGAGAGATGAGAGCGAGAGCGAGAGTGAGAGTGACAATGAGAATACGAATGAGACACTTTTCAGTCGTCGTGAAACGCACAAGTAGAGTAAACTGGAACTAGGAAGTCGCCATAGTAAGCCATGGCGATCCTTATGATTTTCCGTTCGCCAGGCCGTAAGTTAATCCTTCTTTTTGATACGGAAAAAAAGTTGATTATACGAATAAAGTTATTTAAAGATACATGATATTTTATTGTTCTTTTACAATGTGCTCTCTCTCTCTCTCCCTCTCTCTCTCTCTCCCTCTCTCTCTCTGTTCGTGAAGATCTATTGCAATCTATCTATTATATTATAGATCGATGCAAAAAAATTTTGGTGCGCGTTAAACGGAACGTAAAGTCTTCTTTCTTATTCTCTACATATAATTACATTTTTTTTTTTCAGTATTTCGCATTGATTGATGCGTAAAATTTGACTTCTCGGCTTATATTCACGTCACTTTTAACATGACGAAATAATTATCTCGCAATGTGCACTCTGCGAAGCTTACATATTCTCGCCGAAAGGTGTGATAGTTAATTCGGTGATTTGAACGCGTTGCGGTGTCTCGATCACGTAGACTACCGCTTCGGCGACGTCTTTGCTCTCCAATGTGGGAAAAGACGAAAAGACCTTCAGCTTATCGATATCTAGATCCGAGATAGCTTCCAGTATTTCAGTTTTTACGTAGCCTGGGCTGATACTCTGAAAAATATTCGATTGATTAACTGTAAAGCTCAGACAAACGGCCGAGTTGCTAATTTTTCTCTGCGTTCGTTTGTCTCTGCTTCTGATTCTTTCGTCGTCGACGAGATCGAGCCAGGTAATAATAATATTCAAATGTAACCTCCTTTTACGAGACTTATTTTAGCAGTAACGAGAAAGATACAACGATAGCAACGACTCTCGAGCCTCGCTATCACTATCAAGGAGAATGTCCGGCCAACGTACCGTGACACGAATTTTTCCACCGAGCAACTCCTGTTGGAGAGTCGCGGTGATGGCCGTGACAGCGTGTTTGGACGCCGCGTACACGTTAAAGCTCATATTTTGTATTTGGCGCAGCCGGTGTCCTTGAATGCTGTGATAATGAAACATAATACTGTTATCACGTTATCGTTATGTTATTTCATGGCGATCCTGATAATTTCATTCTTCGACGTATACGGCATGCGAACCTGTTGATATTGACGATGTGCCCCTCGACATTGGCGGCCTTCATCACCCTAACGGCGTGTCTTGTGCATTCGAGCAGTCCCATGACGTTTACGTCGAATATCTTCTCCCAATCTTGTCGCGAGGTTTCTACCGGATGAATTTCCAAGTTAATTTGCGGAATCATCCCCGGACTATATAACATGCTCGCCGATGAATAATGCGCACTCGTGTAAAATTATTTAGCGTTACGTTCTGCACTGCTTTGTACACACACACACACACACACACACAGCGCGTCTTCATTGCATAGTTACAAGTATGTGCGCGGAAATCGTAAATTGTAGTTTCGATTGATCGAAAAAGCGATAACTCGCGAGATAAATACCGACAATGGTGCCTGAAGTAATCACACCGGCGTTATTCACCATAACTTGAATCACACCGAGGTTACTTTGGATCCAATGAAAAACTTCTTTCAAGTTCTCCGGCTTCGACACGTCGCATTCGCGTGCAATAAATTTCCCATTTCCCTGCGCGAATCTCATTCTAGCCTAAAAGTACACAAAGGAAGAAAAGTACACAAGAAATGATCTATTTTCCATCAAAATGTGTGTAGAAACGTGTGTGAAGAAATCACTCGTCGTATCGCGAAAACGCGTCTGCTGTCTGAAAGCCCTCAGAGTGAAATTTCACTCCAGAGGAGTGAAAATAATGCCAATAAGATATTCGAGTGGGGACCCATAAGATTAAAATATTTCAGCCGGCTAGAGCGAATCTGTTTGATTTGGTGGTCAGAGTGGATTTACCGATCAAGATGAATTCGTTTCTCGGAGACTTACTTCCATTATGGCTTTCCTCCTGGCGAGACCAACCACGATCATGCCTCTGTTTACAAACGCTTCTGCTATCGCCAAACCGATGCCGGCTGAGGCTCCGGTAACAACGGCGATTTTTCCTTCCCAGCGGCTCATGTCGATATGAATTCGACAAAATGCCGTGTTACTTCCCACTGTTCGAAGTTCGGGTTCGTTTTAAGTTCGGTGTCTTAAAGGTCATTCTACAATACGTGTCGTAAGTTGTCAGCCGTAAGAACTGACCAGTTGTAGCCGATTATTTTTGTAATAATCGACTGTGATTCGCCAATTCTTACTGCTTACAACTTACGACACATATTGTAGAATGACCTTAACGTGTCTTAACGTCTAAACCACTAATAATATTCGACCGACACTGTTTCATCGCGCAACTATCGCCGGCCGCGAGTGTAGGCAAACGGTGAGGGAAAACCCAACTGTTCGTAGACCTACATAAATTTATTACCAGTGGTAAGAAGGAAAGATAGACAGACAGAGAGAGAGAGAGAGAGAGAGAGAGAGAGAGAGAGAGAGAGAGAGAGAGGGAGGAGGGAGAAAGGGGGATTAAGGTTGAAGGTTGAAGGTTGAAGGTCGAAGGTTGAAGGTTGAAGGTTGAAGGTTGAAGAGACAGTTAGGAATTCTTCGATAATATATCTAATCTAACGTATTTACGTCAGTGTGCCTGGATGAATGTATATATAGCCCCGTTTTTTCTTTTTCTTTTTTGCAAATTTTACACGCTGGGTGTATCGGTGTGTTATATAAAAAAATGTACGTAAATTATGTAAACAGGTTGCGTGTGTATGTTAGCACCTGACTATCTTTACATGTACATTTTCACATCCACATTTTCAACTATTATTTAAACTTTTTTATTTAAATTTTATATTATTTAAACAACTAATATTTAAACTTTTACACACGTTTGCAATTTTTATTTCACGAGACGCTTTGTGGGATCATCCGCCGTCGGACAGAAGATCAATTAATTATAGCCAATTGAATCATTTCCGACGTATATCCAAGGAGATCTCGTTTGGGTGTCCAACGGTTTCTCCAATCGCTTCAGGATTGTAAGCAAGTATTATTTTACAAGCTGAGGAATCCTCGATCGATTAAAAATATAATCGACTCTATTCCTAAAACATTTTCAGTCATCGTGAGCCAATTTTGTTGCAACATATTTCAGCTCGACACGTGATAATGAATGATAATTATTGTAATTCCCTATACGATATTACAGTATCTTATCGTCGCGTGCATGTCGTTCGCGTTAATATTAACATAAAATCGTGATGCGTGCAGCTGCACGCGGTAGATACATCATTAATTAAGTGACGGCACTATTATATCACTTGCGTGCTCGAGAGAATGAACGAGCGGGCGGGAAACTCCTCTGTCGTAAGAATTAGTAAACTTCAGCTTCAATTTATCGCGCTGTCATTGTGAAATTTCAATATTATATTCATAAATGTTACGACCCGGTTTCGCAATATGGATATGCGTATTGTTCCGATATTTAACGCAACGGTGTAATCTGCGCGGTGGTTAAGCAATTAATAATCGGCTTATGTGATTCGCATAAATAATTCGCGCATATATATATATATATTATATACAGAGTGTTTTAAAAATAGCTGGCCAAACTCTAAGAGCATATTCTTCTATTCGCCACAAGAGCAAAAAAGATCAGATAAACACTCTGTCGTAATGTAAAAACTCGTCTGCAAAAGTATCGACATACCGAAATTTCGAAAAGTCACGTTTTGGATTTTTCTCAACTCGTCTCTCATCACTCTTCGATCGCAGGATGTTTGAATGAAAGAATTAGAGTTACATTTACAAAAATAATTGGACAAAAGTAATTGACAAATTAAAAAAACAATTTGAAATAATTTATTTTACGTTGACGCCACCGCCCTAAAATCAACGATTTTTTTTTTTTTTTAATCAAAATACACATTCCCTTCGAAATAATATTGGGAGTACAAATGAGTTTCCGCCCGTTTTCTATCAAAAATTAGGAATCTCTTGTGAAAGAACGGTACATTACGTTTTATTCAAAGTATTGTCCGTCACTAGCCACTACTTTTTCCCATCTTTCTGGCAGCATTCGGATACCACGTCGGAAGGACTCTTCATCTTTTGAGGCTATCCACGAATCACGGCCCAATTTTTAGTATCTTCGTATGATGTAAAGCGCTGCTTAGACAGGCCATGTGCCATCGACCGGAACAAGTGATAATCGAAAAGGGCAATGTCTGGTGAATACGGCGGGTGGGGCAGGACTTCCCAATTAAGTGTTTCCAAATAGGTTTTGACCGGTTTTGCGACATGTGGCCGAGCGTTGTCATGTAGAGGAATAATTTTGTCGTGTCTGGAATAGTAATGGGCGCGTTTTCCCTCGAGTGCTCGGCTCAATCTCATTAATTGTGTCCGGTAGAGAGCTCCAGTAATGATTTCGCTCGGTTTCAGCAACTCATCATAATACACGACACCAAGCTGATCTCACCAAATACACAACATGAGTTTTTTTCTATGAATATTCGGTCTGGCTATCGATGCTGAAGCATGGCCAGGTGGTCCTCATGATTTTCTCTTCTTCGGGTTATCGCAGTGGATCCATTTTTCATCACCAGTGGCTATACGATGCAAAAGACCCTTTCTTTTATGCCTGGCAAGCAGCATTTCACACGTGCAAAATCGACACGTTCAACGCCGACTCGGCTTCGGTTCATATGGAACCCAATTCCCTTGTTTTTGAATCATTCCCAACGATTTTGAACGATGTGAAATTGCTTGTTGAGTCACTTCTAATGTAAGCGGAAGTTCTTCTTGCGTTTGGCACGAATCTTCCTCCGATAATGCTTCCAATTCCGTGTGTCTTCGTCACACTTTCGGCTTTCCGCTACGTTCTTTGTCTCCCACGTCAAACTCACCGTTTTTAAACTTTTGAAACCACTCACGACAACTTCTCTCACTTAAAGCTTCTCTCACCGTATGCGTCTACAAGCAATCGAAGCGCCTCAGCTGCAGATTTTTTTCAAATTAAAGAAATAAATCAAAAGTTCCCGAGCAAATGACGCTTATTCGGCACAAAACTTGACATTTTCGCACGAAAAAAATTATGTGATACTGATACGGAGTCGCTAATACGCTTCAAGGTTACGTCGTTACCAGATGTCCAAACTTACGATATTACACGTTTTACATCTGACAATTTCAACATAACTTTCTGTTCGGTGGGACCATCTTTTGTCGAACGGCGGAAACTTATTTGTACTCCTGATACAACCTAAAAAAATTCGATTTCTCTATCACTTAATCATTGAGATGGTTGATCTGTTACATTTGAAATGCAACACCCTTCATATAGCTGCTATAACTTAATACATATAGCATATAACTTAAACATACGCAGAGAAAGCTTATAATCAATTGCGTACGCATTTTCCCACACCGGCGTAGTCGCGCATGGCGAGCCCAGCCTCGTAATACGTTATCCCCGATTAACGAAACGATCTTTCCCCGCGCGTGAACTCCCGCGGAAATACGAATGACAGTTTTATCCGCGCGTTTTATCTCGCCGATACCGAGTAATTATTGCGCATGCGAATCTGTCAGTTTGCACGACGTCGCTTTGCGACGGTTTGCAAAACTCACGAATCGACAGACAATTCATTTTGTGCGAGAGCTCGACGAGAAACACGAATAGATAGATGCATACGTCTTCCTTTGCAGACAGTTTCAGTTTCAGAGGTTAAGAAGTACAAAGAATTATAGAGAATTATAAAGAGGTCGATTAACAAAGGAACAAACAGAATAGGAAACGACAAACAAACAGAGAAGTCGCTCTCTTGTCCTTCGATTTATCGCACCGTTTGTTTGAACAAGTGACGAAACAGAAACAGCTCGGCTCCCTTGGCTCCTTGGCTCGCGTAGTAGTAGGCCTCACGCAATTAGTATTCAACGCTTGATCATACTCTGCACGAATGGGTATCACGTGTATCACATGTATCACGTAACTATGCGTCGAAGAAGAAGGAAAAAAGAAAAAAGAAAAAAAAAAAACAAAGATGATAAAGTCCCATCCGCCTCGGACGGCGCAACTCCTCGACGTAACTTCGCAACGAGCATCGCTGCTTTGTGCCACACCGAGATCTCGCGATGTAATCACACGAAGGTACGAGAAAGTACCGTCCGATACGTACCGTTAATTAGCCTCTCGTCTATCAATTATAAACGCGCTGCGCTCGTTGCTGCGCGGACGTTCAGTTTCGAGCGCTTTCCGATTTACCGAGCACCGTCGATCGACGCAGAGCCGAGAAAGAGCCGATCACCGCGCGAGGATTAGGACGACGGGGGTTGACGGGGGCTGGCTGGACGCGGCTCCGGTCACCCCCCGCGAGATTCCCCACGTCTACCGTACGACGAGAACGACACTCGAAGAGGAAGATGGTGGGCGACAGAGACGGCCGAGTATCCCGGTCGCCTAGTGAAAGTGCCTCCGAGCCGGTTCACGTGCTTCAACCTCCCCGAGTATATCACGAGACGAACTCTTAGCAACCGACTCAGTATCATCTTCACCATCATCCTTCAACTTCCTGAACCTCCTCGGCGTCCTCTGCCGTGCGTTCGATTCTCCGGTGCGGTGCGCTTTCAGGAGTTCAGGTACTCTCCGCGAGGCCACGACGAGCGATTCTACCGCGAGCTTCGATCGAGCGGAGCGGAGTCGTTTGGGACGACTGCGGTGAATCCAAAGGGACGCGGTACGTGCTGCACCGCGTCTAAACTAAAGCTACGTTTGAATCGGAGAATTTGTCGCAAGCTACTCAAGGTACTCATCACTCTGTTGCTCCTCACGTGTTTCGGCCGCTTTCTTCGTGCGTGTCTCCGACGCACGCGATGCGTTTCGCTGAGACGCGTAGCGCTTTTTTCACTGACAACGGCTGCTTTTTGCCTGCCGGTGGTTCATCGGTGGTGATTTTCGTGACCGGATAATGTTTCACGCGGCAGAAGTGTACGTGTGCGTGTGCTTCTGCCTTTACGGAGCATTACGGTTAATCAGCTCGTCGTCAATTTTTCCTCTCAAGTTATCCTCTCGCGGCCTTATATAATCGCATACTCCGGAGAAATGTGAGAGAAACTTTCCTCTCTCTCTCTCTCTCTCTCTCTCTCATTCGAGGAAGTGACGTAATTTCTTTGACTTTTCAAACTACCGAGGTCTTTGATTGTGTCGTGATTGTGAATGTAAAAAGTGGTAGTTTCTCTCTCTCTCTCTCTCTCTCTCTCTCTCTCTCTTTCTGTTTCCCTTTTTACAAGATCTCTCGACAAAGACGATTCCTTGTCTTGCAATCTTTATCCGCTTTTATTCAAACTTTGAGCAAACTTCTCAAGCAACTTCGCCAACGAATTCGCTGCTGGAAACTTCTTCTAGATGTTCAATTGTTTTGCTCAAGCGTTTAGGAGAAATTTTCACTAGCGAATTCTAAATTTTAAAATAAGAATACGTCTGTTCGCTAGGCATCGCTTTCAATGATCTCATTTGTTCAACCGCCACAGCGGTGGCTTCTATTCCCCTACAACGAAAGAGCAGGTAACACGAGCGCGATATCTCGAGCCGAGAGAACAAGTGAAAGAACAGCAGAGATTGTCCTGAAGACAGCTTCCTAGAATAGGCCGGCAATTATCGAATCGTTCAGTTTTCCTCGAAAGGAAGGTCACGACCGAGCGTTCGCGATGGCCAACAACTTGGCGATCCTTGGCACCTGAATGCGGGGCGGGAAGCAGCGAAGTCGATTTCGGGCACGATTAAGCGATTGAGACGCGGCTTCCGCGATCTCAAGCATTGGAGACACAAGCCTGCAGGCCGCCTGCGAGGCCAGAGAAGAACGCTTCGCGACCGATCGCGATCGTCCGTGAAGGCACGCAACCGCCATTTACAGTCATCATCCGATGGACTATCGTCCGCGACCTACGATCGTTTTTCATTCTCCCGACCGCGCCGATACGTGTCAGCGACGAAGACCTGGAGATATTTTCGCGGTTTCACGCGGAGACGTGAAAATTATCGCAGAAATAACACACAAGCCGCAAGACCGTCGCAACGATCGAAAGGCCGAAGAAAAAAAAAGAGATCGCGCGGGAATGCATTAGAGCGGCTGGCTGTTCTTCTTCTTCTCGCGCCGCGCGACACCGATTTCTGCGCCCGGCAGCGGTGCGCTTCCCACAGCATCTAGAGCATCTCCAGTCATTGTTCGAAGATGACTCGGCAGACGCTTCAGATTGCAGCGTGCGACATGTCTGCCGGCGAAAATAACGGGCCCTCTTCGGCTCCGAGTAATCGCCGCCGAGATGGCGAATAATTGCCTTTGTTTCGACAAAGATTGACAATAATCGAGTCAAGTCTTGTTTAAATAAGGTAAAAACCAGTCCAGTCTGGCGAGTCTCCGCTCTCATTTCTCCCGGGAGACGAGACGAGACGAGAAGAGAAAAAGGAAGAAAATGTCGCGTTGAAGATACATGATGAGGAAACATTCGTATTCGACGACAAACATCGCGCCTTTCGAAATTTTATCCGGCGGGCATCGTTGTCCCAATTTTGTCTCGAACGGTCTCGAAACGTCGCAGAAATTTCGTAAATTGAGTTCGTGCGTAGATCGTTTGTAGTTGAGCGACAAACTCCGTCTACCTCGAGAGGATCCGGGTGAACGCACCGTGGTGTATCGTGGATAAATACGCTCGACGAAGGTGCTCTCGTACGAGGTGTTGCAATGTCATCCACGAATGAAGAGCGTGATCGCCGCCGGTTCTTGGACTTTCTTCGATTACGTGGATGTGCCCTACGATGCGGCCCGCTTTATTAGCTCTGCTGAAATTACGATCGCGCGAGAAAGCGAAAGTCTTCGCTAGGAGAGCCTTAGGTGATGCGGACGTCCGGATGAATGATGACTTAACGCGAAGTGCGAATTACCGCGCACCGTCTAATCATCACCGAATAAAACCTACAGTGTGCCTCTCCGTAACGGAATCAGATGGCGTGGTGGCTGTTAATTCGGATAAATCCCTGCCTCTCTCGAAGGAAGCGAGGAAACGAGGCGGAGGGAAGAGATGCGCGTACCGAGTCGTCCAGAGCAGGCTGAAGAAACGAAACGTGCGTTTCGTTTCACACGCGGTACGTGCACTCGCGCGTCATTTTCTCGCGCGTGTTGCGTCATTTCGCGAAGATTTTGCATGGAAGCCACCGCCGGCGCGGCGGGGAAGGAAATCGATTGCAAAAAGCGCGGAGCGTCCGTCTTCACGACAGTCGCTCGGAGTCATCCTCGATTGTGTGTAAAACGGGAGGCACATTCGACATCGGCCGGGCGGCGCGTTTCCGGATGCTTACGAGAGATAGACGGATAGCATTCCGAACGCGACTGTTTCAGTCGCGTGGAAGAACGGCGAACATCATCGCGCGCGCGCGCGCGCGCGAATGAAGCCGCTCGACCGTGGCAGATGCGTCGGAATTGAACCTGTCCGTATAAGAACATCGATGTTGAGGTCGTTTGTTCGCCGCTCGGAGCTCGGAGAGAATTAGCTCCCCGGAGCCCGCCGGAGTACAGAGAGAATGGATCCTTTCAGCTCCTTTCTCATTGTAAACGCCGCTGTAACGAGTCCGGGGATATTTTTGCCGTGGCGAAAGCTAGGAAGTGCCGGTCATCTTCGCGCGATTGCGCACCGTGACAGTCCTATATTATTATCTTCGGAGATTACGACATTTTGTACGCAGGGTGTTTAAAAGAAAAGAAAAAAAAAAAAAGAAAAAGACTTGAGGACTTTAACGGCAGACAGTCAGCAGATTCACGAAATGGAGGGAAAAAAGTTTGTTCTCGATGTAAATTATTTATGTTATTAGCGCTCGTCGAGTAAATATTCTTTTTAGCTATTTCTCAAACCGCTCTCTTGGCTCAGCTTGGAACGCTCCGCTTCGACGAAAGAAAGAGCGCCTCGTGTTTTGAGGGCGCAGGGCCGCCGCTTGAGATCGTTCGAATAATAAACTAATACTAACAAATCCGGCCGATCTCACGAGCGGTATTACGTTAGCTGCGCGCGTTTTTACGCAACCATAAATCTCGTACGAAAGCACCGTCGTGAAAATTGAAACGAGAGCGCGCTCGCGCCTTCGGCCGCTGCGCTTGTAAACTTCAAAGGGCCGAGAAGAGCCGAGAAGAAAGTCACGCACGGCGACCGCGATGAGAGTCCAGCGGCGAATCCAGCAGCAGCGAAGCAATTTTGCTTTGTTTGGACTTGGCGAGCAGAAGCGCTCGCGATGCGACCTTGCGGAAATTTACGAGCCGGTGTCTCTCTCTCTCTCCGCCGATGACGATCTCGCGAAAACAAAAGGTGAGCCCAGCGCGAGCGAAAACGTGAGAAACCGGGACGCGAGAGAACGAGCGATGGAGAGAAGCCTAATTCCTTAATTCCTCGGCTGTTAATAACGCAAATAAAAATAAACAGATACGTCACGGCAGAAAAAGAAAAAGGGGTCCGAGACAAGTACGCCTCGGAGAGCGCAAAGTTCACACAGGGTTGAGGTATCTCTCTCTCTCTCTCTCTCTCTCTCTCTCTCTCTCTCTCTCTCTCTCTCTCTCTCTCTCTCTCCTTCTTTCTCCCTCAGGTGTATCAATCTTTCGCGTCCCGCACTCCTCACGTCCGTTCTCCTCACGCTCTCTACGTAGGCGCTGGAAGAGACGAGGAAGATTACGACAACGGCTCGGCTCGGAGGCGTAATTAGAACGAGGCTGATGGGGTAGCAAGGAACGATCGCGCGTCGATGGCGGATGCCACGATTCGAATCGTGCCGCCGCGCGCGCGGCTGACATCGAGGGTCGAACGGTGTAATTGCGCGCGCGCGCGCGCGCTGCGCTGACAGGACGAGAGGCCGGGGCCGCGCCGGTTTACTTCGTCGTGCATCGAAATGTCCCGGGGAGGAAAGTTGAACTCGCGCTCTATTTATCATCGCACATGGACTCGGGGGTTCCGAGCTGACCCGAGTAAACCTCGCGGGAAACGAGTCAGACGCCGATTTGTTTCCAATTTTTTATAGTTATTTCTTATGTCGAAATATGAAGAGAATTAAATCAATGTTTTCAATTTTTTCGAAATTTTTCAAGTTTTGCACACTAGTGCACTATTTTGTACATTAATTTGAAACAATATTTCTTAAAAATATATATATGTCTGATTTGTTGAATTTTACAAAATGGTTCATAATCGGCGACACGTGTGTGCGCAAGTTTCAACAAATCGGACATATATATTTTTAAGAAATATTGTTTCAAATTAATGTACAAAATAGTGCACTAGTGTGCAAAAGTTGAAAAATTTCGAAAAAATTGAAAACATCGATTTAATTCTCTTCATATTTCGACATAAAAAATAACTATAAAAAATTGGAAACAAATCGGCGTCTGACTCGTTTCCCGCGAGGTTTACTTGTGAGAACGAAGCTAAGCGGGATTTTTATACCGCCGCTTCTTCTGTGATCTTAAGCGTGGTCGAATATCAAGAATTGGCAAGGCCGAAATCAATCAAAGATAAGATCGTAAAGTTGAACCGATAAAGTGGAGTTCACAAGTGGAAAAACACCGTGGCTGGAGCGAGTCTATTATTCCAGCTCGTATGCCGGCCGCTCGCATCCGCCTCATTACGCAACACTTACGCGCGCGCGCGCGAGTCACGTAGATTTTACCTCGGCTGAGATGCGCCGGTACAGATTACGCGCTAAGGTATGCGCGCGCGCGCGCTGCGGCCTCGTACGAGAGTGCTACGGCTCTTTGGAAATGTGTATGTACGGTGTCTCGTTGCACAATGGCGTGTACGCACGATACGCACGCGAGATTAACCGAAAAGAGGCAAGGGCCTGTTGCTGAAATTGTGCTCAAGATAAAGCCGCCGCCGCGGCCGGGGGGAAGCGCTGAGTCGTGGTGAGGAATTTATAAGAAGAAGTCACGAGAGCACAGATGTGGAAACCAATGAAATTAAGTTTAGCCAATTAAAAATGACAAATGATTAAGTCGCCTTGAAAGAATCCGTGGAAAAATCTCGGGTATCTTTCGATGGAACTGAACGATGGTGAATGTCGTTTCCACGTCACGTCGTTAGAAACAGGTCGTTAGGAACACATCGAAAACAAATTTCACAAACGAGAGATACTTCCGTTACACCACTTGACTTACTTTCGTCGACTTTACGAGGAATGCTGGTATATTAATCTCGTTTGCCACCGAACGGCAAGAGGTCAACGAGATTATTTCTCTCTCTCTCTCTCTCTCTCTCTCTCTCTCTCTCTCTCTCTCTTCCCCCCTCTCTCTCTCTCTGTCTCCTTCTCAGGGATCTTTTGCGAAGCGCGATTAATGTTTCAGATCACAGCCGGCCGCTGGATTGGAAGGATGAGCTCGGCTATATAGCTGCAGGCGGTAAACGGGATGATGATCGCCATGAAAACAATTAAGCGAGGAGATTGGTGCCGATTGCTGCTGGTAGCCGCGATCTTGGGGCGTGCCAATGCAGAAAAGGTTAAATAATCGAGAGTATCAAGCGATATTTTCACAATCCCCGACCCACGAGGATCCTCTTTTGATTTTGAAAGGCGCGAGAGGCATCGAATATTCCCTACCTCGCCGAGCTGCGTCTCTCCAAATCGCGTTCGCCTGTTTTTTCTCGACCGCCGCGCCGCCTCGTCGTCATTTCGTCATTTGCGGACGACGCAACATCCGCACGCGCGAAATTCTCTCGTTCACGCATGTCATTGTACACGCTCGCACAGGCGAGGCGAGGAAAGATCTCGCTTCGTGTGACCGAACACGGACGCCTGGACGAGAGACAGAATTCGACGACGAGAAGTGATATAATATCCGTCACCGCGAGCGAAAGAACCTGAACATTCAGCTGTATTTTAGAACGAGTCGCGGGCCAGGATAATCGGGAACAATCTCGAGCGATCGGGAAACTTCCTACGATAATCTCTCCTTGTTGCTACGTGAGACTTTTCTCCGCTATTGTCTCCGCTATTTTTCCCAGGCGACGGAAATTTGAAAAAACGGAAGTCTCAGCGATGAAATCGCTCGAACCGCGGCGCGCAAGACCGAAGAAGGACCGCGCAAGGCGAGGAGTCGCCTTGAATCGACATTAGAGATACACGTGAGACACGCAGCACACACACACGTGTTTTGACGTGCCAATAATTTCACACGCCGTGCCGTGCGAATCCGTCACATACGTCAGCGGTTTACGAGGTAGGGTCAAGCCAAGTCGGGCTGCAAGGAGGATTCCGCGAGTAGTAAGCGAATATAATTGCGCGTAATCGGTGAAAGTGGCGGAGATATTACTAATGACAGCTGTGCGAAAGAGCTTGCGCACAACTATGTGCACGCGGCACTATGTACACTACATACGAGATGTTAGGTAATTAGGCCCGACGAGCCGGGCTCTTACAAAACGACGTTTGTAGGCGTTTTTCAGGCGTGTGTGTAATAACGTGTAGACGCTCGATCGAAGCCCTCGTTCGGCCCGCGGATGATATTATTATCAAAAGTTATCACCGGTCGCGATAAATTGTCCAAGACGATCGTTGCAGCACAAGCGGCAGATCTTTCGAGAACAGGTGCTGCCGGCGCTAGGTGGCAAGATTCCGGAGGAGGCTTTCCGAACGGACCGTCTGGCGCTGAATCGCTTGAACAAGGAGGGCATCACCGTGCCGGACGGCGTGGTGTTCGACGCCCGGCACGTCCAGAAGCATCCTCATCCTGATCAAAGAATGCCGGAGATCATCAAGGTATATATAACAGTGTTATACGCGCACGATCGCGGACGTTCGCTCTTTGCCGAGCGAGAGATCACCTGCTCTCTCTCTCTCTCTCTCTCTCTCCCTCTCTCCCTCTCTCTCAGTCTCCTTTAGTGGGATTCCGATCTCGAAAAGTGATGACAGAGTGAGACAGAGAGAGAGAGAGAGAGAGAGAGAGAGAGAGAGAGACAAGTCGTTGGGAAGCTTGCAGAGCAGAAACGCGCGTGGGAGATACTTGCGAAGAAATTGAAGGGTAGGGAAATTTTTCCAATATATATTCAAGATAGCGGGATTGTTTTCATACAGGGGATAAAATTCATTCAGTGGGCAAAACAAGAACAATCGCGACTCGTGGCGATCAAACAAATCGCAGCAATAACTCGCGATAGTGAAAACAATGTCTCACTTAATGATAAGAAGAATTTATCGTTTGGGCGAGGTTCTTTTTCTTTTTTGCTCAACAACATATTGTACACATGCTGCTGCTTTCGCAGCTGAAGGGTTACGAATCCGGTGTTGCTACTCGAGCGAGCAATTTCACTCTAATCAATTAAAACATTCACTCGTACGGATGAAGAATCCGCTTGAAATTCGCGGATGAAACGGAACGTTCACTCTCGCGACTCCGAGCGGCGGTGTTTTCACCGCGAGAGTGGATTTTTCGACTCGTTTCGAGGGAGATTTCACGTCTGGAAATTTAGAGAGTACTCGAGCAGAGTTTTCGATAGCGCTGCTGTGACCGACGCATTCACCACCGGTCCTTTTTATTTAATGAAGGTTTACCTGACGTCGGACGGTCGATACGTGCCGCCGGAAGGTCGATTCCATTATAACCAGCCGAAAGCCGTAGACACGACTTACATTATACGAAGGCCATTCATGCGGCCGAGCCACAAGCCGTCCGACAATTTCGAAAGCGCCAAACTCCGAAGCTATCCCAAGATTGCACAGACTTACACCAATTATGGACCATTCGTGCCGATCGCGCCGCCCTCCAAGCCGGGTGTTTACAAGCCCGCCATAACGCCGCTGATACTTCCGGCAGAGGGTCTGCTTGATTTATCAAGCTGGAGGCCTGAATACGACTGGGACACCGTATACGAGCCGTTCGACGATTACTTCGTCGACGATATCACACTCTTCGATTCTCATCAGGTATTGTACGAATCAGGCCGCTCAGGTTTCAGGATGGGCGGGCCAAGATAAGCCCGCTAAGATAATCGTCATCTTTACGCTCACGCACTCGTTCAAGGATCCTTCCGTATTCGAGAGATAGAATACGCGCGATACGGAAGAAAGTCCGTGACTCGGTAACTCACGTTTGCTTTCACGCGTTTGTATTCACCTGTGTGTGTGTGTGTGTGTGTGCTCGCACCGGGTATGCAAATCCCTCGAAATGGACACTCGATGGATATCGCGGTACAATCTCGCACGACTGACCTGAACCGCTGAGTTCCCGCCGCTTTCGGCAAACGGCGGCGTTATCTAATTTACGTGCGATTCTATCTCGTAAATGAGATAACGCCAGCTTTTGTAGCTTTCCCAACTTGTCCCCAAAGTGTAAGGTAAATCAGTAAGGTGAATTTTGCACACGTTTTCGAGGAAAAATGAAATAATGGCTACTACAAAAGAATGCCTTAAAATTAGTGGAAAGATGCCGTTGTTGCTAACGGAGGCGACTGGACAAATTATTAATAATAAAGCATCACACACACACACACACACACAGTTCTAATCTAATCAAAAGTATGTCTGTATCTTTTCCAAGTCATTACGATAAATTGTTTTCGAGTTATGCCGGACGCGCTCTTATCAAACAGATTCACTATTCACTATTCGTGCGTTGCGTATATTCGTCCAACGAATGACTGAAGCAACGAATTGCCCAACAGATTATCACGGATTATCAAGGATTTCTCAACGAGTTCCACGGACGACCACTGAGGCACGCGAACCCGAAGAACAGCAACAAGAATCAGCAGCAACGGCAAGGCCGAAAGTATCCGGAACTGAAGTCGTCGATACCTTATCAGAAGGTCAGGTCGCACATCAGCAACTCGCGCAATTCCGCCTACACGAGTCTCACGAACATCCCGGAAACCAGATTCTCCTGCAGCGAGAGGAGGGGAATGTTTGCCGACGTCGAAACCAAGTGCCAAGTAAAGTGCCGACGCTGTCGTTTTAACTTTCTAATCAATCCCTCGGCTGTCAACGACGGAAATATCCGCGGAAAGAAAAGTGGCCCAAACCGCTGATGACGGAATATCTGCGCGTTCAAAAAAAAAAAGAAAAAAAAAAAGAAGAGAGAAAAAGAAAGAACGAAACAATTGGGACAGATCACTGTATACTTTTGTGTTTTCGTTTTCGTTGCTGCCGTAGCCGATTCAAATATTTGCCACGTCCGTCAGCGATCAGCGTGAGCAGCGGATCTCTACCGCGACATCTTGCGAAATCACGCGGCAACGACGTGTCGTGATTAATCCTCTCGCGTCTCTCTCGCGACGAAGTTATAGTTAGTTCGCGATCCATCCGACCGGTTTCGTCACGGACGAGCCGGATTCGATTCAGCCGGATTTCTACGCGCTACGCGAGACCACTACGATCTAGATCAACGTTCCAGCCATTATGATCCAGAAGTTGCTCCCTTAATGAAGCGGCCGGCTGAGTCGCGCCTTGCGCGCCTTGCGAAATCGCGAATGCGCGATTCCGCGAGCGACGCCGCTTCGATCTTCTCGCACGATCTCGCACGTAAGACATAGAAGGCCAGAGTGTTACCTTACGATACCTCACGAGTATCAGCCCATGTAGAATGGGGCTTGCGCAAGAGCAGACTCCAATTTGTTAATAATAAACGCGGGGGGGTTCGCTTCTCGCCGAGCGATCACCGCGGCGACGTAATCGGCCTTCCGTTGTGCTCCACAGGTGTTTCACAATTGCTCAGATTGGTCCAAGACATCATCCCTGTGTCCGCCAGGGACCGCTTTTTGCGAGAAGAGCAAACGCTGCGAGTGGTTCGAGCGTGTACGCTGCGGCCAGGAGAATCGACGGTGAATCGTCTTCTCGCTTTCGGAGCGTCTCTTGAAAACAGAGAGAAGAGGACACTCTCGAGAACTATGCTAATCGGCCATATTTCGGCCTCTCGGGCGGGAACGTAAGATTAAGAAGTATATATATATATATATATATATATATACATACATATATATATATATATATATATGCATATATACATGTATACATATAGATATCTTTTCATACGGAAGAGTCAAAAAAGTCAGAAAAATTGGCGAATGTGCGCGGAATATCCTAGATTTATCCGCTCCTCTGCTTGCATCGACTGCTTGGTCCAACTCTGGTACCACGATCTTCGCTTGGAATGGAAACGTAATTTTATGAGCTTTACAAGCGTCACACATCTACCTCCTCTGTTAGATTGAGAGTTTGAAAAGTTTGCATATGCTTTGTCGGTAAATTTAAATAACTGGGAACTCGGGGTTCGTCGGAAGGAGAACTTTGTCAAATTTCATTGTGATTCCACCGAGTGGTCCCTTGCCTCGACAGTGCGATAAACGATAAGTGACTCCTTAACGTGCATAAATAGCTTAAGTTTGATTCTACAAGCGGAGAGGAGCGAGAGCGTTTTCACAACCGTCAACGATCATATTCCATGCCATGCGACAACGCGAACTATCGTTGTCGATAGGCTACTTTGTACAGATTATCGTTTGTAATAAAACACACGTACACACGTCGATGCGAAACGAATCGATTTACCGACGATCACGTTCAACGTTTTACCTGATAAAAACTTGGCGGAGAGGCTTCCCAGGCACGATGGGGCGATTACATTTTTGTCGTCATAATTTTGTAAAAGAGATGTGCGCAAATGTGTGGGAGGTGGGAGGTGATCTCTCGATCGTCCGAACGTAGCGCGTACATTCGCGTCTCGCAGAAATATAACGCGACACGCTCGCTTCAATTCCGCCTGCGAAATCCGAAATTACTCGTTACGCGAACCCGACGTATCGCGGCCAGAGTTTCGTTCAGCCAAATCGTCGAAATGTCGGTTTCGGTGCAATTAGCGATTAACGCGCGTCTCTCCCTCTCAGGGCGATAATGGAAGGGGACGCCGTCCCGACGTCCGTCTCTTAGCGTTACGCGCGTTTTACACTTTCTCTCTCTCTCTCTCTCTCTGTGTGACATAATTTCTCGCACGCCCAGCGCGCAACAGTCTCACGGCACGGAAACTGGTCTCCAGTTTCGTTCATATTCAAACTCGGTACGGTCATGCCGAGAAGTCGCAGTGTCTTTACCACCGGACTCCTGCTCGCCGTATTGGCAGCGCCCGCTTCGCTCATCCACATCCACGTCCAGGTAAATCTCTCGGCTCTTTAGCCAGAGGGGGGTGGTCGGGAGGACGCGCGAGAATGCGAGCCCCTGTCTGTGTGTACCCGCGATATCCATAAGCCGCGAGATATTTCGGATATCGGCGCTCTCGGTAAGTTACTCGGTGAGAGAGAGAGAGAGAGAGAGAGAGAGAGAGAGAGATTTCTCCTTTACTCAGCACGGGCGTGACTTTATCTTATTAGAGAAACGCATTCTACGAAGCGATAGAAAAATGTCAACAACTACGAGCGTGCGTAGGTACACTTGTACCCCGAGACGTATAAATCGACTTCATTTCGTTGCGAGGATAATCCCGATTGTCCCTTATAATAATGGCCATACCGTGTAATATCTCATAAAATACTCACTTTCACGTTGAAATTGAACGACACGAGCGTGTTATGCCGTCGACGGGCATTTCCGGTGGGATTAAAATTGCGTCCGATCCGATCGGCCACTTCCTTGTGGTGCAACGGCGATGATGCAAGGGCAATGGGTGAACAAAAAAATGTCCTTGACTTTGGATCAATCAAGGCAGCATTTTGCGAAGGTTCGTTACACTCTGCTGGACTCCCAAGTTTTTCTAATCTGTGAAAGCGGGTTACGATTCGTACTGTGGAATCGCGATTACTTTTCTTACGTTGCTACACGCGCTATACCACGTCCGTTACCTCGTTTGAAATGCTGACGTTAAATAATTGTACTTATATTTGCCAGCCCCGTAATTATATTCGATAGTTTACATTTCGTCCGCCGTTGCATCTATCTATCTATCTATCTAACGGTTGCTAACAGTTTTTTGTGGATTTCTCGCGTCAACGATCTATCGAGGACGTCTGTCCTTCTTCGATAGAAACGTTACGTGTATTCCGAATTGCTTTTTTATGCAACGTGCAAGGTGTCGATATGTCTGAAACGTTTATAGCCCAGACCAGGTATCAATAAAAAATTAATTATTTATGCGTACAGATGTGATGTGATAGCAATAATAAATAAAAAAAGAAACATGAAAGAGTATATTAGACATATGAGAGAGAGAGAGAGAGAGAGAGAGACATATTAAACATATGTATATCATTTTCAAGCATATTTCTTTTTTAATTATTATCTCTATTAATTGTATTTCTTTTTTACACGCACATACTTGACACAGATAATTAATTGCTGTTGGTGGGAAGACCCAATTTGTTGATTTCTTTTCTATATAAATGTTTGTCTGAAATAAACAGGAACCCGTGCCGGGAAGTAATTATTATGACGAGTTTCAACACTTCCAACCGATAATTGGGTTTCGTCGGCCTATCGTCGTGAAGGAAGAGCCGAAGAAGAGCGATCAGGATTTCAGCAAGATTCCGGGAATACCTGGGGTAGACTTTCCTCTCTTCCACAGGGTGCCACCTACAAGTTTTTCCTGCGCACACGTACCGGTAATACCAGGAATGTACGCAAACGTGGAAACTGGTTGTCAGGTAAACGTTAATTTCACATTTTCAATTTTCAATTTCATGTAGGTTAACGAATAGAGAATTTATATATAACAGTAATTAAATTTCTTTGTTCTCTTTCTCTCTTTTTGTCCGCTTGCCTCGATTTGGCAGCTTGCTGTCAATTCTCTTGCTCAATAAGCCACATTTGTGCGCAAGCTACGTACCATTTAAAATGTAGTAAAATGCAGATAATCAATGTTCACTCATTGGTTTTCTTACAAATATATATATATATATATATATAAATTTGTAAGTTTTGTAGCGCGCCCATTTATTAACGTTTAAATGTTAAACCTAACAGTTCGTTCGAGCGAGTTCGGTCAAATCAGTCTAAAGTCGAATGAAAAATCACACACGTATGTTAAAAGCACGCGTAATGTGAAGCAACGTCGGAAAGTCTTCGGTGCTCTGTCTTCAGTCGAGAAACGAATGGCGCAAAAGTATGAAACATTAAGATGGTATTATTATCTATCAAGGACTTTAATAACGAGAGTGTTAAAGTGATGGTGAATTTCTCATTCCTGGAATAGAATGAGACCATCGACAAACAACGAGACAACCTGTACATTTGTACCCGTGCATTTTACCCTGAAAACTGAGATGATGGAATGGAAATACACCTACTTTTTGTGCAACAATAGCGCTTCGATCGATCGAAATAATATTGGAAATAATTTGTCGTCTCCACGGCAAACTACTGTAAATTGTACACGCGCGAAAGAACGCTCTTTTCGAATTTTACGTGCACGGACGCGCTTTGATCGCGCTTCGTCGCATCAAGGTGAATCATCAACGCTGCTGCGGCGAAGCGAGGAAAAATCATCCGAATGACGCTTGGACGCAGCGTGAGCGGCCGCGAAGTGGAGCGGATTTATTATGTAAGAGAACGGGCTGGCATTATTAAAACCTCAAGGCAACGCGGGAGTAAGGACCGATCTCGCCTCGGTGAAAGACAAACTCCGCGAGGAAACGGTCTTGGCAAATTGTTGTCGTAATCCAGCCTCTCTCGCGGTGTGTCGAGCTACGCTCGATTCGCTCGGTTTCGCCTCGACTTGATAAGCTTCATCATTTCGGAGGAGATACGTATCTTCTCGCGCGTTGCACTCGCGAATCACATTTGCATCTGTGTGATTGTCATTAAGGAAAGAACAAAATATATATATATATATATATATATTTATTTCCTCGATGCAATTTCCACAACTTTCGCTCTCCTTCAGACAGTAGAATTATCTTACGTATATTTCATATCATACGACAGCGTAACGATTTTTTGTTTACGAAAACCTCAGCGCTCTAACAGCGTCTGATCTGTCTCGCCGCTTGAAATTCCGGTATTCCCAATCGCGCGCTCGCGCGCGATTGCTATGCCGAACGAATAATTGATTTATCAGAGCGTGTAATTATGAGGCAACGACTTTAGGAGAGGCTGTCCGCGTGGGAAAGTAGTCGTCAATATCATCGAGACAACGAAAGATTCGACCGAGTTCTCGCTCTTGTCATGTCTCGGTTTATTTTTTTCTTTCTTCTTTTTTTACCGCGTGTTTGCGCCAAATATTCGTCAGAATCGCGTAAGAGCGCGAGGAGCGCGGTGCAATGTGCGCTCATACATTCATCTCTCTTGCCCTCCTTATGTTCTCGCTCAAAGAACAACATGGAATTTAGCGCGCAACTTATTGTTATGATAATACAACGATGTGAACTGTCGCTGAATCCTTCGTGAGCAATAAAGAGCCGGCTGACATAAATGACGTTACGTGACTCGAATGCTCCGTCATGCGTCACAACTTGATTTCCAGAGCGCTTAACTTTCCTTCCCAAGAATGTCATTCGCTTCCTTTGTATTTCCTTAAACCGGGCTTCTTTCCACGGCGTTTCACATCGCTTGTATTATTTTCAGCAAACTTGCGCAACCTGGCTCGCGTCAGATCCTCCCGGTTACGATACTTGCGTAACTTGCGCTGATCATTTTGTTCGCTCGTATATTGTAAACATTGAGATTTATTTGTAGAGATGAACTCCTTTGCCTGTTCAATTCAATGTATAATTCCGTGTTTGACGACGCTCTCTGACGGTAGATTGTTAAACGTATTATCATATGTGCAATGTGTCTACACGTATTGTGTGTACATACAAAATTATTTATTTATTGTATATTATTTCAGGCATATCACATTTGTCACGACGGACGTGAAGGCGATCAGGGCGCCTCTTTCTTGTGCACTAACGGGACACTGTTCAATCAAAACGAATTTGCGTGCGACTGGTGGTACAATGTCAATTGCGCGGATGCGCCGTCACTTTACAGGTAAATTTTTCCATGGACAATTTTAATAACAGGTACAAGTTGTCGTTTGAAATATACACAGCGATAAGTCGCAGACATCCCTTTATTACGCAACAAACGATGCAACACTTTGTGCGTTCGCTTCTAACGTGCCTTCTGCGTTTACAGATTGAACGGAGATCCATTAAAAAATCCATATGTGCCAAAGGAAACAAAGGACGCGATCCGCGAGAGATTGAAGATCGTTGTTTTATAAGTGTAATTAGCTACGTAGCTGTTGAAGGGGAAAGAAAGCGGAACAAGTTTATATTTATCCGTATACGCGTTATATAAATTCGTTATTTTTCATGCCAACATACTTTTTATACATTTTGTATAAGAGTTATGCTGCAGCTCGAGTGCAACTACGATTCGTGATGATGATTACACTCCACTGTAATCGTATAAAATTATATAAATCCATTGTTGATTATTTCGACTGGCAATAATATTGAGGACAATTGGGAGGAACGCCGTCTAGCTAAAACCAAAAAGTTCTGATTTCTTTGGAGTATCTCGATAATCTAATAATAGGCTGAAATTACTTATTCTTACAAATTGCAATAATAAAAATGACGAAGAATGATGTGAGGATGAACAGTAAAAATTGTTATTCGATAACGAACGATTTCTCGGCTCGGCTCGATCGAATGTTCCAAACGAAATTTTCATTCTGCGCGCCAACGGAGATAGTGTCGATCGCGTTCGCCGAAGGACACCGAGGCGGATATTAAGATGGTGAAAGGTACGGAGAGAGTACGAGGTATCTTAGGGGAAGTATACGGCGAGAGAGATTGGCGCGTGAGAGATTAATCGGAAGAGCCATTCACTTTTCCTACAAAAAGACTATACGTATATGTAAACGCGTGAACGTGTGTGTGTGTGTGTGTGTGTGAACAGTCCAACAGCATGTTATTTAACGAACAAAGTTCCAAAATACACTACTGTTATTTAACGAACAAAGTTCCAAAATACCTACGCCTGAAAAACAAAACGATTGAAAAGCGTAAAATTAAAACGCTACAGCCGATACGAAAAACTAACTTTGTTGAATCTTTGTTGGAAACGCAAAGCTTCGCGATACAACACACGCACACACACACACACACACACACACAAGTTTAGAAGTAAATTTTCACGATAGATACAACGAATACAGGCACCACTCTTTATCGTAAATCGTTATCGGTACGGACAAATTGCACGATGCGATCGAAAGACAGAAGTAAATTCAGGAACTTTCGCGAGAGAGACTGTTGAATCGTTTAAAGAGGTTAATGGAAAATATACGATGTATCGGAATAAATACAAGTGCAGCTGCTTCCAAGAAATCTAATCTCCAAGTGTAATTGCAATCTCATTTAAATATTAAACTAATCTAATAATCCTATGCAACTCATTGGTTGCCTGCCTCTAAAAAAATGGGAGTATAGACGTTAAAAAATTACCGTATAATAACGAGATATAAATCGAGTATCTTTTTTTATTAATACTTGGTATCAGTAGTAGAATACGAGGTTAAATTCGAGATTTGGTACGACTGTTTCTAGCCTAAGTCTAATAAACGTTAAATATGCGACAGTCGCTCTTCAAATTCCACTCTCACTGTCCAGGATGACCCCGGTGCACGCAAAGTATCGTAATTATTCTCGCATTAATCCTAGTTAATTTAAAAACGTCGGAAATAGCGCAAGGCAACTCTCGATGTATGTGTGTGTTCGCTTTCTCTTCAAAGATCATTATAATCTCGAGTTTGTTGTCTTATCCACGTGCGTGGTCGTTCCAAAGGTCGAGCAATCTTCGACGCGCCAAATCGCACCTAGGATCGCCATTGCGTGAAATTTTTATCTCGCACGTACTCTACTCCTATAATATCAATATTTCATGCTGCATTGTATTATAATATCGAATTGATTAGCGCGTGTTCTGCAAGGCAACGTTTAACGTATCGGCGCAGTATACGATACCGTGGCGTAGCGCCTCGTACAGTACAAAGATTCTTAAGGCCACGGATTATATTAAGATCATTTAAGAAGTTCAGTCTTAAATGTCATGAGACAATCAAGAAACCTTAAATAAAGGAGAACAAAGAGTCAGTGAACTTATCTCAGAGGCTGCGGTCTATCGAAGTTGGATTTAACAAAACTACGCGTAATGAAAAACGCTGAGGTTCCAGCTGTACGCTGTTCCAAAATGTTTCCAAGTCACGTGTGACAATAATTTCTAATAAAAAAGAAGAAGCAATGTTAAAAAGCAACGTGCCATTTGTTTATCCCACGGACGGAACGTTTGTGTCACATTTTCCCACAATTTTTTGTGCTCCAGTTTTGAATCCAATTTCGTTTGCAAAATATCCCGACATATTTCGCAAGAAGGTGGAAATTAATTTTTAGAAATATTCAAAGATCAGTGATATCCATAATTGTGTTTGAGAACGAGTTTGAGAACGAAGGAGGAGGAGTAGCAGTGCGATTGTTGGAATGGATTGTCGCGCTGGTCGTCGGACGGACGAAAAGCGTCACTTCTCCCACATTCTCCCACGCGCTGTTCCTGGCGCGCCGGCATCTTTTCCTCGCGACCAGCGATCGTCACGGATGTCGCGTCTCGGTGCGCTCACCGTAAACATTTAATTGCCGTTAATGCCGTCGTGCGCCGAGGAGGATGGCAGCCACCAATAGCAGATACCAATCTGAAACGAAGCTCGCTCGCGTACGGTATTACCGGCAAGTCCGCCGGTTCCCTATCGCGCACGCAGCGCAGTCTCGCAACAGTGATATCGAGGCGGCTCCATCGCGTTGTTTGAAATTTATTAATTTCCCCCTCGGAATAATCAGTCTCAACGTAACGCCGAGGTGACGCCGAATAACGGGCCGATCACCGTTATCGCCGGCCAGATATCGCGCATTTAATCGAGCGTATCGTCGCGGCGCGGCGCGGTGCATGCCGGGAAGGGAAAATTCGGTATTCTCGCGAAAAGCAGCGAGGGTGAGGTTTGCACGGGCGTCGTCGACCGGCGCGAGTAAAGTCAAGGACGTCGCTCGGCTCGCTTTCGTTATCGAAAGGCTGCGAACGCGCGCTGGAACGGCGCGAATCGTAAGACGGATAAGAGCCGCCCTTTCTCTAGGACGTTCGAAGCTAATAATGAAGGTAGGTAACGACACAAATAGGTCGCGCGGAATTGTAACGTTCTCCGTGATTTCGCTCCGACGCCTTGAACGCTGCGTCGACAAGCGGAACTGTCACAAGCGGCGGATTTGTTGTTGCTTCAGCAACAACGTCACAAGCGAACAAAGCTTCTGGTTCACAAGATGAACAAAAGAAAGGGAAGAGAATGACATCGAATGACGGGGGATATTTGGAACGCCGCATTTTGTTGGGATTTAGCGGTAACACAGATCGGATCATCCTTGTCGCCTCCTTCTTGATCCTACCAAATTATTCGTTTGGCTCTTCTCCGATTACAGGAGCGTGACACACACGTGAGGATGCGCGATCGGATTATGTAATCACGCATATTACAACGCACGCGTATGAAAATGGCGTTTAACTGGTTACGCGCGTTTTCACGGTTCACGTTCGCTCGACGTAACCGACGGCTGCTTTTATTATCCATTTCGCGGCGGGGGATTGCATCGTGCAGGGAAAATTATCGTCGTCTCCGATAATGCCGCGTTATAACATGATGTAGCTAATCGAGGAATTTTTAAGACAGAAGGACAGGACATGGGTGGGCCGGGTGTGGTGACTTGAAATATCAATATCCGCTGTCTCAGCTGTTTGTTGCTGCTTTTCGGCTAAAGCACGCGAATGCGCATCTGTGCAGATGATAGACGATCGGTGGATAAAGATGTCAATGTGCAAATATTGCGTCAGAAAGAATATTAGTTTTATCAGTCGTTACTCATCGCTCTTGTGAGGAAAAATATGCAGCTGTTGCTGCACTGTTGGGAGACAAGGCAGTCCGATTACATATATTAGACTCGCAAAAGATTGTGGAATTGCAAATATGGGGGAGTTGACAGTTTTTCTTTCTTTTTCTTTTTCTTTTTTTTCATGGAGCTTTATAAAAAGGCGCTCTCAGTCATGATCTTAAAATTTATCTACGGAATTTTAAGTAACAACGTAACCTCATTTTTATTGTAAGTAAAAATGGAACCCGATAAAGTGCATCGTCACTGTGTGCTATTTTGTTTCAACCAAAGAGAGAGGGAGAGAGAGAGAGAGAGAGAGAGAGAGAGAGAGAGAGAGAGACTGCTGCGGACGCAAAACGCTCACTCGCCATCTGAATTTCATTTCTTCGGATCGACGCAACATGGCTTGCTAATGCCGAGAAAGTCCGAAAATGGGTCGATAATTTCATTACCTCCCTTTGGAGGTAACGAAAGGAATGGAGATATGTCTGTGGTTTTTTTTACTATTAATTAAATAAATATATTTAAAAATCCAACAAACTTTTGCAAGCACCTGATAATTGATAGATCGTCGCACACAATCGAGAAATCCGCATGTCGCGCATGTCTGTCTCCATATTTCGATCAGTTGCGACAACACGAGACAACAACAAGTGGAGGAGGAAGAATTATACGATCGGCGGACAGTACCCGCGCGAATTTCTTCCGGCATAAATCCGGCACTCGCGACAGGAAGATGCGCGAGTCGCGCAATCGCGAAATTGAGACGATTACATTCGCCCGGCCGCCGACCGAGCGCGCGGCGGCGGCGGCGGCGATCTCGCAACCACGCCGCCGCGAAGATTATTGCAGGCTTGTAAAACAGCCGTGGTGGAAATAATGCGACTTGTTTAGAGCTCCTTGTCTCGCCTCGATTCGCGCTGTGTATTAACGTTCCTACGTGGGCTCTCAAGTGTTTTCTACACTGGCTTTCTCGCGCTGTTACAGCCGCTTGGCCATGCGGCTAAAAACCAAGAGATTTCCATCCGACGAGTGCTCATGAAGCTGCAATTAGGCGGTCCCGAGGCAGGATTGTTCAGCGGTTTCGCTTCGGCCAACGAGATCAACCACAGAAAATTACGCATCCACGGCCCGACGCGGACGGACGTGACGCTCGCTGATGGACACCGGTCTGGGTATCAAGGGTTGGGCCATCTCGATTCGGTTTTCGAAAAATCAATCTTTCTTTCCGGAGACGGTTTCAGAGGGGGTTTTCTTTTTTATTTAAAAATTTCTATGCAACTAGAATCTTTTTTGTCTTAAGATCCTGTGTTAGACGAGCGCGTGGAGTCTCCGCGCGAAGAAGACGAGCGAAGAAAATTTGCTGCAATTATTACATTAATCGTGCGTGCGAGGCCCAAATCGCACTCCCAAAATCGCCGCCATTCAGACAGTCCTCGAGCCAAGCGCCATTTCGTTTGCGAAATCCCCTTTGGTCTTGGATCAGCACACACTTCGATCTTCGTCGCGGGAGAGATTTTCGCACGGTTAGATCGCACGGGAGATCGCCGATCGGGGCGGTAGATCGATATACGCGATTAACGTTAAAATAAATGTAATAAGTTCGACGCGAGTGACGTCCGGCCGCTGCTGACAACATTCTCGCTACGCGCGACGTGATTACCGAGAAAATCCGATAAAACGTGTTCCCCCGGCCATCGGCTGAGCGTTTCTTGCCACGCGTTTGTTACCACCCGACCGCCTGAACCCGGCGCAATCACGGCTCTATTATGAGTGAGTTACGCGTTCGCTCGGCGCGAATGAACAGCGTGAGATTGTAACGCGCCGGCATCATCGGCTGCGCAAAGGCGCTCGTTTGCAATGCGCTTTCCGTCCGCCGAGAATCCGATCGTCGATTTATGCAGATCAAATGCCGGCGCGATCTACTTCGGCGGTGCCACCGCACCGCCGCCGTAATCATCTTGTGCGCGATTTCCTCGGGGCGCTCCTCTATTTATGTTCTGCGCTTCCTTCGTTCTCCACGCGCTTTTCTCACGCGCTTGGTGAAATAAAGAGCAACAAGCGCGCAGGAGATCGCGAGAACCAGAGAATCGAAGATCAGCAACACTGGGACACGAACGTCCCATCGCGATGAAAGAAGCAACGAGGGGATGCTCGTACACCTCGCGGTTTCAGCTCTTAGAAGATGACCCATCGCGAACTTTTCCTTACCGGATACCGCCAAAGAGCAACGACGAGGAAAGCTGTACGCTTAGCGGCCGATCAAAAGCGCTTTCGGCAGCGTCTATCCGATATCTATGCGATGTATTCAGCTTGCTTTTCTGCTCTCCGACCGATTACCTTTCCCACGATGGTTCATACCGAGCAAGGTATGAAGGTAGCTGTAAGTATATATTTGTATCGAGCGCACTCTTTCTCTCTTTCTCTCTCTCTCTCTCTCTGTCTCTGTCTCTGTCTCTGTCTCTGTCTCTGTCTCTGTCTCTCTCTGTCTCTCGCTCGCTCGCGCGCGAAAGTTTAAATTGTCCAACGTAAATCAATGTGCTGCGTCATTCGAAAAGCATTGCGCCGGCGCTACGCGAGACGAATGTCGCTGGGTCGCTGTTGGGTGCCGTGGATTCGGCATGACATCACATTCCGGGATTTGCTCCTTTGGGGTGCAGGACTTTGTGACAAAAAATACTCTGTTTGCACAAAAGTCCTGTTAAAAAAAAAAATACAATAAAATAGATTTGTTTTATTTGTAAATGATGAATAAAATCTCTTGCGCTTCGAGTTATCTTAATATTCAAAAAAAAGAAAAGAATAGAACGTCTTTCGCGCGGAAGTCATTCCGAGGCACACGTGCGTCCAGCATTTCCGGCCGCTTTTCTGCCAGGAAAAGAAGGCCAAGCCGGATCTAAACGCGCTCAGGGTGCGTCATGCTCGAAGCCGAGTCTCATGAGACGCTAGTTCGGCTGAGAGACTCGCCACGTTCTCCTCAGCCTACTTCGTCCTGCTCTTTACGCGTCGTTTGCTGGCTGATGCTGCGAGAAAAGAGAGAGAGAGAGAGAGAGATGCTGTCAGCTCTCACAATTTGTTTTGCGATTTTTTATAGTTATTTCTTATGTCAAAATATGAAGAAATCTGTTATCATTCTTAGCTTAAATTAATGTTTTCGATTTTTTCGACATTTTTCAAGTTTTGCACAAGTACACTATTTTATACATATTTAAAACAACATTTCTTAAAAATATATATATATATCTGATTTGTTAAAACTGGCACACACATGTCGCCGATTATGAATCGGAAACATTTTGTAAAATTCAAAAAGGCGGATCTAATATGGCTGACGTCATTGTTGAAAAAGTGTACAGTTTTACGCTACATTCGACGTTGGGAGCAATCTTTCGGCTCACTATCCAGCAAACAAGCTCGTATTAACATCAAAATCTGGCAAAAGGTGAACAAGAAATGAACAGAAAGAGAATAAACAAAAAACTTGAGGGATTTCGAAAAAATTGAAGAAATTAATTTCAGCCAAGAATGACAACAGATTTCTTTATATTTTGACATAAAAGATAGGTATAAAAAATTGGAAACAAATCGCGGCGTCTGACTCGCGTTTCCCGCGAGGTTTACTTCGCCGATAATGGTCTCAAGATGACGATTTCGAGCGGACGATCGTCCTTTTTCGCGCGCGCTTGATTTTTCCTGCCGAATCGCGCAGGATGTCCAAGAAGGGGCAAGGAGAGTCCGTTGGCGATGGCTTAGCCTCACGCCGTGCAACGCCGCGCTCGACGTAGAGTTTGGTGCCGCGGAAAAGCGGCGAATAGAACAACCCCACCTGGTTGCGCGCGGGCCGCGGGCGCGGCCTTTTCCCTCTCGGCTCTATAAAGCCACTAGGAGAGCGCCTCCACCGAACATTCGCGCTCGCCGCACCGTCACTCATTTGCTCTCATCATGTGGCTGCTTATCCTCGCAGGTGAGTGCGCTACCCGTCGTTTACTCATTGCCCGGTCAACAAGGACGACCTTTTCCCCGGGCGCTTCCGCAAAGACAGCCCCGCCGCGGCCAGCCGACAGAGCTCTCTCTCACTCTCTCTCCTTTGCATCGCTTTGTGAAAGTTACGCCGCGCGCCAAGTGTGCATAATACACGTGTCTGGCGACGACGTGTTTTTCGCGCGCGTGTGCAAATATCGATTCGCGTGTGACTGTTGTGCAAAGAGAGAGCGAAGAATTTCCGCCGCGCGAGAACACGCGCACATGCGATCACGTGATTTCAGTCTGTAGACGAAGAGAGCTGGAGAGCTGGGGGAGATTGTCGTGTGCGAGTGGGAGCTGGGGGAGATTGTCGTGTGCGAGTTTGTCCCAGGCGACGTCGAAGCTGACGGAATAGGCGAGCGAGAGAGAGAGAGAGAGAGAGAGAGAGAGAGAGAGAGTGCCCGAATAAATGTCATCTTGCAATTAGACCGCGGTCCTTTCGCGGTCCTTTCTGCCGGCATTTGATGTCGGTTTGGTCGTTAAACGCGTTCGAAATCCGGAGGGAATCACGCGCAGTGCGCGACTCGCAACTTTCCTCGAGTAGTTCGCTGGATCACTCGTGCACGCATGAGTTCTCCTCGCGCTCGTATCCAGACATTCGCCGAGCGCGCGCGGAAGCTTCGCTTTCGCATTCGAGTGTGCACCGTACACAGCGCGTAATACAGCGCGTGGCGCAGCACAGCGCAGCAATATGCCGCAGCCATATGGCAGCGTGTATTGTGATTCGACGCGGTGGACATTTTGCTTCGCGTCTCGTCGCGATCGATCTCGCCGAGTGAGAATAAAACGAAAAGAAAAAGACATCCCCCCGCGAGTCCGATGCACGAATATACGGAGATATTATCGTATAAGCGAGAGTGCGGAGAAATTGCCGGTATCTCGAGATGCCGTCGCGCGCGAACCGTTGGAGAACCGTTTCCGGCGCGGTTGCACGGAACGCTCGCCGGGAGATCTCCGAAGGAAATGATAGATTTGCACTTTGAAATCTGTCGCCGTGGTCGTTTCGTCGTAACAAGTCCCACGCGATATCTACGCGCGGTAAGTTCGCCGCGAAATTACAACGTTATACACGTATTATCGTGGACAGCGCGTATTATGACGCAAGAGAAAATTTTCGCGAAAGTGGGAGTAATGTCAGAGGCTTGAGGCTCGCTCGATCTCAAAGTTTCTACATGAGAGAGCCTCGTTCTCGCAATTAGCCGGCCATAATGACAGCCGTGATACGTTGACTCGCCGAGTCGTCGGCCGATTACCGGGCCGATTGAGAGTAGCGGCAAGCTAAATCGCGCTCGGACTTTACTTTCGTAGAGTCAACGCTTGTACGCCGCGCGCGCGCGCGCGCGCGCGCGAGCGCGCGTTACAGCGAAACCGCATTTACGCGCGTCGCGTGCGCGTTTTCTCCTCGACATCGCAAGATTTCTCGTTTTTGACTAAACTCTGCACTCTCGCAAAAATGCAACAATGCGGAATTTCGACGAGCGGTCGATGTCGCGCTCTCGGACATTTTCCGCTGTTCGCAGGACCGGCCGGCCGGCCGGCCGGCCGGCCTTCCTGTGCTCGCCGATAAATGGAGCTCGCGCGTTCCACCACGATTTGAAATTGAATAGAAAGTCGCATGTGCGACAGCAGCGAGAAGAAAAGACGCAGCGCGATGTGTCTCGCAGCAGCCTCTCTCGATCTCTACTCCTACTGCGTTTATCACTCGACTCCCGCTCTCTCACTCTCTTCGGGGGAGCGTTTCCTCATCGTCAACTGCCGCGTCGCTGCGAAATATCCTCTAATCACCGCGGCTGGTAATGGCGGCTTTATCGGATTTTCTCATCTGCCCGAGGAACCTGCGTAATGATAATCGCGCATGAGAGAGGCCGCAGGGTCTCTTTGCTTAATTTCCTGCCCGAGAGACGCCGAGAGACACAATGAGAGACATCTGCGTCCCATAATCTCCCGGCTGCCGACCTCTCCTCCCTCCCCCTCGCGACATACGCGACATACGCGCGAGAAAAGCAGCAAGTTGAGAAACGCGATTCTTCTTCCCTGCCTATCGGTGCGTATCGTCGAGAGATCTTCCGAGCGACGGCGACGCGACGAGTCGCGTCGGCACACCCCCTTGTTGTCGCCACCCCCATCATCGCGCGAACATTGCGCAGTCTTTCCGTCTGGTCGTCGGGACTCGTCGCGTTCGCATGCGACACTTCTATTCCGCTCCCGATTCGAGAAAGTGTGTCGCGCGTAATTTTTCTTCCGAGAGCGTACTACTGCTACTACTGCTACTACTCTAATTCCGTCGATCCCGCTTCTCCGCATTTCAATGTGCATTCAATCGCAGCGGGGCGCACCGCGCAGCGACCGCGCAGCCATGATCGCGTTTCCGAACGAACAATCACGGATCTATACTACGAAGCGAAACTTATCGTATTATACTCGCTGCTTTATCGTGATCGCGGCGTGATCGATAGCGGCGACCGCCATGACGTTATTCTCACGTTCGCGGCGCTGCGCGGCACGGTTGCTCGCTCACTTTGGGCGAGCAAGAACTCTCTCGCAAGGGCTCTCGTGTAATATAGATCGATAATAGATCGCAGCGCCGACGTTGCAAAAAATCTCTTACGACCTGGCTCGTGTCGCCGGCGATTGAGAAATCCACGTCGAACATAAGCCGAGCGAGTGCACAATATCGCCTTTCTAACCGATACGTGGCCAGAGACTGCAGTCGCCAGCAGCTGCAGCCGGTCGCCAGCCGAGAGCGCGCGCGCGCGCGCGCTCGAAAGCGGTAAAAGTACAAAAATTTACACGCCCTGCCCATCGTGTATTGCAAATACACGAGTCTCCGTCTGGGCGGTAGTCGTCCAGAGTCGAGCGATCTCTTAGCGCCGAGATCACAGTCTCGAGAGTTCATCTCCAGAGTTCCGCTCCGTCTTCTCCGAGGCGACCGAGGGTTGCCTCGGATGTTCTCCTTTGGGAAAATTATTTCTCTCTTTCTCTCTCTCTCTCTCTCTCTCTCTCTCTCTCTCTCTCTCTCTCTCTAGCCGAAATTATTTTCATGTCCTACCAAGGATACCCTTGGATTTTTATCCCTCCGATGATTCCATCCGACGACCTTTTTCTTTCCGCTCGTCAAAATTTTCGCCCGTCCTTCGGCTACCAATTTACAAATCTGGTGACGACGCTGACGCTGACAGGGCTGATGGCTGCTGCTGCTGCTGCCAGCCATCTACTCTACTGTGTGTGTGTGTGTGTGTGTGTGTGTGTCCGTTATGACAAATCGTAGAAACGCGTTGTCACGATGTCCTGCACGCACGCATGGGAATTTAAATCCGCGGAAAAATGCGGGTCGGAAAGGCCCCGGAGACCACGAGTTGCAGCACTTCCCGATGGAGATGTGAGCGATACGATGGCCCGCGGCCGAGGCGGAAGTCTAGCGCGCGCGGTCGGCTCTCTAGACTGCGCTAGAACGGAAAGTGAAAATTGCTGGTGGCGGTACGCTACAGTATGTTGGTTTAACGTAATGCTAGTTTGGCACACGTTAGTCTTTTATACACAAACCTCGCTCTCGCTCTTTACCTCCCTTTCTCTCTCTCTCTCTCTCTCTCTCTCTCTCTGTCACTCTCACACACACACACACACACACACGGTCTCGCTTATTTTGCCGGTATATACGAAAAGATCGCGCGCGGCCTTGGGGAATCTCGATCTCGATTAGATCGCACGGGAGAGATTATCCGGGAGTGAAAGGTCGACGGCGTGGTTTCTCATTGTCCCGATTGCAGCACTAATTTCACCTCTAATCCGATACTCCCGGACGGATTCCAGCTAATGACGACGTGATTTTGAAAGACCGGATCGCCGCCCGTTCGCTCGCTCGCTCGCGATGCGATCGGAGAGACTTTTGTCCCGAGCGCGCTTATTGCGAGGTATCGGTAGCTGAGAACTTTTAAACGCCGCGGCCGGAGCGAGCTCGCGCTGCGACCACCGACCCGCAATAATCCACTTCCAAAGCGTTGCAGTTTTCTCACGCGCTCGCGCGCTCGTGCTCGTGCCGAGAGAACCAGGCCGACGTGTGTTGCGCGAGCGCGTTTGTGAGGCGTCTTCGAAAGAGGAAGAGATGCCGGATAATTAATAACTCCTCGCGCGTGAGTCCGCGTTAATTAGGAAACATCTCCCTTCCCGTCGACGATCGGCGACGGTGCGCATTGATCGACGCGCCGTTGTTCGACGCGCGTTCGTATCGCGATCTCTCTCGTCTCTTGTTCTCCTCGATCCCCTCCCCCTCCGCCCCGCGAACCCGCTTCCTCCGATTCGCGATATACGCGCGGATTCGCCCGGCTCCAACTTTTTCATCCGGTTTTGCTGCGCGATATCAGACACTGAAATTACAAGCCGGCTAACTGTGAAATTAATCGTTGATCAGCAACAGCTGTAATCAACATTTCGCGCGGAGGCGCGAACTTTGCCGCGCATAAATTAGGTAATAAGATTTGTTAATCGCACGCGAGCGCGCGCACCCGTACGTGGAATAGCGAGGAGCGTTACTTAACCGCGCCTTCCACCTAAGGACGCGCACGTAGCGTAGTCGTTACTCAACGCGGGAAAAATTACATCCGCGGAATCTCATGTACTAACAAAGGAAGGAAAGCTGACCGGGGGGCGGGGGGGGGAGGAGCTCTGCCCGTGCGCGCTTTCCTCTCGTTCCCGGACGCGTTTGTGCTCTTCTCCTCGATAACGTGCTTTGAAATTTCAAATTACGGCCCCCGGTACGACGCAAAGCGATCCGTAAGGGGCGCGGGAGGGGGGAGGGGGGTAAGTTCAGCAGCCACACGGCAAGCAGAAGGGCGAAGTTGCAGTTGAATATTTGTGGATCGAGTGGGAAGAATAATCCACAGCCTTGATCACAGTCAATTTCCTTATCGCTCACGGCTCTCACACATCGTGCTTCGGTTTCTTCACGGCGGTAAGTTCATGGCTCGCGTCTGCTACTGCTTCGGTTTTTCTCTGTCTTCGGGCAATAACACACGCGCGCGCGCGCGCGCGCGCGGTTGCCGAAGAGGAAGCCGAGGTAATGACGGCGTGTGTTTTTCGCGGGATCACGATCGTTACGAGCTTAGAGTGGTTGCGCGGTTGAAAAGAAAAAGGTAAAAGGGAAACTTTCCTCAAGCTCGCTTTCAGGATCACCCAGGGTCAATCATCACCGACAGTCAAGAGCAAGAGTAATTTTACGCGCGATCGTTCGCCGCCCCCCGTGTTCGTTTTTCTACGCGCGCAAATATCGATCGTCGGAGATTCGTGCGAACGATCGTTCACACGATCGAAAATACAGCTCACCGATAAGAATCACCGTTTTCAACGAATCTTGATTAGCCGTATCGTTTCGAGTCGTCGCCGTCGAGCGACTTTGCTTGAGAAAACAATCCGGCAAACATTCGACGCTCAAGTAATATAATTAAGGGGATAGCTTTCTCCAAAGGAGCACCGGCTCTCTTACTCTCGCGGGGGATAATGGCGGTACTCGCTAATAACAGACGCGGCCGCTACAATGCTCGCTTTGTCGACTTCATCATTTCCGTCTGCGTAAACTTTCGACGAGCGACCGACCGCACCGAATCAGTCATCACGTCATCACGTCCCGCGATGCGATTCGTCGATCGCGAGGTAGACCGCGACGTAGACTACGGCTCGCTAAAGTTTGCAACAACCGATTCGTGCTTACAAAACATACACGGCTGCATCGTGCTGAACAGCCAACAGCAACATGCGGCTTCCCGGTTGGCTTGAGTTCAAACTTTGTGCAATTTGGCTCGCATTCGCGCGTCGTAAACGCGCCGAAGGGAGGGGATATGCCTTTCGTCGTTCCTACAAACTTCACATTAATCGATCGATCGATCGATCGATCGATCGATCAACGATACGCGAGTTAGCGAGTACCGGAAATCTGCCGTGATTTTCCGCCTCTCTTCCTGGCCGACGTCTTATCGTCGATTAGATTTCAGCCATTGTTCCAGCCGAACCTCAGCCCGATACTTGACCCCACACACTCAGCTCAGCTCAGGCTCGATTTTCGTCCTTTTCCGCAAACGCGCGTCTCGAAATGCGCTGAAAGTAAAATCCGTGGGAAGAGTTTCTCGCGAGCGCGCGCGCACGCGCGCGCGCGCGCACGTCGCTCGTAACTTTCTCTGCGTTACTTTCCCAGCTCCGCGCCGGGCGCTCGAGCAGTCAAGCAGAACGGTATAAAAGTCACCTCCGCGCACCTTCGATCATTCGACCAGCGAACAGACTGCGAACAGATAGACACTTGTGTGTGGCACTTTTGACGGCTTTTACGCAACAACGCAGAGTGTATGCGAGAAAAGTGTGTTTCCGAACAAGCGCGTCGCATTATGCAAGCGAGAAATCAGTCGTCTCGCCCGTCAATCAGTAATCGCGGCCCGATCGTCGAGCCGAATGACCTCCCTCGGACGATCGCCCTCGGAGTCCCGGCCGAGCCAGGTCCAGGTCGCTCGCGCACGCGTGGACCGCATTAAACGATGAGTCTGAAAAAATCCACAGGTTTTTTGGCAGTCTCCGCCGGGGAGGAGACCGTCGTCGCCAGCGTCGCCGGGAAGACGAAATCGTCCGACGACATCGTCCTGCTGGAGATCGATGTCAAAGATCCTGTCAAGAGGTCACCAGTGTCAGCCAGCGCCGTTTACGGAGCCTCGCCCAGCCAGTTCGTCGTTCGACACGGTGATGACTCGCAACAGGTAACGCCGCGTCCGATGTTTGCTGTCTTTCTGAATCATCAGAACGGATGATCGGTATCGTATCCTCTCGGCTGCGTCCTTGTTGAGATTGAACAAAAGTATAGACAGACTCTGCAGAATTATACGATCAAAGTGAGGTTATAATTCAGTCTACATCAATGCGGCAAATGCGGTAAAACGACGCGAGATGTAAATATCGAGACATGGCATTGAGAGACTGGAGAGATGGATTTCGCCCAAGCCGCTCCTTCCGGAGGTGGAGGCGGAGGCGGAGGCGGAGGCGGAGGAGGAAGAGAAGGAACGTCCAGGATCGAGCGCGTTTTATCGAGCATTTAGCGTCATTGTCGGCGGTCAAGCGTGACTATTGACCGCCTATCACCCAGCAAGCTGCTGACTAACTAGCCATGAACAAGAGCTTTTTTCTTTCTTTCGGCTTCACTGTCCCGCTCGCGAAACGAGCAGTACACGCTGCGACGGACTCCTTCAACATCCACGTTGCGTTCTGTCTGCGGTCGTGCCTCGACTCAATTACTTTCATTACTCTCGCGCTCGAGGATTTCCATTTCACCGGCGCACTTTGAAGATACGACGAGAGATTGTACATTCCACGCGCCGTGCGCGAGAGAGAGAAAGAATGCCTGCCTTTCTCTCTCTCTCTCTCTCTCTCTCTCTCTGCCACGGCCCTTTGATCTCTTCTCACAATCGGAACAAGTCGGGCTCGTTCGGATTTCAAGTAGCGTAACAATCATTACGTTTGAGCCCTCTCTCTCTCTCTCTCTCTCTCTCCCTCTCTCTCTCTGCGAATCTTTGAGTTTTCTTTCAGTCCAGTTCACGAATAATGCATACAAATAGCCGCGTACAAATGAACGTATTCGCGCGAGTCTCTCGGAGAGAGAATTATCGCCGCTCCGTCAGGCGCTACACGATCTCAGGTATACCTGAGGCCGAATGCCACCTACGCGCTCGCTCGCTTGCATAACTCGCCGCGGGAGTCTTGCACGCCTTCTAATCGCCCCGACCTGACAGAACCGGTACAACCGCACCCACCAACGAGCGCGCGCGTAAGCGGCCAGCTTTGTAAAATCTCGTCGGCGCGATTTTATTTCTACCCCGCGGCCTTGCCGCCGCCGCTGGTTACCGTTACGACGGCGGGGCGATGAATCACCGATGTCGCGGGCGGCTGGGAAACGACACCGTCGCTCCTTTATCGGTCAGCGCTGCTCATCCAGCGCGCGATCCAGCGCCGCGAATGCGATCCACGCAGCGTGCAATGCCGTGCATTCATTCATGGAGCAGTAACCTTGGGCGTCCGCTCAACGTAAGATCAAGTTCAGCGCGAAGGTCCGAGGAAATGGAAAAACGACGAAAGGCGTCATCTTTAAAGACTCTGCTCTTTATCGGCTCGCTTTATCGGCCACCAACCGATTGATTGAAATTTCAGTCAGTCGGCGGTCAGTAACCCTCGTAGTAGTAGCATCAAGATCGCGATGAGAGATCACACACCGGAATCGTAGTCATGTCACGCGAACGTCCGCTTTTTCACGTCACAAATGTCGTGTCACACATGTCGCGTCGTAAGAACATCAACGTCAGAGAGGGGAAATTAGGCCCGAATCGGCGACAAGCTCGTTTCGCTGAAATTCTTCTCTCCGAAATGAAGAAGACAATGCAACCGCTTGGTTTCCTCCGGCTTGCTCAGTCAATGGATTTGTGTTTCCGATGTTTTGTGCGAACAATCCAGCTCACTTCCTCCTACGGGAGAGAGCAACAACCTGAGACTAGAGTTCAGAATCTGGAGGTTCCCCTTCTGACCGGAAGAGAACCGGAATGCGCACAAAACAACGGAAACACAAATAGCCAGTATATGGACGCGAGTATATGGAGTATATATACCGAGCCGAGAGGAGCAAATCGAGCGTTTTTCTACACCGCGAATACAACTGGCGTTTGTAGATGCATATCATTCGCTCTTCCGCTCTACCGCGGCGGCAGAGCGCAGTAAGATATCTTATCTTTGATCTTATCTTCGGCCTTTGATGAATCGGGGGGCCGTAATGTTTCGCCAGCCCGCTCTCGGAGCCTCGGAGCCTGACCGGCTCTAACTCAGAGTCGACCTCACCTCGACTGATGCGAACGAATGCGAGTTTCAGTTGTCACCCGAGTACTTGGCCGTGCTGCAGCAGTTCACCGGGACCGAGCCGCAGGCGTACGCAACAAACGCAGCGAACAATGCAGCGCAGCGCAGGCCGTTGCCGGCTTACGCGAAGCAGCAGCAGGCGTTGCAGCAGGCGTATTACAATTACCGCAAGCCGGCCGTGGTGCCTGCGGCACCGCGACCTCAGCCTCATCCTCAGCCGCAAGCTCAGTCGCACGTAGGCGCGTCCACCTATCAGCTGGAGTCCTACACGCAACCGAAGCTGGGCACCTTCGAGCAGGAGCTGCTGCAGCTGGTGTCCGCGAATCAGGCCCAGGAATTCAACCTGATCCCGACGCAGGCGAAGGACGATTACACGCAGCCGCGGTACGTGAAGCCAACGGCGGCACCGCTGCCGGCGGGTCATCCCGAGCAGTATCACATCGAGACCAGCCCGCCACCTCGTTATCAGCCGCAGCAACGAGTACAAGCGGCCTATCAGCAACCAGCGGTCCAGTACCAGTACCAGCAGCAGCATGTACAAGCGGCGGATTACTCGGGTGCGAAGGGTGCTCGACCCTTCAGGCCGTCGCCGCAGTACGACTACAACGCCGAAGCCGAGGCGAATGCCAGAGCACAGGCGCAGGCTGAGGCGCAGGCCTTGGCCTTCCAAAAGGTCGCTCAGGACTCTTACCAGAAGCATCGCGAAGCCGCTATCGAGCAGATCAGGATCGATCAGGAGAGGTACAGGCAGCAGAGCGCCCTGGAGCAGATCCAGCAAGGGTCTCAGGTGAGCGACGCCGGACGAGCCCATCTGGACGGTCACCTGGAGCCGAGTGACCCCGAGGCCGCTTACAGAGCCAAGCTGAAGGCCCAAGAGGCTGCCGAAGTCGCCGAAGCGAGGAGGCTGCAGACAGCCGCCGAGTACAAGGCCCACCAAGACGCCGTTCGCCAAGTCGAGGCTCAGCAGCACGCCCATGTGAGGGCCCAGGAGAAGGCCCACGTCGACGCCTTGAACTTCGAGAGGAACCAGCTGCGCGCTCAGGCCCAGGCCCAGGCTCTGGCGCAGGCCCAGGCTGAGGCGCTGTACAAGGCCTACCAGCAGTCGCGCGCCAAGGCCAACAGCGAGATCTTGGCGGCCGCGAGGGCTCAGGAAACGGCGAAGAAGTTGAATCCCGAGGGCACGCCGGTCATTCAGTACCTTCTGCCCAGCAGCCCCAAGCTGCCGTCGCCCAATAGTTACTTCACCAACGACGACAGCAAGTATCAGACCTCTGGCTCCACCTATGTGGCTAGGTCGCTGCCGAAGCCGGACTCCAGCGAGTCCGCGAGCCGGGACGACTCAGCTCAGCCGCCGAGTCAGCCGGCCCCGATCAATCAGCCCCGCCAGCTGCACAAGCTGAAGGTCCCGCCGACCCAGTCGTCACCCGTCTACATCTCTCAGTCGGGCCTCGTGAAGAAGGCTCCCTCCGTCAAGTCCCTCGCTGTCGAGGAGACAATCGACTCGCTCCACGGGCCCCAGGTCGTACGTATCCCCTCGTCCAAGGGACCTCAGCAGCCGCTGAGCCAGGAGGAGCTGTCCGTTTTGATCAACGCCGGTTACAGCGTCACCCCGATTCCTCAGACGGTCAAGCCGACCCAGCGCAACTACCTACCGGAGAGCAACACCTCCGCGGCCTACTACCTGAAGAAGCAGCGGCCAGTCAGCCCAGTCAGGCCCGTCGAGTACGTCGCTTACGAGGAGGTCGTGCAGCACTCGCCGAGACCCGTCAGGAAGAACACGCCGTCCATCCTCAAGCACGACGACGACACGTCCGAGAAGGTCACCTACTTGGTGCCCTTGGAGCCCAGCTTCGGCACGAGACAACCGCCATTCAGGCAGCACGAGTAGTCGCGCAGACTTTCTCTGTCGTTGTCAGCAGGTGATGGCAAAGTTGAAAACTCGAACTCCGGCTCGATCTTCTTCTTCTTCTTCGAAATTCTCCTTCCCTTTCGTCACATCGCGCGCTGCCTCCTCTTTTCGTCTCGTTTCGTCTTGTGTGTCTTGTGTGTGACACCCGTCACACTCTCTCTTGCCCCCGGTAGACTTCCCCGCTTCTGCCGCTTAACATTACACACACACACCACACACCACGTCTCGAGCCTTTTCCTTGTCTCGTGTGAAATTTCAGTTTCGGTATCCGGTCACCTCCCCCCGACCCCGTTGGCCGTACTCTTTCCCCGCTACGGTTGCGTCAGTCCGACGCGACGAGGAACGCGTTCGAGTTACTCCCTATGCCCCGAATTCAACCCCGCCCGTTGACGACGTCCTAGACGACCAGACGATACCACGTAGTTTCATAGATCATATCGCGTGTCTCGCGAAAAAAAATGACAAATTGACGACTATTGCGTTATAATTATGCACGATTCGCATTCACGAGCTATATAAGAGGTCCGGACGAAAGGTCGTTGCGTCAAGAGGTCTCGCGGAAGCGTAGCTCGTAATCTCTCGTAAAAAACGTAAACGCTGAGACGCACGGCCTCGCGCGCGCGCGCGCTATTATCCGGTAAGATGGTAAGTGCTGGACGGTGCTGAGTCGAACGATTATTAATTTATATTTCTTTGTAAATATTAGAATTTAACTAATAAACAGGTTGACAAATTTTACTTCGCGCTGCGTCCACTCGTCCATTCGCTCCCCCCCACCCTCCCCCTGTCCTCGCTCTCTCTCTCTCTCTCGCGCGCGCGCATCTCCCGGCGAGAGTTTTGTGTGACGCTTTGCGAGCGCGATGGAGAGCAAACTGGCCGCGCCGCGCCAGTTGTGGAAAGTAACGCCCTTCACCTTATTACGTATAATGATTGCGTGTGATGACTATGATTGCGATACACGATAAACGCTCCGCAAATGGGAGCAGTCGATTACATGATTACGGAGCGCGAAAGGTGCTTTTCAATAAACGCTCAATTTATCTTCGGACATTGCGCGCGCTGCAGTGTATCATTAAGAGAACCTGCGAGACATGCGCGCTTCCCCAAACAATCGGGGAATCGTTTCTTTTCTTTTCTTTCTTTTTTTCTTTTTCTCTTTCACGCGCGGATTTTTATCTTTCTCGCGTAAAGTCGCCCTCGTCGCTCGAGTGATTCACTGACGGTGCTGCTGCTTTTACTCGCTAGGCTTCTTCTAGCAAGTTTCTTATAATTCGTTGGCAAAAGATTTCCTCCAGACGCTCGATTTTTACTCGCTCGCTAGTCAAAATTTCGAACTGGTCGAAATTCGAGCAGCGAACTCGCCGCGGCGAATTCTTAGAAGCTTGCTCAAAGCGAAGAAAAGCGGCGCCGTGTGTCAATCACCTCTTGTATAGACTTTAGAGGAGAGCGTGAAAGTCGATCCCTCTTCGCGCAACGGCGGATTGCGGAAATTATATCCATTGCTTGTTGCACAACCGGCTTTATATCGGTCGAGGAATTTATAGATTTCGAAGCACGCTGAGTTTATGCGTCGAGAGTATCGCTTCGCACACGCGCCGAGAATACACTGGTGTCGCCCGAAGTAAAATGGTGTAAACGCGCGATATCTCTCCTTGAATCGGTGCAATCGCTGTCGCGGGCGAATATTTATAAGGTTAAAGCGACATTACGTTACGTTACGTCACGAAGGACGACGGGTTGTTCCTGGGCGCCGCGATCCTCGAGTACGCTGAAAGAGCATACTTCTTTTATCTGCTTTCGAAATTCGCTGATAAAACGCGTGAAATTCGGCAAGTAGGCCAGAAGGAGAGGCCGAGGAAGGATCGCGATCCTTTTTATCTGCGGCGTTCAAATTAATCGCGCGACCGCGCAGTCACGCCTTCGCGCTATCGCGCGATTTCAATCTCCTTTGGAATCCTCCGGAATCTTCGTTCGAATCGATCAAGGCGCCATTCTCTCGATGCTGATTGCAAAGAAAAAAAAAAGAAAAAAAACCACTCATGTCTAATCACAATCCCTCTACTTGGATTTAAGCGGCTTGATTTCGTGACTGTCTCTTCGCTGTCTGCTTTGAATACGCCATCCATTTCCACCGATCCACTTTCACCGATCGAAAGAGGCGAGACAGCGAGACATTCGTTGTGTCAATCGGCCCCCATCGAAAACGGAAGGTCAAGGACGCAGGGTATGCTATTTATTAAACATGAATCGCTTCACGCTTGCCCCAACATCGAATCTCTCTGTTCTTTCTTTCTTTCTTTCTCTTTTTTTTTTTTTTGTTTGCGCTCCCATCGATCGATATCCCGAGGTTTTTTACGATACTCGTCGGACCGGTTTTGCGCCAAAACTGCTACACTTACTTGTGCAATACGCAAGAAGAATGAGAACGTGAGGAGAAGGGGAGAACATGACGACGACGACGGGTCGATCCTTGGAGCCTTGGATTACGTCTTGAAGACTCCGACGAGTGTTTCCCGACGTGCGAATTTGCATTTACCGGCGATATCGGAAGCGCTGAATTTTAAGCAGACCCACGTCGAGTACGCGACACGAATAGCAACTCGAACGCACTCGAGAAATTATCGATCGAACTAAATTCGACGTTTTCACTTTCGAATTTACCGCTTGAATCCGCGCACACACCCGCGCGTGCGGGTGTCCTTGCCGGTCGCAAGGCCGATTTTCTCCCGCTCGCCGTTCTTATTCCAGCTCTTCCAGTTCTTTGTGTTAATCATCGGTTATTCAGGCAAACAACGAAGAACGAAGAAGCTGCTAGCACGAGGTCGTGCATCAATCTATTGGTTTCACTGTGAACAGAGCTCTTACATCCCGATACAAAATATCGTCCCACAGTCGTATTAAAACCCAGTCCGGTTTCCGGTGATTTCAAACAAGGCCCGGTGATGATAACTTTATCGGATCCGGCACGTAACAAGGAGCGAAGCGCGCTGCTGCACAATGCCCTGATAAAAATGCCCTGATGAAATCATCCATCATCAGCATCCAAATCAGGCATCCAAATAACTGACCGGTCATCGGGGTATAAATCGAAAAATATCGAAATGCCTTCTTACGGCTCGCCTGGTCCATTCTCCCTTATCATCGGGCATAAAAAATTGCCGTATTTGATTTCCCCGCTCGGAATGTTGCAATTTGAAGAGAAGAGAAACGAAGGCTCCCAAGAGCCCCAAGACCGCAGGAAGTTTCTCGCAACTTAACAGACACGATTGATTGGAGCATAAATTTGCTAATTGGCAGCGGCTAATGGGTGTTTTCATTAATATTCATTAATATAACAAAGCGAAATGTGACGCAGCCTGACGTGAAAGGCTGCTTCTCGACGCGTACGTACGCGAATCCGGAAAAAAAACGAATTCGACTGTATTTCACGCGACGATTATTCGCGCGACTCGCGCGATCGGCGGAGGGGGGGGGTCTTTATTATCTAATTGAATCTTTTAAGATTGAAGAACGATCATCGACGACGCACATGAATACGTTCGAGCGACATTGGATCACGGAACTCGCGCGACAACATTCGAAACGATCGACATGTGCGACGTGACACGTCGTCGCGATCACTAATAGCCAAGTGCGAGTCATCGCCTCGGACGCACGGCCGAAGTTACGAATATTCATCAGCCACTTATTGCAAAGAGTCGAAATTGCGAAAGAGTCGGCCGCCCGAGCTGCGCCGCCCTGCCTGTCCAGCACGGGTTCGATGAACATCGGCCGCGCGAAATCGCGCGGGCGCCTCGCGAGACATCGCGCGCAAACAGGAGCGGACCGACCCAATTCTGACCGGACCTGACAGACCCGAGCGGACCCCCTTGCTTCTTTGGGAGGGGCACCGACTTGGTTGGAAGAGGCGGTTCCGTGCCCCCCGTGTGTCCATATAAGCAAGTCCGACCGGCACGACTAGGACACAGTCCGGACACAACCACCCTTCGTTGCATCGTTGCTACTATTCGCGCCTCGTACTCTCTGCAAGGTGAGATGATTCTCCCCCCCCCCCCCCCACCACAGAAGCTACCTTTGCACCGTCGAAACAGGTAGTCTTTAACAAGGCAAGGTCTTGTTAAAGAAACGGCAGACTTCCTCCGAAGTGCTCCGAAGTGACGGGAGCTCGACGATTGAGATAGTTGACGATTGAGATATCAGGAGAGGCGCGAGAGATCGTATCGCAACATAATTTTATTCGCAGGATGCGCTTGTTGGTCACGGTGATGGTAGCGCTGCTTCAGGTCGGCCTGGGCAGCCACGTGGCTGTCAGGATGCCGTACTTGAACCCGGCCGGTGTGACCTACGTGAATGACTTCCATACGCAGGACACGGCCCTCGCGTACGCCTCGGACACGCCGTTGCACACGGTCGTCGAGCAGCCTCTTCAGTACGCAGCGCCGCTGATACCAGCTAAGGTCGAGACGCACCACGTCGGCTACGCGGCCGCTCAGGTGCCCGCGGTGGCCGCTGTGCCATTCGTCAAGCATGTGCCGACGGTGTCCCAGGTGCCGGTCACCACGCTGCAAGCCCATCCCGCTGTGCTGCACAAGCAGCTCGACGTGGTGAAGCCTGCGGTCACCAGCCGCAAGATTGAGGTGAGTGGAGACGAGACGAGACTCGAAAGTGCCGGTCGCTTGAAAAACTGTCGCATCGCGTGCTGGGGGGGGGAGGCGTCTCTCAACAACGCGGTAATCACTCGCGGTGATGCAACTCGCATTCATTGTGCGCAGTGCGTGTGCTAATTCATTTTAAATCCACCTCGCAAAGCGGACGGCACGTGTGTGTGTGTGTGTGTGTGTGTGTGTGTGTGTGTGTGTGTGAAAGGAAAGAAAAATGCAAAAAGAGAAAATCCGAAAGTAAAGTTGAGCTTTGAGTGCTATTTCGCTGGGATTTGTTCAATTTGAATTTCAGTCAAATTTCGATCGATAGAGTTTACAACTAAAGTAAATGTCGTGCACGACTTTTGCCAAAATTTTGCGTGATTTTTAACTAATCGCGTTTGCACAATAATCACTTTAAATTGACGTTAACGGCTCGCGAGTAGCACTATGAATGAACGAATGAACGAAAGGATGAAATTTATTGACCAGTTAACCGGTTAAAATGCTGTTAGGTGCGTCGGCCAGCGATCCAGAAACAATTTTACGACATCGAAGAGCGGGTGATTGTTCGCCCGGCCGGATCAGCCGTAGTCGAGCTGGACGAGCCGACATCCAAGGTGCAGAAAGGATCAGCCGTGCTCCAATCTGTGGATTATCCTCAAACTCACGGCGTTTACCCTCACGCCGACGTTATCGCTGATAACGCACCTGCTCATATTCCGTTCGCTCCTGTCTTCTCTCACGTGTCGCCGGTGTCCGCGCTTCCCTCCCCAGTGATAGCACCGAGCGACTCCGGTGCCAACAACCTGCAGGAGAACGAGTCCGTCGTGATTGACAATCCAGACTTTCGTAACGCCATTAATCGAGCGCGTCTTTCTCAGGTACTTGACCTTCGGCAGCTTCGGTTTACCGTTGTGTGCTTTTCCATTTCTGTATCTTCATTTATAGGATTACAAGTATCCCTCGTCATATACTTCATGAAAGCACGGTGAAATAAAGTAAATATAATTATATATATATATATATATATATATATAGCGCGTATACAGTTAATAAAATATCATCTCGTCGTTTCTCATCGAGAAGAAAGGAGAAAGAGGTGAAGGAGATAAGTCATCTTGATCTCTTTTCAACTTTTCCAAAATTTATTCGCGATAACTCGAACGTGATCAGGAAACGAATTTCAGATCCGCCACTTGAAATTCGATATTGCGAGAACTCGATACGACTTGTAGAAAAAATTGAGGGCACGCTCCGAGAGAACGGAGATAAAGTTTCGTACATGTCATGTTGCAGTTCCGAACTTCCGAGCCGCGTGCAGCCGCCGAATCGAATGGCACGCCCTTGGACAGGTCTGCTCCACGTTTTATCGCTCACGACCCTTCACCGTCTGTGGTACCCAGCCAGAGGCAGAGGATCAGTGCCGAGGACAGTAAAATTAACCAGGACAGACTCATCGATCTCTTAACTGCCCGTGGCGGCATCACGGAGGTACTGCGAAAGGAAATTCTCGTTATTGAATGGAAATCATCGTACGAAATCAAAACCCCGCTTTATGAGAGGCAATTTGCTCTCCGACAATATCAAATTCACGATCTGGACCTTATCAGGACTTTTCTCCTCCATTTTGTCAATACTTTGCCCTTTTCCGTTCTGAATCCTCTGATTTCTTTAAATATCCCGTACATGTGCAAGCCATTTCGCACGGTACGATCGATCGACGATCGCTCTCTTTCGACTTTCTTCTCCACTTTTCGTGGAGTTGAAATAGCTGACGCTTGTTCCAGTCAAAAGAGAAAATATAACTTTTCAGGTGGGTCTCGGTCGCGACGGGGCAGCCGCGCGGGCGATCGGAGACGCCGGATACGTGCGAGCGCGCGTCCTATCCGCGACACCGGCTCCGGACTACGCGGAACCGTCCGGAGAACGCGTCTCCACCCGTCGCGTAGTCGTCAGCAGGCCGATCGAGACTTACCAAGAATACGACATCGTGGAGCCCGCCACAAAAATCGAGAGGGTCTCCGTGCAGCAACCTGCATTCATCAAGACGGCTCGCGTAGATCACGTGCAAGTGCACGGCTCCGTACCGGTCGTCGGCAAGGCCCTCGCTCCCGCAGTAGCGCACGCTGCGGTCCCGATTTATCAGAAAACAATATCCCCGACGTACTAACGCGAGGGCTGGCATGTTGCAAACTTTTTGTCCAAAACTTCTCAAAACATGTCTCTTTTCGGATGTTTAATACGCAAATTTTGGGCGCAAAATTATTAATGATGCAAATTTTGGATCCTCTTACATCTTTAAATAGATTTTTTTAAAAGATAAATTCTTTCACGAAATTTTTCCTTTCACATTCTCGCGCGCTGCAATATTACACACAAATATACACATTTTTGTACATTTATTAAAAAAATGATCATTACATGTACATATACATGTATATGTATATATATATATATATATATATGTGTGTGTGTGTGTCATATATATTTACTTCATAACAATTCACATTTTGTTTATGTATTATATATTTCATAGAGTTTATTTAAATGAAATAACTTGAAAATATTTTTTCAACGCTGTTCGGAACGTATAGTCGCTGCTCCAATAAAATAAAATGTTAAGTCGTTTTTTATGAATTCCCAGAAATAAGTTTTTCTTATTGAACCATTGACCAACCTACACACATTCTAAAGTATATCAAAAATCAAATGTTCAAAATATATATACTATACTAAAAATCAAATGCATATATGTTTAAAACATATTTAGAACATGTTCTTTTTCACGCTCGTTTTAAATATGTTCAAAACATCACAAAATAATTTTAAACAAAAAAAGAAAGATATGGTGGTTCGTTTCCTTATTTTAAACATATTTTTTATCAACCTTGACTCTTGGTCGAGAACGTCGGCTGGCCGTAGTTTGCGTATTCCCTTTCAAGATATAATCTTTGTGACAAACACTTTCTTGAAGCGTCCAGACGATATTTGCAGCTTTGGAGATACTGATTTTTTTCAACATACGATAAAAATCGCGTCTTAAGTATCTAGCAAGTTTTTCTCTTATTCCCGTGTTTTCAAATGCATCTCGGGTAAATTGAAAAGTAGCAGTAACTAATAAACAGGCCAAGTGAATATTTTTGTTGCGACTGTAATAAAAACAATACGATGCGATATATATAATTAAGCAATATGTATATCTTTTTCTTTTTATCGCGAACGATATATTATACATATATATATAATAGTATAACGATAAGTCGTGATATTTTGTTTGTTGTTGAGTAGAACTCAGGGTTGCTAATAATTTGAACGCAAAACTGCAATAACTCTAACTATTTACAACTTTATCCCTTCATGTCGGAACTGCGATGCCATGCCATGCCATGCCATGCCATGCCATGCCATGCGATGCGATACGATACGATACAATAGCAACCAACTCGCTCGGCGGGCTGCGCTCCCATTACCAATTATCGTGAAATAAATTTTACTATACTACTTAAGGAATAATTTCTAACATTCTGCCCTCCTTGAAAGACCTTTTTTCAACATAAAGAAGAAAAGAAATAAAAATAGCGAACAAACTTATATAACCGATTAAATTTCAAACAAAAGAAGCAAATGTTAACAAATAATATGACGAAATGTTAATACTAATATACTTCAATAATTCAGTAGGTTTTTGATATGATAAAGTTATCATCTATAAATAGAGGACATACTATCCGAGCAGATCTTTTAAATAGTCCTTGAGTGGTTTTAATTTAATTGTCACTACGAGAGTTATGCTGTCCTGGATTCATTTTCACTATTCGTCCCAACGCCCACTGGAAAATGGTGATAAGTGGTTTTTCCTTAGCAGCACCAAAACTCCTTGCAGATTTGCCTTTCCAATTGTCCGCTCGGTACGCCTGAAGCTGAAGCTTGAGCAAATATTCTTGATGTCAACGATGCCAGAAGTCCTGTTTACTCCTCTGAATATGCTGCCAGTGATTCAAGCAATTGTCTGGAGTTTCAAGATAATATCTTTCAGCGAGTTGTAAAAGTTATCTCTTACCAGGAAATGCGCAGGTGTCAATACTGCTAAATCCTGTCGCTTGAGTTAGGTGTTTGAGGCCTGGAGTTCGATATGGCTTCAATTTCAACCAACATATAACAATTTTCAAAGAGTAAGCCCATTGGTTACTGCATAAAAGCACCGCTTTACACATTTTATGGCCACCTCCCAAATTCCACCAAAGATAAGAGTAACAGTAGTAATTTAAGCAGTCTTGATTATGCATATATGTAGTACAACCCTATCCTACAATCCTGTCCCCTGTTCATGAGATTTCCCCAGAGGTTAGGGCCATTTACTGTCAAAACCACTGGTTACCACAGATGCCTTATGCGATGGAAAGGTACTTCCTACGGATGATGACATGGTGCTTATTGAAGAAACCCCGAATAATGAAGGAGACGCCTTTATAGATTGTGTCTCCTGGTTTGTTTTTATTTCCTGCAGCGCAGCAACGTTCGACTCCGCTACGCTTTGTTTTGTGCTCTGCTCCTGAACCATTTGGATTATTGTGTCCAACTTAATGTTGATATCCTTACGCATCTCCTCCATAGAGATTGTAATTGTATCCAATGCCTGTATTGTTTGATCATATTTATCCTGATTCCTCTCCAGCACTTCCAACATACGATACCTTTCATTAAGAAAATTTAAAAATTCTTCTGTAGTAGACATATCGAGTGCCCGTTGATTTACTTCCTCTTCCCATTCATGCTGCAAATGACAGTCCAATTTACTCTTAGCCAGAGAAATTATAATAGCATTCCATTGATTCACGGGTAATCCTAAATCTTCCAATGCTTTAAGATGAGTGCGAATATGTATTATAAACTGTTTTAATGAAACTGGCTTCTCTTTAACAATCTGCGGAAAATTCAAAAGTTGTGCCAGATGACTATTTATGATAAGCCTTTCGTTATCATAATGATTCGCGAGTAAATCCCATGCTACTGTATAATTCTCCACAGATGTAGTCGAGCTATTTATCACCTGTAAGGCTTCATCCTTTAATACATCCCGCAAATATTGAAGTTTTTGTATTTCAGTTAACTTAGGATTCTTGTGTATAATGGATGTGAATGAATCTTTGAATGGCATCCACTGTTCACGCGTACCATTAAATGTTGGTAATGTTAACGTCGGCAATTTAATATCAAGCATACCTGGGACTTGATTTGTTCTAGCGTCCACGTGTTTATTTTGTAAGTGCGGTACACTCACTGCCACTCGCGCAAAGTTTGGGGTCAAAATTGCTCGTACCTTATCCAATGCCTCATAATATGATTTCTCAAAAGTTATCCTTTCACTTTCTTCAGCCTTTATCACTTCCTCTAACTGCGACTCGTCCGCCGCCTTTAGCATTTCTATCTGCGTCTGATTATTGTTAAATGCTGTCCATATTTCATCTATCTTTTCAGCACGCGTTTTTGCTTGTGCCTGCGTAATATTCTGTTCTGTTGATAGAAAGTTATTAATCCTTCTCAACTGACCTTTTAATTTTGCACGGGTTACCAATAGGTTTCGAAGAGTCGACATATTGAGGTTATGTTGTCTCAGCATGCTTTCAAGCGTTTAAGCAAGTCGATTCTTTTGTACACTTCTCGAGCTCCACGTTTGAGCGCCAATGTTTTAAGTAGAATTCAGGATTACTAATAATTTGAACACAAAACTGCGATAACTGTAACTGCGTACAACGTTTACTCCTTTATGTCGGAACTGTGAACGACGTGTCATGCAATGCGATACGATACGATAATTACGTTCAAAAAACAAAGCGCTCACTGAGCGCTTAGTAACTATTGGTCCTTACTGTTGGATCCTTACATTCATACCAATAACGTTGACGAATTACTCAACCGTTGTGTTTTCTGAACGCAGCCAATACCAACCAACTCGCGAGATAAATTTTACTATACTACTCAAGGAATAATCCCTAACGCGTGAGATGGACGATTTAACATTTTTCATTGTATCATTTGAGAAATGATACAAGAGTCTTGTGTGATAGACAATAAATGGTTTTAAGTGCGAGCATCAAAATGCCGAGGAAAACTCATTTTTCTATCATGATCCGATCGTTTTCTCGTAGCACACGTTAGGGGGGGGGGGCATCGTCAAGAGGATCGATGAACATGAAACGCAGATTTGACAAATCGTCCGAGAAAGCGCGAAGATGTGAAACCACGGCAATCTGTGGTTTCAAGCGATTTGAATATTTATTAAGATTTTATCGGGCTCCATAGTTTATAATTACAGCCCCGTATAGCGAGCATTAACAACTTCCTGAAACCTTTCTACGCTACAAGGCCTACAAGGGTAACCGCTCAGCTGCTCGTTTCTTATAAGGTCGTAACATTGACCCGAATATAACACGAATGGCTCCGTTCTCTCACTCGTTTCGCGGACAAGGATACATGAAGGGTTCATTCGTCCAGACGAAAAAAGCAATCTTTTACACGTGATGCGTGTCGTCGAACGCCATAAACGTGTAAAATTTGACGTTGCAATGTGCAAAAGTGACGTCATTGCCGTCACCGCCGCGCGCGCACCGTCAACGTTGCGCATTCTTTCAGCGGCGTGCAGTCATTTACAAACAAACACACACACACACACACACGGACTGTACGCTTTGTCTCCTGCACACGCACGCTAAATATATATAGCTGCTCGATCGGAGATTCACATTATTTAAAAAGTCAACTGAAAGTACACGCGCGTGAATGCTGCTTCATGCGCATTCATGTGCTTCGCTCGACTTTGTCGTTGTTTTCACATTTTCTCAGCAAAATGGACTCGTTTACGCGCCACGTTGACCCAATAACGGTAATAAGTGACAATTTGATCTAATGCTGAAAACCGCCACCTCTTGGTCACATCAACGAAATCCGGTTCTGACTGCATTACGTCGAAACGCTATACGCATAATGCACAAGTCGCAAAGCAATGCTTCGTGCTGAAAGTGCCATTTGCGTAGGTGCTTGAACTCGCTTGCCAGAGAGAGAGAGAGAGAGAGAGAGAGAGAGAGAGAGAGAGAGAGAAAAGGAGAAAGAGAGAAGCATATATCGGCCGAACACGATTCGATTCCGATCACAATTTGAAAACTCTCTCCCGATTACGCGCGTAGCTCGACGATGTTCGACATTCACATTCCGTGTGCCTTTGTAGGACGCTTTCAGCATTCAGCGGTGCAACGCTAATGACGCTCGCGGCGTGGCCGTAAGATGGACGAAATTCGAGAGCAGCCGAGAGCAGAGTGTTGCATTTCGCGATATTCAGCGGCGCCGAGAGCCGACAGAGGATCGTCACCCTTGACTCAGTTGAACGGGAGATTAGCGGCCTCGTCGGAAGGTAAGGACAAGGGAAAGAGAGACCGAGCGAGCGAGCGAGCGAGCGAGCGAGCGAGCCTCCGGCTTAGCGAATGGAGGATAAGAGGCGTCGGATATAATTTTAGCATGCGTCCCGGTGAGAATACCGGTCGGACGACGCGTATATATACAAGTACCAGCCGTCACGGCTCTTGCACTCGGTTAGACGGGCAGGAGGTAAACGCGTCGTCGCCGTCGAAATAGCGCAAATCTCCGCACAGCTCCGAGAGAGGTGAGTCTGTGAGAATTAGGTGAGAATTAGTCGCGAGAGACTATCCAGCGCGGGCGACTTTCGCGCGTTATTCGAGTCCGCGAGTTCGAGTTTCGGTCGCTAGCTAGAGAATCGCGCAGCGAGGACCTGTATTGTTCGCGCTTGTATCGTTCGTGAGTTCACGAGAATCAAACAGCCACACACGATTCGCATTTGACGCAAGGTCGATTAATCGGAAGAAATGTCGTTTTTCCGGCCCCGGCCAAGGATTCGTCGCGGCGATTTTGCAGAGAGGTCACAACTGGGTCACATCAAAATGTCGGCTATCCGCGTGAGCGTTGTCGTGCTGTTCACTTCGATGGCGACTTGCGCGGCTACGCCGATTTTCTTCGCTCATCCTGGAACAGTGCTCGCCCATCCAGCTGTCGTAATTAATTCCGCACTGGAAGATAGCTTGCCTAACGCACTGCGAAATGACTTTTACAAAGATCCGTACATTGCAGCTGGTCTCGCTAAAGAGTCCTGGTTTATCGATAAAGAGACGCAGGTACAGGCACTTTGTGCGATCATCAACTGAAAGCCGACTGAAAGCCCGCCCCCGCGCCCGGTTCTCTTGTCCGTCGTTGACTTTATACTTTTAACCCTTGTTTTTTTGGTCAACCGTCCTGTGGTGTCGTTGATTAATTTCTTCTTCAACATGCGCGATGATCCTTCGCGTTATCCTTGCGTTCGCTAAACTGACATTGCCGGATTTTCCACAATTTCTGCGATAATAATAATAATAATGTTGCAGGTACTCGACAGGGAATCGGACAAAATACCCAGGGAGAAGATTTACAGCGTGCTGCATAACGCGGGATTAGCTCGTAGATAACAGAAAAAGCTACATTATAAATAGCTACATCAGCAGTATCCAACGAACGTATTTTCAGCCGGAAATTAGAACAGCGATCCACATCTTCGCAATTCGCGTAATACCATTCCGTAATAACGCGGTACTGTCCGCACTCTGTTAAATAAGTTGAGAGAATCATATGTGCTGGCTATAATAAAAGGAGACGTGAGAAATTATGGGGCGAGTTTGTTTTTCCGATTCCCTCAAATATCGCAGTGTGTCGAGGTCCGTCGAAGCAGCAAAATGGGAATTACGCGCTAATTCCATCAGAGCGTTGGATTTTGCGTGCGTCTACCGACTTCTCATACTACTACTTTTGACTGATTAGTAACTACTTTTACGTACCAATGCGGTAATAATGGCAGTAGCGTGAACCATCTAGATTGCGCCCTTTGCTTTACTCATGTATACTCACGGCCGAAGGTCGTGCATGGAAGAAGTGTCCACTCTCTGGTAACGAGTAACCGACAGCGAATATATGAACGTGACTTCTTCAACTTGTGCTTTAAGCGAGACTTTCCGAGACTTTGTTCAGGTGCTTGCAAGACACGAAATCTCTTTTACTTTTAGCCGCTTCAACATATCGCGAGCGACCGAAGGGTGCGAAGGTTGTTTTCGCCGCAAAATGCCGGCGATAGATTGCCGGCGGAGATTGCCACGAAAACGGTAGGAGCCATCGAATCGACGTTTCTTCGGCGATCTTGTAGATATCGATGAGATCTGCAAGGTGAAACGACGATTAGGCAAATATTTGTTGACAATTGTTATCACATATGCCGTCTGATCACCTCGTCGTCGACATATAAGCCGCGATCGAAACTGAAGAGCCGTCACCGTAACGAGCCCAGTTCGCCCAGACAATTGCGAATTGTCCAAGGTCGCGCAGGCCGGGTGCTCGCCCGTTAAGATTGCATCTTAACGATAGCGCGCGTTACGACCGAGGCGAGCGAGGCGAAAGACCCTTGGTATCGATCCTCAAGGCCGAAGGACCCAACGGGCTCTGACGGGCTAAAATTCCCCGTTTGATTTCCTTCTTCGATGTTTCGACCTCGGGCTACTATTCTGCATGCTGTCGCAGAAAAGAAACAACGAAGCGGCGCTAAATCTCTCGCTGCAAGTTACCCCCTTTTTCAGACCTTGCCAGGCCACTTCGCTAGGACGAGAGAGAGAGAGGGAGACGCGTAACGTCGTAGTATTTCGTGCATTTTATCGACAAAGTGTCATCCGCGATTTGACATTCTACTTTTCGCCGAGTATATTGGGTCAATCGTGACGATACGATTTCCGTGCTCGCTACGGCAGCAAGCTACGATTCTGCCTCTACGTGGCACACACACACACACACACACATACACGACTCGCGAGCTGCACGCGTCAGAAGTTATTTGCATGGCGATTAATACTTTTATGCAAATGAATGCCTGATCCGTGGCCAAGACCGCGGGTAAGACCGTGTCCGTTGTCAGCGCATATAGATGCGCTTTCTTATTGCATCTTTATGCGCCTCCGTCGATCGATCCGCCCGCCCGCCGTCGTCGTTTTCCCCGTACCGATAAATTCCGCGCTGCTTTCTTTCGCTGCTTTCAGAGCGACCCGTGTGGGAGACATCGATGCTGCTTCTTTTCTATCGTGCAGCCGAATGTGTCCGAGTGTGAGCCGCGCGGACAAATGATTTTATTGCCCTCCGAGTCGAACGTACGGCACTTTTTCCTCAAACATTCCTCTTGTGCCACGAAATCGTGCCACGCGGCTCTCTGCGTGTCGTAAAGCAGAAAGGTAAAGCAAGAGAAGCGATCGAATAATATTTTACCCTTAATCACACAGGACATTTGTTCGTGAAGGAATAAACGCCTCTCTCTCTCTCTCTCTCTCTCTCTCTCTCTCTCTCTCTCTCTCATTCTACATATAATCTACATGTAAGAGAAACTACATGTAAGAGGAACCGTGGTGGTATAACTTTCTCATCGATTGAACAATAATTACTGCAACACAAGTGCTTATATCGCGTTTAAACCGAGTCCGCAGCCGGCGCTTTATCACCGCGAAATTCACCCCACGTCGTGGGGGTAATTATGACCAACCCCACCTTTCTCGGCTGTCACACACACACACACACACGCACATCCAGCCAGGTGGCCTGCGTGAGGGGTAAGAAACGCGACTTTTCCATCGCGGGCATGAACGCAGGATCCAAGAGCGCAGGTCCCTCACGGCTGACCGTGTCGACCGCGAACGAAGAAGGCGAAGCCGCGCCGAGGGTGGCCCAGGCGACGACGACGCTGCTGCTGCTGCTGCTGCTGCTGCTGGTGGTGGTGCCGGCGGTGGTGGTAGTTGCGATGGCGGCGGCGGCGGCGGCGGCGGCGGCGGCGGCGGCAGGGTAAGGTGAAGCAGGCCCCGTACGTCGGCGGCGAATCAGTCGTTCTGCAGGATGAGGCGCGCGACGTGGCTGCTTTTCGTGCTGAGCCTGCTGCTCGTCCAGAGGACCCACGTTAGCCGCGCTCAGAGGAACTATGCGCGACAGGGTGCCACCAGCCGTGAGAACCCGACCATTAAGATACCGGGCCAGGGCAGCGTCCTCGGCAAAGAGGTGCGCACACATCCGGACACGTCACGTTCGTTCTCGTCTCGACCTGCGCGACTATGCGAGTATCTCCTCGCGTATCACGCACAGCAGCTCAGAAGCTGCTGAGCAGAAGGGTGTAGTACGTTCGTCGCGAGTCCGCCAAGTGGAGCGATCCCAGTCTCGCCGGCGGAACCTCAGTCCCACCTCTCGAGCCTCGGGCCCCTTTCGTTGAGGCACGCTGTGCTTTAATTTCGCACGGAGGGAAAGCTTCGTTTCAAGCGCGTGTTTGTCTCCAGAAAGTTATCCCTCCGTCGTTCGCTCGGTCGTCGGCTTTTATTAGCTCGACCGAACGCTTCTGTCCGTGTGATCCCCCGCCGGGGGCGGGGGAGGGGGGAGGGGAGGAAACAGAAAAGACAGGGGGGGCGCATTCGTTTATACGTTAGCCGTTTCTATTTTTCGAAATTCCGAGGAAAGACACGGTGTTTTTCTTAAGGCTGTCATTAATTTTCTTTTTCTTTAAGGCACATTAATGTTGTCGTTCGGCCTCTTCGGGGCCGATGATTATTAATTTTACGCGAGTGCTCGTTTCGTTATTTCACGCTCTCTCTGCTCACTCACGAAACGCAGGTGAATCTCGGTGGTAACCAGAGACTGATGCAGTACCTCGGCATCCCCTACGCGCAGCCCCCGGTCGGCAATCTGCGCTTCGCGCGACCGGTGACAAATCCTCTTCCCTCTTGGAGCGACGTGAGGAACGCGTCGCAGTTCGCACCGTCGTGTCAGCAAGTCTCGGGCCGGCTGAAGCTGCACGAGAAGCTCTACAAGCAATTGCTGCCATCGGATCTACCCGATCCGGGGGTCAGCGAGGACTGCCTCTTCCTCAACATCTTCGTCCCTGACGGTATGTGCGCTCCCTTCAACCGCGCGAGTAGTCCACGACGCAGTCGATGGTTGCGTCGAAAATTCATGAAGGTTCATCCAAGGTTGCTCCGACAAGTCAGGCGGTACACGATCGCCTCATTGAGACGATTTCCCGACGAAGACGAAGGCTGGCGTCTCTGGCTGGGTCTGATTTTTCGATAACGGAGATTAGAAAGCGGTCTCGAGAAAAACGTCGGTTTTGCGCGTCTCGTCGGCGTCCGACGAGGGAACGTTGGGACGCGTCTGAAAGCAACCAGCGAGATATCTTTCCGACCGTTCTCTCAGACTTTCCGTTCGTCTTTTCTGATATATCTTCGCCGTCGCAGGCCGGAAGTCTGTTTTCCCAAGCCTCATTCTCGTAAATCCGCTTTTCACGGGAACGCGGGATTCAAGTCGTGAATCCGTTTAATCTGTTTTCATCTCGAGGAGAGGAAGATCTCTTCTTGATCCTCTTCTGCTCGCGCGAGAAGAATCCCGAAGATCGAGGGACTCGGGTATTATTCTCTCACTCGTCCTCGAACAGTACCGAGCGAGCGCAGCGTGTTCGCTTTTCATTCGGTGAGCAATAATCGGTGGACAACCTGGCACCGCGCGATGGTGGATGGCGCATGGTGGTTCGCTTGATCGAAACCCTTGCTTTCGATCACATCGATCCTCGATGTCGCCCACGCGTATCGCGCGCACCTTTCCCCCCAGCCAATCTTCGGCGAAACGTCAACACGCGACGCCGCGAAAAACGACGGTCAACGGCGAAGTTCGTAGCCGGCGAAATATCCAGATAACGCTCGCGCTCTCGACGACTTCCCGGAGACCGATTTCTATCGTCCGCGAAAAAGGGGTGATTACAGCGGCGCGTGTTCACGCGGGGCTCTGTCGCCCCGCGATCAGATAAACGGTGGACCGAAGCAGAAAATTAATAACCGCCCGCGTGCGTGCGCGGGCGGAGATTTATCACGCCCCGCGTAAAAAGCACGGAGGGGTGGACGTTCCGCAGTTAATGCTCGATGCGATTAAGCCGGACGTTTCTCTCGCCAATTGCCCGTCGCTTTTAACATCTCTCCTACTTAACTCGGCTACTACTCGTGCTGGTCGCTCGGTCAAATTTCGATCTAATCGCACCTGTGAATCCTGTGAACAAGGAGGAGTGAAAAAGAGGCTCTATGATGAAAGGATGCGTCTGAGCGCGTAAAAGTACCAATCAGTCAGCAGGACACGTACCTAATTCTGGGAAATTTTTATCAGTTTGTGGTCTCCGATTAAATATAAATGTTTCAACTTTCAGCGCACACACATAGAATTTTTTTTTTTCGATGATATATATATATATATGTATATTTATTTATTTACATTTTATTTATATATATATATATATATTTTTTTTTTCTTTCTTTCCTTCGAGAGTCTAACATGTCGTAACATGTCGTTTTTTCATCAAAGTCGATGGGAACGGATGTCCCCGAGCTTGCGCGAGGTCAGGAAATCCTCGAGCGAGCGAAATCAGCCATTTATACATTGGCCCCGTTTTTCCACTCGTTCTCGCCCTGATGCAAATTTAATGAGCTACTAATAGGGAGTATACAGGCGCAGTCTTAAGACTCTACTGAATATTTACACGCGTACGAGCGACTGCGAAAGGTTAAAGGGGGTGCGCGACGATGAGGTCGAATGCGGGCCGCTGCACGGCATACTTTAGCCCCTGGCGCGAGACCGAGGACTTATAATCGCGGCTGGAGACCGTTTAAACGGCGTCTCCCTTTCGTTCGAGAGGAAAAAAGAAGGAGGACGATCGCGGAATCGTGCGGGATTGCGCTCGCACGAAAGCAGCGTATCATACGACGACGACGACGATGACGACGACGACGAGGACGACCAAGTTGGTCGATATACACGCGGCTAGTAAGAGTAGTAACAGTAACTGGCGCGCTCGGTGGCACGCGATCTTCCAGGGCCCGATCTGAGATGCCGAGATACCAGAAAGCCGGTCACGCGAGACGGTCTCTCCCTTCTCGCTCGCGTTCTCCCAGCGCTTATTTCTTTCCTTCTCCTCGTCGTCGTCGTCGTCGTCGTCGTCGTCGTCGGAGGCGGCGCGAAAATCATATGAGTCATTGTGCGTCTGCGAGGAGACCTAACCTTACGGTCGTGCCAGGATTACACCCCACCGGCGCAGCGGCGGGCCGTGCACTCTGAACTCCTGAAAAGCAGTTATTGCACGAGTGCGGAAAATCCTGCGGAGATACTTGGCCGCAAGCGTGCCAAGGTCGCCGGCTAAGAAACGACGCGGCGCGGTGTTCGACTCGGGACAATAGCGCGGAGGAAGACGGTCGTGTTCAGGAAACCGCAGGGGGCGACGGGGAGCCTCGTACCGGTCCCCGTTATCGCAAGGAGAGCTCGCTAGCCTGGATTCGGTAGGCTGGAAATAGAATATCGGATGTGTGTGCCTCATGTAAATACTCTCCGTCCCTCTCCGCTCGTTCTATTCCACGTGTTATGGATTGGGCTATATTGGTAAATATGTGGAAAAGAATGACATGTCGCCGCCGCGCGAGGCCGGCGACATTTCTTGCTTATTTTCGGCGCGAGCGAACCAACGTTATCCGAATTTTTCTCCGCTTCGCACACGAATAGGAAAGCATCAGCTGAGAATCAACGAGATGCGTAAATAACCTTGGGACTAACTTGATGACGTGCGATGGCGCAGCATCTCCCTTCGATCCGTCTGCGTTATCGCGCGTCGTCGGTCGCACACAGTCGGCCATAAAGTAGAGAGGACGTTACATCAGAGGGAATAATTAGAGAAGTAGGAGGCAGAGTCGTGTGGGAAAATTCGGTCTGGTGACATGCATGAAAATACAACCAGAATTCGATATAATTGGAGGAGGCGCGCGCAGGTCTCGTCAGAGAGGAGGAGACGGATTGTTGAGTCGCTGAGACAGGCTCGGCGGGCTCTGTCGAGCCCTTTTGCCAACCAGCTGACACTGACACTCGGCTAACGTGCTAGCGGCTTGCCCGCATAAGCCCGCGTCGTTTAACATTCCTCCTCGGAGTCAATCGGCTACGTTAATCAACGAATGATTCATGTGCGCAGGCCGTGCGGACGAACGATGGCCGGTGATGGTCTGGTTCCACGGCGGCGACTTCAACACCGGCACCCCTGCAATCTGGGACGCCTCCATGTTCGTTAGCAAGCAAAAGGTTCGATGTAACATAGATTAGATGATACCTGCTGCATGCGAATGCGAGAAATCGCGGACAATCAACCGGACGTATTGGCACGATTGGAACGCGTGACACTTGGATACCAAACTTCTAACCCTTAATATACCAAGGGTCTTCAATCAACTTGTTGTTGTTGTTGTTGTTGGTCAACCAAGCCAAGGGGTTGTGGTTGTGGATGCTCGAATGATGCTTTTCGGGACTTTGACGACATTGTCAATGACAAATTGGGGTGTTATAATGACAACAATGCAGCGCAGAAATTAGACTTCCTTTGGTATATTAAGAGTTTTAAGAGGTCAATCAGCGGCGTTCGACGTAGCGGACAGAAAATCGAAAGGAAGCTTTCATCGCTCATCTCGCTCGTGCCGTCACTCCTCGGCGAAGACTCGATATCGCGCTTTGCGCGATACTCGCCCGCGCGAATACATCATTGATGAGGCTTTCGGTTGGCTCTTGCGGGCGCTCAACGCGGTTACGGATATACAAGGCGGTATCGTTCGCGGCTCGGGAAGCAAACCTCACGGTGGTGGCGGCGGCGGCGGCGGCGGCGGATTGATCGCCGGTGTGTGTGGCACACGAAACGAAAGTAAATCTTGAAACTCTCCCTCTCTCTCCCCCTTTCTTTCCGTGCTGACGGCGACGTAATCGCCGGCCGGTCGGCTGGGCGATTCAATCGCGCGCACGCTAAAAAGGTAAGTCGAATTACGGGAGATTAACGAGAACGACCCTCTTGCGCGACCAGCAGGTGCTAGTGGTGACGGTGGCGTATCGATTAAACATCCTGGGATTCTTCACGACGACCGACACCGAGGCGCCCGGCAATTACGGCATGTTCGACCAAATCGCCGCCCTCGACTGGATCAAGCGCAACATCAAGTACTTCAACGGCTCGCCGGACAACATCGTCATCTACGGCCACAGCTCTGGCGCGATCAGCGTCGGCTTGCACATACTGAGCCCGTTGAGCCGCGGCAAGTTCTCCAAGGCGATCGCCATGAGCGGTGACGCGGTGAGCTCCGTCGGCTCGCCGGAGACCGAGCTCGGGGTCGTTGACGTGGTCGCCGACAAGTTCAGCTGCTTCAGGCGGCCGACCAGCGCGCTGATGGAGTGTCTGCGCCGGGTGAAAGTCGAGGTGCTGGTCCAACAGACGTCCGACATCGAGACGTGGGGTCCGATCGTCGACGCCGAGATGAACAACTCCACGGTGCCTTTCCTCGCGTTGCACCCCAAGGACATCTTGGACAGCGGTAATTCCCGCGGAGCGCTCGCGACAAGTGTCCGAGATAAGACAGGTGTCCGAGGGACGACCCAAGTACACGCTAAAAGATAGACGGATATCCGCCAGACGTACCCGAGTTCTCCGAAAATGTGTTTTATTTTAGTTAGATACCGAGAGAGAGAGAGAGAGAGAGAGAGAGAGAGAGAGAGAGAGAGAGAGAGAGAGAGAGAGAGAGAGAGAGAGAGAGAGAGAGAGAGAAATGTACACGCTGAAAGATAAAAAAAGGACGAGAACGTTCTACAATATCTCGAGGCTGTTCTCTCGGATACGTGTCGGCCGCGAAAATGTGTGTTTAGTTTCAATTAGATTACACGTCGTCGTAGAGAAATGTTGCTTCGTGGACCTTCGTTGTCCTTTCGAGCGCCGCTTATCGGACGGAAGGATCTCGCTAATTCTCTCGTGACGTTTCACCAGGGGACTTCAACGCGGTGCCGCTGATTGTCGGCTACACCAACAACGAGCAAGCTCTGGCTTATATAGAGGCTAACGGTGGGCCAAACTCGGAGGGTAAGCTCTCCCCGGAGAGTTTCAACACGATGATCACGGACGAGTTTTCGTCGGCGGTGCCGGCCCCGGACGACAACAGCACCTGCGAGGTGAAGCCTGAGCTGGTGGCGAACACGGTGCTGTTCTTCTACAAGCCGTACCCACCGACGACCAACACGACGATACTTCGCGACAGATACCTGGACCTGCAAATGGAGAAGAATTACGCGGCAGGTCTGACGTTGCTGGCCGGCAAGATGGCGAAGCACAAGGTCTCCGCCTTCGTCTACCGATTCGATTATCGGCCGCGGACGCAATCGGTGACGAAGGACGTGCCGGAATGGGTGGGTGTGCCGCACATGTTCGAGCTGCCGTTCGTCTGGGGTCTGCCGCATTTGATGGGCGGCACGACGCAGTGGAACTTTGCCGACAAGAAGATGTCCGACACGATAATGTCGATGCTGACGAACTTCGCCAAGAGCGACGACCCGTCGTTCAACAACCAGATCAAGTGGGAGCCCTTCACGGAGGACAATCCGGGGATCCTGCTGATCGACAAGAACATCGACATGAACCGGCCGGACCAAGTGGACTACAGGGCGTTCGCCTTCTGGAACGAGTACTACCCGCAGATCCTCGAGGAAGCGACGAGCCATTGCTGCAATGTCACCAGCAAGGCGGCCAAGTGTAGGATCTTCTCTCACGGGGTCGTGGTGTGCCTCGGCGGTGTGGTCGCCACGGTAGCGTTACGTTTTCGGTTTTAGCCGTAGTTTCGCGGCGTGATAATGCGAATACTGAATTACATACGTGTTGTTGCACTCTTTGTTGTATTTTTTTAATAGAACCAAAACTTGTCGAAGGAAAATGAGAGGCAGAGGCGGCAGCGGCGGCGGCGGCGTCGTCGTCATCATCGTCGGGTTCTTTTCAATTCTTTTATAATCTCATCTCTTCTCTCACTCTCTTTATTTTCTTCTGGACGCGATCGAACGCCGCCTCGCTGATGCCTGCTGATACGCAGAAACATATCGCGTTCGGTCGCGCGCGACCGGAGGTCCTGCTGTCCGTGATAAGCCGAGGCATCGCGCGAGCGATGCCGCGCACGCATTCATTCGATCGAGATTTCTCTCGCGCTCGTGCACAGTTTCATCGTAATGTAACAGTCGCGCGGAATTTTCCTACACTCGTATTTGATATCTCAATTAAACGGCGTATATCACAAAGTTATTTTATTCCGTTCTTATTTTCTTACATATTATATGCTCGAGGTGCGGATTATAAGAGTTGCGGAGGAGACCCAAGAATTACGAGACAGAGAGGGGCGCGGAATTAGACAAAGAGAGAGAGAGTGATTAAGAGAGAGAGAGAGAGAGAAAGAGTGTGTGTGTGTGTGTGTGTGTGTGTATTCATGGGTCGGCTTACAAAAGTAGGAAACTTGGGCCTTAACATTCACTGATCTTTTTTATTATTTGCTTTAATACGGAGAGATATAGAAAAACATACTTTGTTTGAGAAACAAACAGCTTGATAACTTATGAATATTTTGATGATCCGATAATTAATAATAATAATTAATAATATTAATAATAATAATAGTAATAATCATGTTCGTGTCTGTGTGTACCATCTATGTATAATTATATTATATAAGAGAGAGAGAGGTGCGCGGCGAGCGATGCATGTGGGGGCTGATGGTGGCCTGCGCACGCGCACGTCCGAACGTTTCTTTCCATTTTCTGTTTTCTCTGTGTGTTTTGTCTTTCTTTCCATTCTCCTAAATATATAATATTAGTTAATCATTTTTTTTTGTCTTAATTCACTCATGCAAAACTCCTACAGTGATAACCGACGCCACGGGGTCTCGCGTACTACTTTGTGCGCGTGTTGCTTGCGCGTGCACACGAGCCACCCCGGGACCAACGTATATACAATATTTTCCTGCCTTCCGCTTCGCTGTGTCTCTCTTTCCGCACACCGTAACCGTATCTTCGTTCTTCGCTCCGCTGCGCGTTGCCTTGTGTTGTGCCCTCCGTATCGCCGTTCGGCTTCCTTCTTAACCGTCGGTGTCGCACAGACCTCCCGCTTTTACCTCGTCGCTTTTTAGTATTCCGTCAGCCCCCCTCCTCGTCATTAGTATCTTTTTTTTTTTTTCATTTTATGTCCGCCCCCGATCTTGTTTTTCTTGCGTATCTTTTTTTTTTGTTTCCACTGGTATGTTCGGATTTTTCATGTAGGAGAGTATGGGCTCTGCCATATCTACCTTACAAAAGTAGGCACAGCGATTTCTTTTTCTGCTTCATCTTCTTCTCTGGCGACTTCTTGTTTATTTGCCGCACCAGGTCGTAAAAAATCTGAAAGCAAGAGGTAAGAGAGAGGGATGACGATACGATAGAGGTTACGCCGCGTTAGAACTCAGTTGTTGGCAATCTTTTATTACAAAGTTCTGAGCCAGAGCTCCTAATTTTCAGTTATTTCGACAGAGAGTCAAGTTGAGTTCAAACGTGACGTGATGTTCAAAAGTGTAAAAAGAGAAGAAGAATAAACAGATCTGGACGGTCGACTTACGTCGCGAACATTAATTTTAGCTTTGGCAGAGGTCTCCATAAACACGCAATTGAATTGCCGGGCAAGGTTGACACCCTGATCCTTTCCTACTACCCTCTCGTCCTCCAGGTCGCACTTATTGCCTACTAGTACCATCGGTACATCATCTGTATCCTTTACCCGGAGGATTTGCTCCCTGAGGTCTTGCAGATCGTTGAAGGTCGATTGTGCTGTTATCGAATATACTAATACGAAGCCCTGTCCGTTTTTCATATAAAGGTCCCTCATGGCTGTGAATTGTTCCTGCGAACGCATCGAAGACAATAATGTTACTCAAAATACAACTCGCATCGTCGCAATCGGAAAATGAAAGAAAGCCAGCTACGACACGTGTCGGAGAACAAATATAAAATCGCGCGCTCCACCCGGTGAGAGTGAGAGTGAGAGTGAGAGAGAGAGTGAGAGAGAGAGAGAGAGTGAGTGAGAGAGAGTGAGAGAGTGAGAGAGAGAGAGAATATTTTCATTCGCGCGTCGGGTGATGAAGAATACACGTCCAGAACGAATAAAATCAATCATCACGATCGTTTTTTTTTTCCCTTTCGCGTATTTATGCGAGATTTTCATACATGTTCGTGCGCGCGTATGTATCGTCGTTCGTTGACGTTCCGTCGACACGTCGCGCACGAACACGCGGCGCGCGCGCGATCGCCACGAGTCGTCTGTCTCTCCTTCTCGTACATACATGGAAGGGAAAAAAATTAACACGTCATAACCTCGGCATTTCGGCGCCCTCGCGGTAAAGAGAGACAGAAGAGACATTGTATCTTGTGCGAGGTACTTACTGTGCCGGCTGTGTCTAAGATTTCTAACATACATTGTTGGCCGTCGACCTCGACTTGCTTGCGATAACTGTCCTCGATCGTCGGGTCGTACTTCTCTACGAAGATTTCTTGCACGAACTGGACAGTGAGGGCGGACTTGCCTACACCTCCACTGCCCAGCACTACTATTTTATATTCACGCATTTCCTTGCCCTATCTACTGCCTGCCTGTGCGCCTGGTCACAGTCGAGGGGTCACCGAATCCGCCACGTTTTGCTTCGATTTGCTCTCAGTGAGATGGATCTGAAACAACAACACGGCACGATGTCCGTTTAGAGGTCGCAAACGTCACGTGCGTAACGAACGGGTTAATTTCAGTGTGACACACCTTGCTCGGTGGTGGTCGGACAAGTCAGCTCTTTTATGACTCAATACTTTTTTTTTATACATATACGCGTTACATGTACACGTACATACGATGAGTTCATGCAAACTTCTGCCGAGCGAGAATCATAATTCATAATTTCTAAGTATAGAGTGCAGCGTAGAGGAGGAGGCAGGATAGATCCTTTGATCAATATGAGGTCCATTCTCCTTGTCTCTCCGTCTCTCGGCAGAGATTTGATTGAATATGGCTACCTTCTGCCGCGACTTCGTATAATTCTGAGTATTAAATGTCTCGATAATTAAATCCCTCGATGGGGTTTGCGGATTTAATTAATTTATCGAGATATTTAATATCGATAATTATATATAAAATTGCGCGCAAGCGGAACTGACTCAAAGTTGAATGGAAAATAACGGCAACAATTTTCTTCCTTCGAAAGCGAGCGAGCGAGCGAGCGATCTCAGAGAGTACAGGAAAGGGAAAGAGAGAGAGAGAGAGAGAGAGAGAGAGAGAGAGAGAGGGGGGGAGAGAGAGAGAGAGAGAGAGAGAGAGAGAAATTCCTAAGCACTATCTGAAAATCGGCGAGAAAATCAGAAATCATCGCGCCAAATTGTGGAATCCAGAAACAACGGGCGGCGCACGATTAATCGTTCCGTGAGAAAGTACCGCTGCATGCCGGTGCGATACGTTCAACAAAGTTACGCGCTGCTACACATCGCGTTGCTTTCGGCGAGGAACGACTTGTCGCGGCAATGAGCGACAAAAGGACAGAGTAGAAGGGAAAACGTGGATGTAGCGAGACGACGACGTTCCGATTGGTCGGCAATAGCATCATGGCGACGCGCCGCGGCCAATCGACAGCCGCAAAATTTTTTGCGCCGATCTGTCATTGATTTTACCTTATGAATGAGCCTGTACATGATGACAGCCGCTACTCTCGGACTTTCGCCGACTTGTTAGCGCTTAATAAAGTTACCTCGGCGGGGGGGAGGGGGGGATTGTGATTGATGTACGTGCATATTACTCGACATACAGCGATTAAAAATTATTAGCGGTAACCAGTGATGAAGCAATTTGCCGTTTCTCCCTGCGCGAACGCCGAGAATAATGTTTTTTTAATTGACTAGCAGTTTATTCTTAGATTAGCAGTTCTTTCTTTAGCAATCGCAATCTTTTCTGCTTATTGTTTACATATTTATTCCTCGGTACCTTGGGTCATTTTTTTTTCCTATAAAAGAGTACCTCTCAATTATTTAACACATTCTGATGCAACGATCGAATCACTTTTCGTCCAGCGTGTTGGCATCCTTCGATTGCCGTCTCTTCGGCAATCGGAGATTCAATTCGCAAAAAGTCGAGAGATCCTTCACGTTCTTTTATTAGGACTCTGCAAGGAGTCTAAATTCGTGCAGCGGTATATAATAAATGTACTTTGTATTTAAAGCGAAAGAAGTAGTGCCCGCTCTCGCGGGCAGTCTCGCAAGAGATGAAATTCCGAGGACGAACTCTGATCGTGAATTAGTGATTCGCTGAAATGTCACTTGGGAAATTTACCAATCCATTATCATCTGCTTCGGAACCAACGGAACGAGAATGCGCGTGCTAGCGCCACGATGCCGATTCACGACGAAATCTCCGAATTTATCCTTTAAAAGCTGCTATGAGTGAAATTTCACCTCCCCCCTGCCCCCATGTGAATTTTTCATCTTACTGTATAAAAACGTAACCATATTTTGCTTAATGATATCGTCGGAGGTGCGGCAGCGACGTCTCATGCGTATTTCAAAAAAATACGTTGTCGCTCGCAAAATGCAATTAAAGATACTTCGCTTTCCCCGCGCGGCGACAGGCATCTCTCCTTGGCCACGCCGCGGCGAGATGGAATATCAATTTTGCAGCGAATGACTTTGAAGGCAAAAAGGGAGAGAGCGAGGCGCGGCCTGAGTAAATCGATAAGAAAATTAAGGACCTCTCGTAATACATATAAAAGAAAATAACTTCGTTATCTCATGTATTAGCGTGTATCCCCCCTAACAAGGATATTACCTCTCCCGAGCTCTCGCAATTTCGCTCATTTCCTCATATCCCCTCTCCCCTCCTCCCCCGCCGCATTGTAAAGTTACACTTTGGACGTGTTTAATTTTCCCAACTTCTCCGCGGCCAACTTTTCCACGCAGCTTGCGGCGACGTTGTTCTCAAAACTTTATTAGCGAAGGCCAAACAATATCCGCAGTAACGACGGCGACGCCGGTCGAGCTGTCTCACAAGACTTCGCGATGGAGAGAGAGAGAGAGAGAGGGAGAGAGAGAGAAATAGAGACGTAGAGAGACACGCATCCGGCGTTTATAATATAATTTATGTTGTAATGCATTTACGGTTCGCCGTTTCATTGCGACGCGCCGCTGTACGGTGCAATTAAGGCACGCAATTAGGTCGTACGAACGTCAAACGCGGGCAACAAGTTGATGTCCGAAAGAGAGAGGAATCGACCATAACGAGGCGGGGAGCACCGGCGGGAGAACGGATCGAACATTTGGCGTTGTTCCAAGACATCCCCGGACCAAAAAAGTGTATCCTCGCACACGTGCAAGGTAAATAGAGGCGAAAGAGCTCGCGGACACACACCTGACACCCACCCACCCACACACACACTCTCTCTCTCTCTCTCTCTCTCTCTCTTTCTGTGTGTATCCATCTATCTCTCTGTCGCAGATTCCCCTGACCTAGTTATTAAGCTTTGGCATGGGACAGTGCCAGGTTCTCCGTAAATCGCCGCGTCTTTTGTACGAAATTCAAAGCTGCAGCGCTGCTGATGGAGAGATCTCGGGGGTCGTCCGTCGCGAAAGCGCGACGTGCGCGTCTCTCCTTCGCGAGATACGCGCGGCGCCACCGTTCACTCTTGTGCCTTGTGTATCCGCTCGCGAGAACAAATGCAAAGGCGCGCGCGCGCGCGCGCGATTCGCCATGATACCGCAAATACTTTGGATGTATTAACCCTGATAGGCGCGGCTGTATTTGATAGAAGACGACGACTTCGTGCCGCGAATTTTCCCCGATGATCCCGCGATACCCACAGCGAAATCGAACGTGAAAAAACATCATGCGCATGAATATTTTGTAATTAAATTTATGAGAAAAATTGCGACTTTTCGTGTCTTGGGAATACGCTGCGGCCATCAACGTGCCGGCGAAACGACGCTGCGCGCCACCAACGTAGTTTCAGCTTGAGAATCAACAAGCACATTTAATAAGTTTGATACGCGACTGTATTTCGGGATATCCTCTCTCGCGGAGAATATTGATATTGCGCGACTTTTCGCGGAATGATTACAGTTTCTAAACTTCGAGATTTGGATCCTGCCGGACCGCGAAAATGTCCGTCGAAAATCGCGCTCAGGGAAGTTCGGTCCTCCGTCTGGAACTTTGCACTTCCAACTCCGAACGAGGCTCGAGGGGGTTAACTTTTCGCAACACGGGCGAGGATGTCGTGGAAACGTCGGACAATCTTCTCAGCTGTATTCTTCTCGACTGTCTCCTCGAGTGTCTACTTGTTGATCGTTTCCGCGACGACGCCTCGAGAACCGCACGAGGCGTCGCGAGCTCTCCTCGAACGTCGTTCTCGCGCCACGAGCTCTGCTCGGGAGTGAACTTTGGTCAGCCTTCATCTTTGACTTTAATTAAGAGTATTACTGCCAAGACGCCGGCCCGTGACAATTAAAGCCACCGCCTGCGGGTCTGTGCGCAAGCAAGCCACCAGCAAGCAAGATCGCTTTCTTCGCAAAGTCTCTCCCTCGCTCTCCTTTTCTCTCGTTATCGGCGGAAGACCTCGCGACCTTGCTATTCTCTCGATCCGTTTTTGTCTTCCCTCTTCTTTTTTTTTACTTCACGCAAGCCTCACATAATAAATCAGCGGCGTCATGCAGTCAGTGTTTCATCGTCTCGTCGAATCCTCGGGCCGCTCCGAGTAGACTCACCCCGGATAGACGAGACAACACCTCGGGCGAAATTTCACGTTTTCCCGAGGCCTTTCGCCTTTCGTCCAATTCCGGTAGGGCATTTCCGCTTTTATCGCCGATTCATTCTCTCTACGTCAACCCAATCCCATCATCGACTTCCGCGCGTCCACCGGGACGGAACGACGCGACACGACGCGACGGCCCGACTCGCCATCTCGCGCGTGTCTACAGGCGACCGGCGACCTGCGACGTTTCGTCCCATAATTCGCATCCACCCGCTAAAGCAGCCCTCGCTGCGAAACGTGGCGAAAACCCGTTACAAAGCTCGCACACGTAGCTTTGATGCGCGGCGCAGCGTGTGCTCACAGCTCACACACACACACACACATACGCAAAAGACACGAAGGCTCAGAGGCACAATCGCCGTTGTTGCGTCTCGGACGCGTACATGTATTGTTGTCGCTTGTGTGTTTATGCGAGGAATGTGCCGTGCGCGCGCGCGCGCGATCACTTTGACCTGTAATACGCGTTATCTGCTCCAACGACTACCGATACACTTGATTGCACTCGGTCACCTTTAGCGCGGCGTCGACTCTCCTCTTCCCACAGTCGAGTCTTTCCCCCGCGCGAAGACGCGCGACATCATCAATGTGCGCGAACGTCCGTTCTCCTACGCGCACGATGCGCGCGCGCGCGCGCGCGCGACATCCTCATCAACGCGGCTCGCGGCTACCGAGGACGGGGTGACCGTAGGATATGTGAGCTGAAACTTCGACACTTTCGACGGTGTCTCTCCTCTCTTTGGAGCACGTGTCTCTTAGTAGACTTAGACGCGAGCCGCTCGTCGCTCGGCCTGAGACTTCGGGACGAATCGGCGACCGACGTTTAACGCGATGGCGTATCGGAGAAGTAAAAAATTTCCACTCATCCGGAAAGTCCGGCAGGGTTTCCCGGAAAAT